ACTTCTACATAACCCTCTGTAAAATGTGTAATTTGCTAGTCATATCCATCTGAGCTGCAATTTTACTGCTAAAATATTTTGGAACAGATATATTGAAGATTTTTATATGCCCCGTACTATCCATACTTACACAAAACTGCAGGCAAAACCGCAGGTATTTCTGTGACAGCTGTCTTGGATTTTAATTTATACATCCTGGGCTGACGTGATCTTTTACAATATTGCTAGTACTTAAATAGTAAAGATGAATGCTTGGAAGTCTGCATGGAAAGGAATGTGCCTAAAAATTTACTGTTCTCCAGCTGCCTTGAGGTAGTACAAGTAATTAACTATTTGGAGAGGTTGCTACTCTATATCTGCCTTAAAAAGTAGATCTGCCCAGCTGCGATTGACTGGGTTTAGCTTTGATGCGATACTATTAAGGGGGAAGCCTACTTTGCTCTCTAGAAGCAATGGGACATTCAGTGCTCTGGACCATCATATTCATGACTTCAATATGCTGGAATCATTCCTATGTAGCATTCCTAAGTTTATTCAATTCTTGGAATAGGATTGTCTTTTTAAAAACTTATCCAATATGTTGATTTAAAACAGCTATGAGTAACTACTGAATGTTTGTGGTGCCATGATCTTTGTAAGTGCAATTGCTCCACAAATAAGATTCAAGTCTAATTTTGTTTTATTTCTCAACAGTAACAGGAAACGGAGCATCTAGTTTATCTACAGAAAGCTGCCTCATTTCCAAAGTTGAGAGTGTATGATTTGATGTTGTATCAACTTGCACTTAACTTTGAATTCATACTCTGTATTATGAGCCTGAAAGAGCTTGGTTGCACCTTGTCTAGACTCAAGACACCAATATTCTGTATAAGTAAAGCTTTTAGTATTTTATGTAAGAAACACAAGCTAAGTGGAGTGATTGTGCACATTGGTTTAAAGAATGGCATATCTTTCATGGATCTAATTTGCTGCTTGAGATCTATAGAGAGTGAGTGATTAAAATTGCTTTTGTTAGGCAGAATGACTCTTGTTCAAAGTATGCATAATTCTGCCTGCTCTTTGGCCACAGATGTTTTTAATATTATGTTCTCAAAGAATGAACCCATCAAAAAGACACATCCATTCTCAACCTGACTTTGTAGTGAGGGTAGTAGCAGTAGATGAATCTTTCACAGCAGTTGGGGATACTTTTCTTTATGATTTGTTGAGGATCTTAACTTGATAATCTTAAATGCGTTGGATTACAACTCCCATCACTCCAACATTCCAGTACATTTGGAGGGAACCAGGTTGGAGAAGTCGCATGTAGGCACAATTCTTTTAAACATGAAGCTGGCTACATATTCAATTAACTCCTTTCTGCATAACTAAGGAGAGTTGGCATTCTTAGCAAAACTGTCAAAACTCTACCGAAAGATGGCGTCTCAATGATATAGAAGAAAACAGTGACAAGATCATTAATCAAGCCCCCCTCTTTGGATCTTGTTCTAGATAATTCTTGATAATTCAAGTATATCTGGATTCATTTGAACTGCAGTTGCCTTAATAATTTAGAACAGGTGCACAAACTGCTGCAAGTAGGAGTGTGTTCCTGATGGTTCTGGAAAGCCTCTCAGCAAATGTCCAATATCATTGATTATGGCAACCTAACTGCAAGATAGCAACCTACAATTGGGAAATATTAGACAGGCTCACGTGTACTGACAAGCCATGGTGGAAACCATGGTGGCATGGCTTGCCATGTGTGAATGTAGCAAGGGTGGTAAAGCATCTCTGTGGAACCATGGAGAAAACCGGTTTATTTGTCTGGACCTAATTTCCATGTGGTTTCCATGTTTCCATCAGTGGGTCTTGCAACACGAGAGGGTGAGGCTACAGCAGATGCTTTAGCCTACATTCTTTAGTTATACAGTCTGCCTAGCAACTGTTGAACCAGATACAGCTGCACTGTGATTGGTCACTGTGCCTCCCTTCTCGGCCTATGCACTGCCTCCCCAGTGCCCACTTGCAGCTTTGGAATCATGGTGGCATTGCTTCATGCTGCCTCCAGTAGCAGCAACCTCGGGGATGGCCAGATATGGTGTATGGTCATTGTGGTTTACTTGAGTGACACTGAAATAAAACTAACCTCGGCTCTGCTCATATAGACAATGTTCTTGTGAGCGTTGCTCTACACAAGAGGAGCTCACAGGCTCTGCACAGATATCACCAACAGGGCACTCAGCCTGAAAAGCTTGTGTCTCCCACTGTCTCCAGACTTCCTATCTTGTCTCTGACATTCCTTGGGACTTTGATCAGGGCCTTCTCCCACACACTCCCCCAAATCCAGTGCCATCTGAACCCACCGACACTCACTGTTGCCAGGCATGTGGTGCAGGAGACCTACATGATCTCCCAGTGCATCTAAGAGACCCACCTGGGGAGGTTTCACTGGCAAAGCTTCTTCCCAGGAGTAGACCCTCTGGGCCCTGCTGAGAGATGTGGGAGGTGGATGGGGCCATGATGCAGATGCTCCCCAGCACCACTGCAGCTCTGCAGGCAGCTCTCGGTGCTCCTGCTGCATAGCTGCAAGCTGGCCATGCACCGGGATGTGTAGGCCTTTGGCCATGCAGTTGGCAAGCAGGCAGGTATAGTGAATGGTGGAAGCAGAGCTGCTGCTGCTGCCAGCAGCTGGATCCATGCTAGTGTGGGGTGGGAGGCTGTGAGGGGGTGGGGGATAGGATGTGAACACGCCTGCAGCAGCTGAGCTTGCACATCAACAAGCTCTGGATTTATTAACAACTGGCATGCTTTTCTTTATAGCACACCCATCCTTTTGTTCTGATGCTGCAGGAATACATATTTTGTAACCAGGCTGTGGTTGTGGGGAGGGCAGCACCAGATCAGGCAGTTCCCGGTGGCCTGACATGCAGAAGGGGGTGCCAGGGCAAGTTGCTTCCATGTGCCTGCCAGGGCAGGTGGGGGAGGGGCTTCTGAGAGTGGGAAACAGTGTTTGGGCGCAGTTGGGGCAGGGATCATGATCTACCCACACTGAAGCCCTCCCTCCAGTGCTTGGCTTGTGAGGGGAGGTGGCCCCTTCCAGCATCTTGCACACAGGGGAGCGTAGACGTAACTGCAGCAAGGGAAGGGCAGGGAAGTGTGGCCGTGGGTCGTCATGCTTGTACATTGGCATGGAGTGTGGCAACATGATAGCACTACTCTAGTGAAGAGCCAGTTGCTTTGACTGAGCAGGAAAAAGTGTGTGGGGGGTAGAACCCAGGAACAGCTGACTGAGAACACAAACGGGAGTATGTGGCCCAATGAGGGAGAGGCAGGCAAAGTAGCCAGCAGCAGTGTAGCATGGGATGTTTAAAGTTTTTATAGGCCATTCTATAGCATATGCTCAGAATGGTTTACAACATAAACCATTCAGTTTATGTTCAGCTGCAGCAGTTGATGGGATACCTCCTACCATTTAGAGGAATTACAGAGGAGAGGTGAGATTACATAAGCATGCAAGTCATTTGTCTAAACCCCAGCATCAGGTAAGAAACCATGCTACCTGGTAACACATTATGGTTTGGTGCCATGTGTGAATGCTGTCATTGTTTTAAAATGGGCCTGTTCCTTTTTGGATGTGAAGTGCTAATTTACATATACCTAAACCACTGGAGTATATTATTTAGTTTTCAAATATGGGCCTGTCGATATGACGACAGAAGGGGAATATAAGATAGGATGGTCAGTAAGCAACTATATAATCCAGTACTGATTGCAGACACTGGTTGAACAGCCTCTGAAATACGAGATTTGTCAAAGCCTTGATCAAGATTTGACAAAGCAGGTACTTTTGATCAGTTAATGTCATTTCCCTAAAGAATCAAGTTCACAGCTTGGAAATGCTATGATGGCCAAGTGGTGTGTGAATCTACAGAACTTGAGCTTACTAGTGTTCACCTTGAAGGCCATTCGAGCTTGAGTCCGGCTTATCAGGTTGCAAAGCTTTTCCCCCCCTTTTAACAGGACAATTCATGTTTATTTTCATACATGTTTTTCCAGATATATGCATCAATTGTGGCATTTTTGAAACAGCCATTTCTGAATGATTTGCAAAGAAAAAAATGGACAGTATGCACACAAAGATTTTTCTTCCAATTTTCTACCATTATTTGCTTTTAACCACCACCTACCATAGAGCAATCTTTAAAGGCAGGGCCTTTTCATTTAGGCACTACCTTCTGCCAAATTTCTATGATCTCTTCCACCCCAAAGATGCAATGAGGAATACCTATGTTGCACTATCATAAAGAAATTCTCTATACACAAGAATACAGGCTTTGCGTTCTTCTGCACTTTGAAGAGGGGAAGGACTGTAACGCCTAGTAGTGTGCCCCCGCCTGGTGCCTGCTAAATGATTTGGACTTCAACAGTCATTAGTCCCAAGGTACAAGGCCGATCTGGAATCCTGGGAGCTGAAGTCCAAAACATTTGCATGAATGGAAAGAATGGAAACTTGCTCCCATGGCATGAAATTGTATGGTAAGATGAAAAATGTTGTATATTATTGCTTATTACAAACTTTGATACAAAATAATAATTATTGCAATGCACAGTATAAGACCAAAGCTGATCTGGTAATAAAAGGACTCTGCAACCATTCAGGTTTGTCAAGTGGGAAAACCTGGTTCCCGTTTCAAACCCATGAATGATTTAAAATAACAATATTAGCACTTACGTGGTTGTTAACATTAAGCATGGATATTTTTTGCTACAGACAGTCTGCTCCCAAGAGACTCTTCTTGTAGCCAACCCAATGCAACAGGAAATATAAAGACGTGCATTTCAGCAGATCCTTAACAATGGCTACAAATATTTATACTCTGCATTGTACATGTTCTCCTACAGAACCACAGGGAGCAGGGAACAGGACAAGGCAAAGTGGTGTCCATTTGGCTCCTCTGCTTATGAACCCATTTCGCAACTGGATTTGCAAGGCCGGAGTAGCTTCCATGCATCATGACTGAAGTTCTAACATTTTTATTGACATAGTGCAGTTCGTCTTTGTAAAATGATGTTCAAGTTATCTTCCGTCTTATTTATCTCTTTAAGAAAAGTGTATGCCTTTTGCATTGAAGCCATGAAGAAGGCTGAAAGATAAAACAAACCCAAGTCAGTTCTCATTATGCTTCTGCTTCATATGACATTTTGAATGGCACTTCCAAGTGCTACTCTTCTATCTCTAGTTTCCAAGGCAGGAGGAACATGCTTCTTGCTTCTGAGGTCTCGAACCCCAAAACCTCCATCCCACCACTACACACATTTTTCCTGCACACCTATCCTCAGAACTAAATCACTGGCTACTGCTGCCAGATCCACACATCAAGTATTGATAATAGGACAACTAAAGCAAAAGATGAAATTATGCAGGGCCCTCCAGATATCAGCTTGCAACTTCTATCATCCCCCATTATTAGCTATGCTGATTAGGGCTGATGGAAACTGCAGTCCAACGATATCTGGAAGTTCACACATTTTCTACTCCCAGTTTAAGCAGTTGGGAAGTGTTAGAATGTTGGCTTTTTAGGACTTCACAAGCAGGAAAGAAACATTCAAGATGTCTAGGTTCTACCTGATGCCTGAGAAAGAACACATACTCATTCCTGCCTCTACTGAAATCAGTAGGGTGCAATTCTAGTGTGACAAGATAGTGATCTTTCTTACACAGCAAGAAGCACAAAGTGCCAGCAATATATAAACAGAAACTAGGACTGTGCCTTCAGCAGAACTCCTGATCACAAGACTACACTCCCATCAGGCACAACTATCTCAGCAACATTCGTGCAATCACCATACTAAACCATGGCATCCCAAACAGTAGTGCTGTTTCCCATATGGATGTTCCACCACAGTTACTCCCAGGTAATGATACCATTTCCCCCGTCTGTACCCAAAGTCAGGTTCCTACAGCACATCCCTCAGTAGCTTCCTAAGAAGGAAGGCTGAGGAGAGGAAAATAGCAGCCTGCCTGTTCTGGTAATAGGACAGATGTACAGGCATAACCCTAAAAACTATCTTCCTACACCACTAGTATGTACAATATGCACACTGTGGTTGTGTGTGGCCCCAAGAGCATTTCCTTAGGTAGTATGTGTTTAATAAGCAATTTGTCTCACTAAAATACATGGGGCATACCAGGAACTGATAACTCACTGCACAAATGGTAAAATACAGTGGTGTCTGTTGCTTTTCATTTTGTTTAAACGAGAGTGCAAAGAGCTTTAAAAAATGCATGTGGTTTCACCTGATGAAATCATCAATATCCATTACTCGTGCACGTTTTTCTGAGTAACCAGTATCTCTGAGGATTTCATGTATAAGATTTCCAATATTGAAATCTTCAGGAATTTCCTGTTAACATAAAACACAAAACAGGACATTTATGTGCTACATCTCATATTCGGTGCAAGGAATAATTATTAGAGTACTGAGAAGAAGCAATCTCCCTCTTCCCCCACCCCAAAACCGCTATTTATTTTGCTTAGTTATTTTACCAAGTTATTCTGTGAACAGTGAATCCGGTAATTCTGTTCCAGTAGCTGTTTCACGGCTTTTGAACTGAAAGAAGTAATAATAAGGAAAGTCAGACATAGCTATATAGGCCTCCTTTTTGACAAAACTGTGGATGTGAATTCCTCCCTTTGTAAATGTATCCTACCCACCACCCTGAGTGATTATTTTTGTAACCCTGGAAATATATCTATATCTCCAAATACAAGATTTTTTTTCTGCTCACTGGTTTAATTTTCTATTGTCTACTGTCTGCCTAACCTAACTAAAGTTTTTGAAAGATCTAAAAAACAAACAACTCCTTATAATCACCTTCCTTTTCAGCAAGGATGTTAAAAACCTGCATGAATGCAGGTGGTATTAACTTCCTTAGACTATTTCATTAATGAATACAGAGAGCTTTAGCTATTGGGTGGTTTAGAAATTATTATAATTAATAATTATAATCATTATAATAGGGGTTTCTTAATATGTTAATTAAAAGAGGCTGTTGGGGATATTTAGCATGCACAAATTGATTTATAGCTGCAAGATCCGAGACATTCCAAAGCAAAATGAATGAAATGGGTCAGTAAAAGGACATTCCTGAGTTCTTTACAACCCCAGATGTGAAGCAGAAATGACCTGCACATGTGTGGGAAGCAGCTCAATCCTTCAGTGCCGTGATGGCTAAAACGAGTTATTTAAACCTTCTAAGTTGTGATGTACCAAGTGAGTAAGTGCTTGTTCGCATTGCTTTCCCTGCTAGGGGAACCAAAGATACTTCTCACAGAAGTGCAGTGAGAAGATATGATCTGAGGCTTCCCTAGCCTACAGCTGTATATTGAACCCTGACTGTTTTCCTTTCTCAATGGTCCCTGGACAGGGTTACTGCTCCCTGCTATTGGCTGGTGTTGAAGTAGCTGTTTAGATTTTAGGTCTCTGAGGATGAGTATACATTTATACCCTGCCTTTCTTCCCCTTGCAAGGAACCCAAGGTGTGTTACAAGGTTCGCACTTTCCATATTACGAGTATACTTACAAGAACAATCCTAGCAGGTAATTATGCTGGGACTATATGACTGGCCCAGTCACTCCTATGACTGGCCCATGAGCTTCATGGCTGAGCTGGGTTAAAAACCAGTTCGAGTCCCAGTCCAACATTATAACCACTGTGCCACATTATAGTACCTCTTCCTTCCATTTCTTCCCATACTTGAGGAAAACTCTTAGCAATTGTGTTATTTGTCCTCATCTTTCAGAAGAAAAGCTGATTCATAAAACAAACACACTGCCTCCAAGTTCCAGAATAACACCTGAAGAATATAATTTTTTCCTCATGACCAAACAAACAAGGGTCAGTTACTTAGTGTTCTACCAGAGAGACACAAGAGGGTTGAAAATATAAAATAAATCTGTTTATTTTAATTCACAATCCACCCAGTATCAACTGGCCAAAGTACTTACTACATAGTTGTAAACTGAACAGTTCCTCCAAAATGATTAACTTACGTAAAAACTGCAGCAAGTGTCTTGTTTTTCCTGACAAAGACAATCCTTAGCAGACCATCCCACTCCTAAATAAATACATAAGACATATGATTTAAGCAGTGCAAGATTCCCAAGTAAATATCTGCCTGTTTTTTGTTCCTCAGTTTGAATATTATGCAAGTATTTGTTTTCTACATGTTGCCTGACTGCCACTATAATCAAAATATATTTAACATCTAGGAAAGGCTCTTTCATGAGACCACATTCAGTTTTAAGAATCTTCCCCACAACCCAAAACACCACGAATACCATTACCCTAGATGGTTAGGGTTGATGGAAATTGTAGTACAACACACCAAGAGGGCACCTGGTTGAGAAAGGCTGGTTTATACCATCTTAGGAAAGATGTCTAGAACAAGATCACAGACTTTGGAGACTTTGACAAAGTAACTGTAAGTTGTTTTCATGAATTTTATGTTAAAATTTCTAAGTCTCACCTGAAAATTGATTGGTGGTGGTGGATTCTTTGGTTCTATCCTCACAACACTTGATTCAACTTTTGGTGGTGGTTTAAAATTGTTTTTTCCTACCTGTAAACCATCATATAGTTAGTTCTCAAAAATAAATGCATTCGCATCTTGTTAGGAACTGGCTTCCCCCTCTGAACTGAAATTCCAAACCCCCACTTAGCTACCTATTGTTTTAATTACTTACTTTCATCAGATGATCAACACGGGCTAATAACTGAGTATTAACCGAGAGCCTACAGTACAAGGGAGAACCTGGTTTTGCAACCAGGCGAAGGGCAAATTCTCTTTGAAACATGAGTACTGCACACCTGGAAATTAAAAATGTAATACAAGTTTAGTCACAGCGATGGATGTAGGTCCCCTTCTAGAAAGGTCAGCAACTTGCCAGTCCAGTCTATGGGTTGTCATTGAATTGCGGAGTGCCTTTACTTGCAATTTTACACTATGGTTTAACTATGGGTTCTCAACTGTGATCAGAAGAGAGCCCTTTTTTACTGGGTTGTGAAGTGAGTTGTTCATGGTTAATAACCCATAGTTAAACCACAGTGCAGACTTAGCTTGTAAGAACAGCCTGTGATTCAGCAGCAGCCTTTATTCAACCTGTATGAGGTTACAACCAGCTCAATTTATTTATTTAGCAGACTTATATGCCGCCCCATTTGCCTAAGCCTCAGGGCTACTTACAAATAAATAAATATCACTGGTACAATAAAATACAGTTGGAGACATCCTGGCCAAAGTTGTTAATCAATAAATAAAATCAACAATTAAAATGACGTTTAAATAAAAAGGTCTTGGCCTGGTGCCGAAAAGCAATAACGTGTTTTCAGAGAGATGCAACATAACAAAGTTGGGCCTTTTACATTTCAGGAACAGAAAGCAACTATTTTTAGGAGTGCATGATCCAAGAAGAGAAACACAGCTTGAACCTTAAGACATTCATTTGCAAAGAAGGCAGGGCAGGGCCATGACATGACTTTTCAGAGTCCAGCTTTGATGTTGAAGGGCCTTGGAGCAAGAACTCCAAAGAATCCCATGGCCTCCCAGACAATGTCAGAAAGCTACAGGGTTGTGCCTTAAGTGTTTTTAGCAAGCTAATTTGATATATTGATAATACTCTGTTTTCCAGGTAAACATCTGCTGACCCTACTACATTATCCTTGCTTAGTTATTTGGTATGTCAGGCAATATATTGGACAGCCATCTGAGTGGGATGGTGTAAACTGATGTCCTGTAATAGCATGGGGTTGGACCAGATGGCCTTCATGGCCCCTTCCAACTCTACTAGTCTATGATTTTATGTATTTTTCTTTACATACCTGAAGAAGGGCCGATGCAGCAGTAGCTTAAAAACAAAGGGAGAAGAAATCTGGAAAAAAAAGCATTGGTTTCACAAGATGTTTCTTACTATAAACAAAAGCTATTTATTCTTAGTTTTCAATAGGTTTCTTTTGCCCTTACTTGATACGGCAAATTAGCCACACATGCATCAAAGAATGGTAGGTCACTTTTCAATACATCACCGATTTTAATTTCGAGTTTGTTAGCCAAGGGCCTGAAAGAAAACAACAGTCTCTCTTTAACACATGTCTAAGAGATATTCTAATTAAAGAACAGTGCAGCATTTTTCCCATTAGGAACACTTACGTGCCCTGGACCCTCTTCTGCAGTTCACCAGCAAGCCTTACATCAACCTCACAAGCAATTACCTGAAAGAGAATCATATATAAATGACGGTGTGTGCACTTTATACAGAATGTATCCAGAATGACTTCATATCCATTTAGAATCATGCTCAATCATTTGTTTTGGCAGTACCATGTCTCACAAAAGTTTTTTTAGCTTTGTATTTGTTTAATAATAACATATGTAGAAACACATTGGGAAAAGGAATGGTTATTTATTATACGCATGAGGAATAGAAAGAAGCTGATGCTTTCCTTTAGTCATCCTCTTTTCCCATGTGATCAATAAAGTTTGAATGTGATCCTGTTCATCAGTTCCCTGTTCTCCCTGTAGTCAAGTATGAACAAAAAAAAACATCTTGCCTGTTATTTCTTAGTGGATTTTTACCTTTTTCACTTTTTCCAGCATTTTTACTGTCATGTTACCAGTGCCAGGACCAACTTCTAGAACCACATCGGTAGGGTACAGGGATGCCTAAAATGAATAAAATTGGATTACATGAAAAATAAGTTTAAAAAATTTGGTAGCATTTGGTGTTGATCTCTCTTAAGTAAGAGTTGATCTCATATTTAAGATAGTGCATTAGGTGTGAAAGCAGAATACACTTCTGTTCCCAGCAAGGATCCAAATAAATTCCCAGGGAGGGACCAGACTGCATGCTATTTCACTCAAAATTTCTCATTCAGTTGCTTCTAATACCAGATATACACATCATTTTGAGTCATTTTAAATTGAATGTTTATAAAATTAATTACTTTGTACAATGTTTGGGTTGTATCTCTACATCTAATTTACCTCTCATTGATTCTAGAAATTTTGTCTCCCCATTATCTCATCTTTTCTGTTAGTGTTTCATAGTGCAATGCTAAACATGCCTATGCTACTCTACTCAGAAAAAAAAGCTCAATGGGGCTTACTCTCAGGTAACTGAGTGTAGGATTGTACACTTAGTTATAGCCAATTTTACATTCATTTATCTTTAAAGATAAAATTATCAAACAGCTGTGATTATCACCTACCTTTTCTATAATGCTGTTAACAATGAGGGGATTTTTCAAAATGTGTTGACCAAGTCCAGTGTTGAACCTGATACCTATTAGTAAAGGCACAATAGCAGAAGCACAAAAGTAAGTATTGATTGCATGACGCTGTCTTTAAGCCTAAAGAAGTAGTCTGATATAATGGAAAGCTCTTCAACTTGAACTTCAGCCCTGGGATAATACCCTATGTAATACACCCAAACGTTTCAATTTGGCACCCTACAAGCATTGGGCTATGGTAACCTTTTATTGCTTTATTATATTCATATTCTGCCTTTTTCTGTCCAAGGAACACAAGGGGGGCTTACAGAATTCTCCTCTTCCTGTTCTGTGAGAAAGATTGAACTGACAGTCTGTCACTGGCCTCAAGTCATCCAGCTGAGCATGGACTAAAATCCAGATCACCTGAGTCCCAGTCCTACACTCTTAACCGCTACACCACACTGATTCATGACAAACATGCAGTTTGGATGATATATTTTTATTGTGTGTAGCCTGGCCTCCTTACCTCGAAATAAGTCCCACTGAACTTAAGTTCTGGGTAAACATGCATGGGATTGTGTGGTTAATTGCAGTACAAGTTTTTGCAAGGAAGAGCTTATTGTACTAAAGACAAGATAAATTAAACACTAATAGATTAGTTAGTCTTTAAGGCATCAAGTCTCTCCAGGCACCCACTCTATGCCCTTTCCACTCGTTTCTCAAGTTTGTAGGAGAAAATGTTACTGCCCAGAGAAAGCTCTCCTTTCAAGACTTGTATCATGGGTAGGATTGCATTCTGAAGAATCTACCTTTAACTATTTGGATGCATCAGGAAAGAGTTGTCCTGCTGCATTGCTTCATGGGTCCCACCTTCCTCTCTCCTCATTAGTGTTTGAGTAAGCACACAGGGAACCAGAATAAGCAATGAGACCTAGAGAGGAACAATATATAGTAAGATGGCATAAAGCAATGGCAAAGGATGCATTTTCCAGCATCAGTACCCAGTAGCAACAGCTATAGATATGATATAGTAGGGATGGAAAAGGCCTCTGCAGAAAACCCAGGAATGCCACTGACAAAGGAGTGGATAAACAAGGGTTGACTACGACCTGTCTTCCAGATGTTTTGGCAGACAACTTTCATCATGCCTCACCATGTGCTATCCTGGCCACGGCTTGTGACACCTGTGGCCCCAATACATCTGAAGGGCCACAAGTTGCCCAGTGGTCCTTCAGGGTTAGAATTAGGGAATGGAAAAGAATGTGTGATGGTGGTACCCTCTCTCTCAATATACAGTATTATGCAAGTGTTGAATTCCTGTGTCAAACAAGCAAGAGAGGTATTTTGTCTGGGACAGCAGGCTACAACACTTATTATAACCTATCCATTGTTCTTAAGGTGATGCAAGTGCTTCCCTATTTATTCTTATAACAACACTGTGAGGTGGGCTAGGCTGAGAGATGAGATTGCCGCAAATCACCCACAGAACTTTATGGCTGAGTGGGGATTCGACTGGCTCTCTTAAGGATCCAGTCCAACACATAAGGCCTGCGCCACGCCGAACCGCTGCTTTTATTTACCACCACCTTCCCTTCAAGGAGAGCAAGGCTACGATCACCCCACTTGATATGCACAAGAGTGCTGCGTGGCAAGCCAACCGGGAGGTGGTGCTCCTGCGCCTTGGTCACCCCCTGCATTCGATCGCTGAGCAGGAATTCGAACCCTGGTCCAAGCCTGACACGACTCTTCCCCCACCGACACCATGTGGCCGGATCAGTTCCTGGATCTCAATGAGGACTGTCCTCCCCAGCTCAGAATATCCTCACCCTGCCGAGGTTCCTTACCTGATGTCGGTCCTGGTCCTTTTCCTTCTCGGCGCTGCTGCCGGGAACGCGACGTCGTCTTAACTTTGGGCATGGTAACGTCTGGCAACTCAAAGATCACCACGCGCTACTTTCCTCACCGCCGCAGACGGACGAAGAAGGAAGCTGCTGCTCGCGCGCGGAATGCCGGGACATGCAGTTCTTCGTAGAAAACAGACAATCCTAAGAACTACAACTCCCGGGAAGCACCTCCAATGAAGCGGAGTGTCCATACTATATGCTGTTTAGGAAACGTGGGGTTGCTGGGGACTTCTGGCACTTTTTTCTCTTTCAAAGTGTGTAAGAATGAGCTCTAAAAGCCCATGGGAGTTTTTTGTTTGTTTTTAACAGTATCGCGGGAAAAGATGGGCTTAAGGGATGCATACGCACTCATGAAAGACTGGTGGTGAACTGAGAAGTTATTCGAAAGAGGGAAAGAAAAAGAAAGGTCCATAGTTTCAACTTCGAGTAAGAACAGAAAGTTCCGTAATTATGGGGTGTTTCACAAAGACATTTAAAAAAGGAAAACAGAGGGAAACAAGCTTCTGTTTAAGGACGTTTCTTTCTCTCTGAAAACGTAACCCGACCCCGTATTCTTTTGCGCACACTTCTCAGTCGAGGAAGAACAAGGGAGGAGGCTACCCGTTACCATGGCGACCAGAAACTTTCTTACGCTGCCGCAAAGGGAGCAGGGTGGGCGCCCGGAAACAGCAGGCAAGGGAGCGTTTTGGTGATGTCATCATAGCGCGCCGTGTTGCCGCGGCACGGTGTGTGAGCCCGGCTAGTGGCGCCAGCTTCGGAATTGGCGGGCCCCGTGTGCGCGAGGCCGAGATCGCGGCGGAGAGCTCGACCCTCAGCAGTGAGTACGGAAACGCGCGGTGCGGCCTCCGGCCTTCCCCTCACTCGGGGCACGGCAGGGAGCTCGCGGAGGCCTCTCGCCCTGCTCGAGGGGGCGGCGGCGGCGGCAGTTTCGAGCAAGCGAAGCATCCGCTGTGGGTCTCAGGTTATGAACGAGTGTGCCTCTCCGCTCTCTCGCTGGTTTGCCCACTCATCCGTTTCCCGTCCATGAGTCCTTCCCTCTCTTCCACTGGCTGGAGGTTAAGTCCTAGCCTTTAGCTTCTGCGTCTGATGGGAGAGGGGCAAAAGTGGTAGAGCTGATTAGGGTCAAGGAAGGGGGATCACACCCACCAAAGCTGGCCTTGATCCTTTCAGTTGCAGGATTCCCTATGGGGGGGGGCAGTTTATCTCCCTCTGGATGTTGTTGGTCTGCAAACTCCATCATTCCTTCGCACTGGATATGCGGCTTAGGCTTGATGAGTGTTGTAGGCCCACAGTAAATTGTGGGGACTGCAAATTGTCCGTGCTACAAGTTGTCCGTTGTTCCCGTAGGAAAATGTTCTTAGGTAGGGGATGGGTATACAAAGCCTCTTTAGCATACATGCTTCACTCAGCAAGCCGTCTAATGCCCAGAACTATTTTTTGTTTGTTTGTTTTTTAGCAGTCTTTTGGTTTAAAATGAATAACGATGCAAATAGATTGGTGGGAAAAAGGTCACACAGGCAGAATGTACACTCACCTCTCCCAAAATGCCATCACCTCTCACAAAATTTTTGGACTGTTTAGCTATCTTAAATAAAATAGACTCTAGTTTGTTAAACCACAATTTCTGGGGGCAAGCAAATAGAAATCCTGGTATATTTTACCTTTCTGCTTGTGTATGTAAACAGCTTTTACACGTGAAGGAGCTACGTGTGTGAACATCACTGGAGTTTGGCACAAAAGGTCTTTTAACTGAGAACTAAATATTCATGCATAGCACTATGCTTTGGCTGATTTATGCTATATCTTGAATATGCCAATATTCTATAAAACTTCACAGTGCTGAACACAAATACATTTTATTTCTTTATACATTCAAAAGAAATTATTTTCTCATTACTAGTTATCTGGAATTGTATTTTTTTCTACCAGTTGTCATATTTCTTCAGGTGTTAATTCCCAATTAATTTTAAATCTAGCCAAACACAAGTGTGCACACACCTAAATAAAACCGTTTTTCTAGTTTATTGTAAGATGTTTAACTGTTTTAGATAGGGTTCTTGTTAACTGCATTGAGGCAGTGACTTGTCTGCAAATTCTGTATTATATACTGATGGCGGTAAATTAATAAGTAATAGCTCTATTACATTGTGCTGAATAGTTGTGTAAAATGCTTCTACATTATACACACAGGGAGCTGGATCTAAGGATATCCTTTTATGGACAGAAGGTTTTCTTCCATTGGTGGAAGGACTCAGATCCAGTGGAGGTTGCTGTTGAAGGAATAGGTGAAAATAGTTTTCACTGATTGGGTCTGTGCAGCATGCCAACTCATTATGGGCCTCTAGCTTAACCCTGTTCTTGATCTATAGTTATATTTTTGTTAACAATGTTTATTTAAAGTTTTTATGCAATGAATTTAATTTGTTGGATTATGTTTTGTATGCTTGGGTATTTTGCTGATGTTTTCAGTATTACTGATTTTAGAATGTTATGTGTTTTATTTATTTATTTAGGGAACTTCTATGCCGCCCCATTCGCCGAAGCCTCAGGGCAGCTCACAATCATAAATAAATAACATAATATAAAACAATATAATTTAACAGTATAAATTAAGTTGCTCTGGCCAAAGAATAAAATAAATAAATAATATTAGCAATTAAAATAACGTTTAAATAAAAAGGTCTTCGCCTGGTGCTGAAAAACAAATAACGACAGTGCCAGGCGGACCTCTCTGGGGAGCGCATTCCATAGATTGGACGCCACTGCAGAGAAAGCCCTCCTCCGAGTACTCACCCTCCTAATTTCCTTCACAGAGGGTTCCCGGAGAAGGGCCTCTCCCGCTGATCTCAAGGGGCGGGCGGGCATATATGGACATAAGCGCTCCTTCAGGTAACCAGAACCCAAGCCGTTAAGGGCTTTATAGGTCATAACCAACACCTTGAATTGGGCCTGGACTTCAATGGAAAGCCAGTGAAGCTGACAGAGAACTGGAGTCATGTGAACATAATGCATTTTAATGGTTGTAAGGCACATAGGGAGCCCAACTGTAGGCTCTTGTGGCAGCATATAAATTGAAGGAAGGAAGGAATAAATAAATAGCTGTGATGGGTTGTCATGTCATCCAAACCCAGATCACCTTCTGTAGAATGGCTTAATTGTTGATAACCCCTGTTCTGGATTTATTTGATTAATGATGGTGGTTTTTTGGCGGGGGAGGGCAGTGACTGAACCCGAGAGAGCAATTTCATAGTGGGTTGTGGGAATTTGCTAAAAAGCTGTTTGTTAAGAGCAGCAAACCCCCTACTGCTCTTTTAATTGTGTCATTGCCAGAGACAACTGCTCCATTGATGCCTAAATAGCACTTTGGAGCAATGGTCACTCATTTGTCACTCTGTTTAAAAAATCTTCAGACCCAGAAAATTGTGCAAATTATGAGACATTTTAGTATTAATATTATTTTTGTTAGTCCTTTGCAAGTGCATTCAGTTGTCCAATATGTGTAGTTTTGCCTGAATAATCTTCTTGCATGCTTCAGCTGCCAAAGGTCACCTCCAGGAGGAACAGGCAACATACAAGGATAGTGACAAGGCGGAACTGCATATGGGCAAATTTGTGCCCAGTTACTAGGGATCAATTGCCAACTTGTCAGTTGTCAAACAAAAGAGCAACAAAAGTAGGTACATCAAACGGAAGGGGAACAATACATCCTTCTTGGCAATCTCAGTTTCATATACCTTACCAACACAGTTTCCCAGATTTCTAGCCATTATAGAAAGGAAAGATACTGCTTCATCCTGTATTTTTTGCAGCTTCTTTTTGGATCACTTGCCACTGCGGTTACTGAAAGTGGAGGGCACCAAGAAACATCAGTTCCATACTTGCAAGTAATAGGATCACATTGCCAGTGAGAGATATTCCCATCTCTCTTTGGTGTACCTCCTTTTTTTTCTCTTTATCTGAGCTTTTTTTTATTGACAACTTGGGAATTGGGCCCTGACAACTGTGCACAAATTAACCTATATGCAGTCTTCCCTTTCCAGTCTTCATTGCTCCAGCTGCAAGGGCAGAGGGAAGGTACTTAGTTTTTCTTTACATAAAAATGGCTCTCTCCAACATATATACCACTTCTTGATTTTTGAAAATTCTGGTGTCCTATAACTCCTAAAAGTTCATGTTTTTCATGAAGAAAGTCTCAAGGTCTTTGAACATGCCCAAGTTCAAACATTCCAGAGTTCGGATGCCAAAATTTAGATAGATGCTTCTAAGTTTGAACTGCAGGTGCAGTGAAAAAAATGCTAAGTGCCTTTTCACTCATTCTCAGTGTCTTTTCAGTGAGTGCCTTTTCGATCTCTCCAATGTCTTTCAGTGAGTGCCTTATGTTATTGTTCAGGGTCTGGGAATGGATTAAATAACTTTCCATTATTTCTAATGGGGAACATTATTTATTATTTATTTATTTGGAAATTTTGTATGCCGTCCCATTCGCATAAGCCTCGGGACGGCTTCCAACATCATAAATAAATACATATAAAATCTAGATACATCCTGGCTCAATATTTAAAACCAATAAATAAAATCAACTATTATTAAAATATTGTTTAAATAAAAAGGTCGACCTGGCGCCGAAAAACAAATAGCGACCTCTCTGGGAAGCGCATTCCATAAGTGGGGCGCTACCGCAGAGAAAGCCCTCCTCCGGGTACTCACCCTCCTAATATTTTTCACGGAGGGTTCCCAGAGAAGGGCCTCTGCCACCGATCTCAAGGGGCGGGAGGGCAAATATGGACGCAGGCGTTCTTTTAGGTATCCAGGTCCCAAGCCGTTAACAATGTTCTTGTTAAGCAAGAACATTGCTTCTGACATCAAACAATTCAGGGTTTAAACAGCCCCCTGAAACGAATTAAGTTTGAATTATGAGGCATCATTTCACTGGATTATATGGACCAGTGTTCTGGCTGGTATAAAGCTTCTTCTTGTGTTCCTTTGACAAGGAAATATGGGAGAATGCTTTAGCCTTTATCAACCAGTTAGCTAACTGAGGTCATTCGATGGCATGCTCCTGGTGGTTACTTCAGACAAAAGTAAGATATTGTAGTTACAGGCATTACTTTCAATTCTTACATTTCCCTGAACATTTTCCACAGGAAAAGCTGCCGTGGTTTGTAAGAGAGCCTCTGTATACCCTCCATGCCATCGCAAAATGCTGTACTGAGTTGTAAATTAACATGTTTTAATTTTAGCTTCATTGTTTAAGAAATGTGTGAAGAACTGTCAGTGGCATGCTGGATAGAGCAGAATATAAATTAAATAACCAAAGAATATTTAATTACTCTGGATTTTGAATTCTAACGGTAGCGTTTTGTCCAGTAAAACAACCTGTCTTTTTCTGAGAAGGAAAAGGTGGGTATGCGGGGCGGTGGGGTGCAGTTGCTTATTCTGCTCCCTGATTCAAGATGGATTAAAATGGCTGTAGATGCACTTTTGCATTCCCTAATATAAGAGACTTGGAGTGCAATACTGTGCATGTTAACTCAGAAGAAATATCAACAGGTCCAGTGGGGTTTATTCTGCATAGGACTGCAGCCTTAACGTACAGATGTTTCAGATAATTCAAAGTGTGAACTAAGTACATTGGTACATTGTATGTGAAGTCTGTTGCTTACTTTGAGAACCCTGATCAAATGCTTGGAGTAAGTATTGCTTAATTTAATACAATATGTGCAGCCTACTAAATTACCAAGAAAGCAAAATGTAACAATAAAATATATACTATATAATAGCTTTATGGCTCATGAATACTTTTCATTATAGATCATTAGCTATAGAAGCTTATATAGTTTCCTGCAGTATGAGCAGGGAATTTAAAGAACTATAGCAGAGGAGGAGGAGCCAAGATGGTGAATAGGCAGCAGCTGCTGTAAAGATCTCATCCAGAAAACTATTTTCCTATCATCTGCATTGTTAGTTTATAGTTTTAAATACCTTTCCTTTGCTGCCATATCGGAAGCCTTGATATTTAGAAAGAGCTGAGAAAACTCCAGGACATTATAAACCAACATGGGAAAAAGAAGGAAGAGACATCACACAGATTCCACAGTATGAGGTGTGTCCAGAAATAATGGGAATGATGTTTTTAAAATTCTTTTACTGAAAATATTTACAGTTGAATATTGTCTCCTTCAAAGTATGCACCTTGTGAATATACACAACACTCCCAGTGATTTTTCCATTCTTCATAGCATCCCTGGAAATCTTCAAAGGGGATGACATACAGAGCCTGTGTAGTGGCTCTTTGGATGTTATCCACACTACCAAAATGGTGTCCTTTCAAACCATTCTTCATCTTTGAGAAGAAAAACACATCACAAGGAGCCAAGTTGGGCTGGGGAAGCACCATGATGTATTTTTCAGCCAGAAACTCTCTGACAGCCAAAGCACTGTGACTGGGTGTGTTGTCGTGATGAAGGATCCAAGTTGAGCTGATCTTAACTTGTGCCATCAGTACACTTGTGGAGAGGATAGTGCAGCTTCTCCATAAGCTTTCCTTACCATTTTCAAAGTTTCTGATGCACTTTTACCCAATTTCACACAATTTTATTGCGTACCACTGTTCCAATATAAACAGTTATTACAGGCAAAGAAGAGGCAGGGTTTGATACAGTCTTAGAAGCAACTAATCTTTGCCACTCACTCTAAGAATTTGGCCTTATTTTGGAAATACAGAACTCTTCAATCTTCCCTTAAGCTGCGAATTTCATCCTTTATTCGTGCTTCAGTTTGGGAAGACCATATCAGACATCTGAAACCAAATAAAGCTCGTGGATATGACTTCATTTCAGTGGAGGTTATTCAAAACAATTCAGATTGGTGGTTACCAGTTATGGCTTTCTAATTTACCTGTAAACAAACATGATAAGGTTCCTGAGCACTGGGGCTTAGATTTGTTGATTCCAGTATATAAAAGGAGGAAGAGATCTACCCTCCAGCCGCCCCCCCCCCCAAGCCTCTTCAGTACAGTTAGTAAACTGTATGCCCGGCACTTGTATTACGAGGTTCAGGATTGGGTTGTAACTGAAAATATTCTGGCTGAATGGCAGACAGGCTTTAGGGAAGGCTGCTCAGTCATTGACTATGCGCTAACCCTTCATCATCTGGTCAAGAAATACTCCTCTAGAGCCTGCTCATCACTTTGCAGCATTCATTGACCTTAGATGTGCTTTTGACCTCATCTTCAGATCCATACTCTGGGAGAAACTGAACTCTTCTTCAATTGATAAAAAATTATTTGTGCTTATATACACATCATACAAGAATTCTTGGATGAAGTTATGATGCAACGCCCAAGGACAGTGCACTAAAGAAATCCTGGTTAAGAGGGGAGTGAGAGAAGAATGTATACTAGCCCCTCTGCTTTTTAATATATACCTCAATTCTTTTACTGATGAACTGAACAGTCCTTCTCTTCATCTGCTGGAATTGGGAAACAGAAACATCTCTGCTCTTTTGTATGCAGATGATGCTGTGCTGCTTTCTCAAGTTCCTCTTCTTTTCAGTTGGCTTGGTCCCTCTAATTATGACTGACAGCTTTCAGAGCTACTGAAACCAGGCAGTTCAGGCCAAATTGCAATTGTATGGTTATTCATGGCCAGCTATCACTTTGATGGGCTAGGAATGGGAGTTAGCAGAAAGAACAAGCCATTGATTTAGAGCTATAAGCAGATTATCCAGTTCTATCCAGAAACACCTTCCTGAACCATTCTGCACATCTTCTCTAACCAGCTGGATATCTCAGTTGCATAACAATCCCAAAATTCAGAAGGGATTTATCTTTAGCTAGATTCAATGCTCTCCCAACAGCTGCTACTGAAGGGAGATATCAAAAAATATCCTTTGAACAGAGACTGTGTCCATGTGGGAGAGAAATAATTGAATCGCTGGAGCATGTTATTCTTTATTGCCCTCTCTATGCAGGTGCTGGCCAGGAATTGTTCTTCCCACTCTCTTCTAAATACCCTGGTCATTCTGATCCTTTTTATCTCAAGATGCTTTTATCTGACCAATCTGATCTTACCACTTTGACCACTGCCAAGTATTATTCAACAGTCTGTCCAGTTTGCTGTAGAATTAACTCTGTTAGGCTTTTATTAGAAAACTTGTATTTTCCCTTATCTTAATTACTGTAATTTTAGAATTACTGTATTTCCCTTATTTTAACTAATTGTAAGTTTTATTTGCTGGTCAATGACTGAATAAAGAATTGATTGATAACTATAGCAGAAAGTTTCACTTTGTGAATATGTGCCTTTTATATAGGATGTGAGTGTGGATGGGCAGTTTTGTTTGCTTCTGCATTTTATTTTCAGTTATACTATTCTTTTTTAATTTGATGAAGTTGTATTTTAGCTAATATCTAATGAAACCTTGAGTTTCTGTTACTTCTGCTTTGTTTTAATCAGATAGCTGGATACTTATAACACACATTAAAAAGAGGTGTTTGAGAAAAATATGTTCTATGGAAAACAACTAATAAGCATTCTCTGTACAGTAGAATTGTTTTTGTCTGTGTGTGTGAATGGAAGCATGTGCCTGATGAATGCAAATCAGGCATATGTCTTCTGTGTGTCTATTGCTGAAGTTCTGCACTCCTGTTTATTAAGCATGTATAAAATTTTATGAATTGATAGGGTGTTCTGAAATTATCTTGGTAAATAGAATTAGTATCTTAAAATGTTTTAAATAAGAAAGGAAGATTGTATTGTGATTATGTCATATCTTTGTTTTTGGAGTTGAGATTGCCCTTTTTGATGCATTTTTTGCCCTGTGTGTTATGCTTTAGAGGCAAGCTCCCAGATAAAATAGCTTCAGTTTATTGATTTCAGTCATGGGTATATCTGTTTCTTTTTACAACTGCTTTTAATAATGCGTGTTGTGTTGTAAGGTGAGATATAAATGTGTTAAATAAATGGACTGTACATGAGGCATCACTGCTTCAGAAAATTCGTGCTATGAAGGAGCCTTGTAGCATTAACGTGTTCTTTTGTAACCCATGAAAAGTTTTGGTCAGTAACTAGTTTTCTTGAAGGATGACCATTTTAAGAAAAGAGTGGAGTGGTGAGTTGATGCTTTACCCTGCATCCCCTCAAGTGGTTACAATGCTACTTTTTTTAACCCACATCTTAAGCTACTAGCTGGCTATTCACTTCCTTCTAAGCCAAATTTGACCCAGGAGCTTCTAGTTGTTATTCACACATGTTTTATTTTCTTTGTTGAATGAAGCAAATTTACTCCTTTTTCAGGGACTCTTTTCTATTAGAATACAAACAGGTGCATGCTAAATCTTGAATATGTTCCTTTCAGTTTTATAGTATGTTATGGGCTTCCACTCTTTTCCCCTTTGTTCATATGACAGAAACGTGCTATCGGGAGCTGGAATTTGCTTCCTGATGTGTGTTGGGAGGTGGAGCTCGGGACACTTGCTTCCTGATATGTTCTCCTTATAGGCACAGTGTGCCTGTGACTCAAAAGTAGAGCACTTGCTTTGCTTCCAGAAAGTCCCAGGTTCAAAACCTGGCATTTTCAGGTGGCACTAGGAAAAAATATTGCCTGAAATGCTGGAAAACCATTGCCAGTCAATGTTGATTAATACTGGCCTAGATGGACCAGTGCTCTGGTGCTATACAAGGAGATCTTCCTCATAGGATGTAGGCTAAAAGTGGGACTTGGCTAAGTATACCAGCCTACACCTGCCTACTCAGAAATAAATCCCATTGAGCTAAATGGAATTAGCTCCAATTTGTGTGAGACTATAACCTAAATCTTAATTGTGTACTTCCTGCATCTGTAAAGACATGTGATCTGAATGCATTGCATGTCTGTTGTAGTATTGTGGGAACTAGGGATGCGGATAGTTCTACATGCGTATGGTTTCTAGTATGGGGTGAAGAATCTGAATGAACAGATAATGATCTTAAAGTCAGCTACTATAATCTAAATAGGGCTATATGCTGGGCTTCTTCACACTCATGGGCCAGCACGTGATAGTCATTGGTTTGAAGGAGCCTACTTCTACTTGCATAGAATTGAACATTGAAATGAGTCCACATCTTTGATATTTGTCTGATCAAGGCAATAATATATGAATAGTTATATAACGATTACTAATTCAATAATTCAATTAGATGAATTTTGCTGCTACTGATTGTTGTAGAAAAGGCCTTAAAAGTTTGTATATTTATGGACATGAACTGTCTTTACCACTTTGCATTTATTGCGAGGTAACAGGTAGTAGGATTTTGTAGGATAGCTCAGCACTGTGCACTTTTATGCCAATGTACTTCTTTTAAAACATCTTTGACAGATTTTCATGGATCTCAATAGTGCCAGTAACATTGTTCTTCAGGTCTTGACCCAAGCCACCAGTCAAGATACTGCTGTTCTGAAACCAGCTGAGGAACAACTGAAACAGTGGGAGACCCAGCCGGGTTTCTATTCAGTATTATTGGTAAGCTGCAGCAACGAAATGCTCTTTCTGAAGATTTTTCTCAGTTTTAGTTGCTTCCTTTTTTCTGATCTCTCACTTTTTTTAAAATGAAAAGCAAGATGCTCACTGCTCTGCTCTGCGTATTTATATTGCAAAGCAGGGGTGGGGAATACACCAGCAACATATGCCTGTCCTCTACATCCTGGTACATTCTCTGCCTGAATTTGATGATGTGGCAGGGGCAAAAAAATGGAAGTTTGCTGCCAAATTGCTGCAGATGCCTATCTGGTAGCAAGCTGTCAAGATTTTGTTTCTTCCTGCAGCCTTGTCAAATTTAAGGGGTACAGCGAGAGTATCACTAGAGGGGATTTGGGTTGGGGATGGAAAATGATCCCTGGATGCTTCATGACTGCTTACCTCTGCAGCAAAAAGAAAAATCAATCTTTGAAAGATTATGAAAATGTTTGCAAAGGTTGCTGCAATGAATCCACTTTCACAAGTACTTTTGCATATTTTAGTATGGTGGAAGTTCAGAGGTGATAATTAATCAGCATTCCCATGGCAGATGGGGTCCTGCTGAATATACACTTGTTCTATTGTGATTCATTTCTTGAATGAATCATGTAGAAGTCCTGATGGCTTGTATTTTCTTTTGGGGACAAATAAACATGGAAAAATATCTTAACTGACTTGCTTAACTGTGTCTTCACTTTTAAAGTACAAGCATGCCCCAAACAAAAGACTTTTCCATAGGCAGATCAGGCTGGGCTAAGGGGTCTTTCTCCTCTTAATCCTTGAAGCAGTTCTTATGGGAAGGGTGGCAGGTAGTGTATCACATTAATAAGATAAATAATTGCAGCACTAATATAAATGAAATTAAATTTTATGGTATTTCTGAGTGCATTTGCATAGATTGGACAGAGGGTTCACAGGTTTTGGAAGGTGCTGCAAAATCACTCTTCCCTAGTTGGATGCTCCCCATATATTTTTACTACAACCTCTGTTGTCCTTAACTGTTGGCCATGCTGACTTGGGTACATGATTTATGCAGCCAGAAACATCTGGAGGGGGACCTCTTTGGGGGAGGCTGTGTTTGACAACTGTTGCATGTTCACCAAGCTGGTTCTTGCCCTTGTAATGAGAAAGTCATTGCTTTCTCTGTTCAGTCTTGGATCTGATTAGTATTACTGAGTTCTAGTTAGATACATCATAGGCAAAATTATAGTTTTAGGGGAGCAGCATATTTTGTAATAGAATGTGGAAGGTTTTGAGTTACAAAAAACACTTAAATATGAAGCATGGGCAAGGCTTTGCTATATTGAAAGCAAAATTTCTTGCTAGTGCATGATCAGAAAAATCAGGTCCTTGAATGTGAAACATAGTGATGAGCAGTGTGATATGCATTGTTCTAATAGCATAGTATTCCAAGAGCCCTGTTCAGTGCCTTTTTCTTTTGATTATTTGGGTTCTAGTCTCTACTCAGCCATGAAACACACTGGGTGACTTTGGGCCAGTCACTCACTCTTAGCTGAACCTACTTCACAGGGTAGTTGTTGTGAGGATGAAATACAGCTATTTCAAGTTGCCTTGGATTCCTCATGAGAGGAAAAAAGATGGGATATAAAAACAACATGTTAATAATAATTTGATGTCTCAGAGATCTTAATAGCATGAATTAAGATCAATTTACAATTTTAAAATGAAGATAAATAAATGTACAACACCAGGATTTGATTTACATTAAATCCAGGGTTTACCTTTATAATAAATGTTTATGCAGGGCTTCTCTGAGACATGAAAATTATTTCAAGTGTTCCTCCAAAGTAAAAAGGTTAAAAGGGCTGCCCTGGACATTGTCTGAGGGGCTATAAAATATAAAAATTGTTGTTTGGAGTAGGACAGTTGCACAGTGAAAATATCACCTGGAGGCACCTCAAGAATAGTTTTCCAGTTTGTCTGGATTGGGAAACTAAAGTTAATTACATGCCAGGATTTTGAATTATTATTTGAAGTTTGTTGTTTATCTTGTCTTGTTCCAAAGCAGATAACCTTGGTTTAGCAGTTGGGATGAAACCTGAGCATATGACTGGGTTCATAACAACTCATAACGAGCAACTTACTGTATTGCACAACCTCAAACAGCTTTCCTCAGTTGGCTAGGAATCCACCTTGAAAACCCATGTCATCTGAATGTGGGCAACTGGGGAAGTGATAAGTTACCCATTTGACAAGTATGGCAAAAGCTTCTTTCCAGGCTCTCCTGAGCCACTGAGAGTGACAACCACTTCACCAAATGCCCAAGTAGAACTTAGATATGACCATCACTGGTTTGTTCTTGCTTACTGCAGTCTTGAGCCCATTTTGGCTGTTGCGGTTTCCCACCCCCATTTTTCCTTCTTTGCTGTCATGGTGGCACATTGGAGGAGCTGTCCATGCATGGATTGCCACCATGCTTTTTTTCTTTCTATGAAGGAAGGAGGAAATAGGCTGTATCAGCAAGCAAAAAGGCTTGTCTTGTGCATGTTCTGGCTTAACCCTCCCATATTAATGGGATTTCTAAGTTTATTTGTGAACTTTTTTTTTTTTTAGCGAATCTAGAAAACTTTGTAGTCCCATATATATCTTGGCTTTGCAGCATAAATAAGTTTGCAAAGGAACTGAGCTATATTACAGAGTAATTTGTTACAACACAACAAGCTCAGCTCTTGGAAAGCCTTAACTTCCAGTAATCTTGACTGAGAAATAAAACTGGTGAAGGTGTCTGCCACAAAGGTTATTAGATTATGAAGCAGAGAACCCACAGTGCTCCCTCTCCTAAACCATAGGCTATACGGCAGCTTTGAACCTCTCTCAATTATTTCTTGTGATTATGGCTGTCCGTCTTCTATGTAACTGACAGTGTTGCCCTGAATTATCTTTTGATGCTTGTCATGACACTGTGGTGGCACAGCTGCTGTTATATTTTATCTTTATTTGAAGTGCAGTAAAAGTGCAGATGAAGCTGGGCTTTGACACCTGGATTAGTCTAGGATATAATTAGAATACCTTTCAGATGGTAAAATAGCAAAGAGATAAATATTCTGAATTACTTGCAAGTAATTGTGGTTTTACTATGAGCCTCATTTTATGACATCAAGAAAGAGGGGTGGGAGTAGCCAAAAATAAGCTGACTGATGGTGGAAGCTGGCTTTTCTTTGCTTACAGCTTCTAGTTCAGGAGCTGGGCTTTTCTTAGGGGTGTCGAATGAGAAACAGGACTGGAGAGCATTGACCCCACCCATTCAATATCCAGGGACTATAATACCTCTCCTTTGTAAAAGCAGCTGCAGCAGCTTGAGTAAAAAGTTCTGCAGTGTGCTTCTGCAATACAAGTAAGGAATAAGGCAGGTGTGGAGGGCTGGAATTTACGCTACTACTTACTTACGTTGTGAGACTGGCAATAATGGTCTGTATGACAGGTGGAAGAGAGCCCCTCTGCCCTGTTTCTCCCTAACCATTGTTGTTGTTCCTGCATTGCATTTATATCCCACTTCTTTCCTCTTGTGAAAAACTGGAATGGCTTACATAGCTCCATTTTATCCTCATAACAACAACCCATTGACGTAGGTCAGGGTAAATAACTGGGCCAACATCACACAATGAGTTTCATGGCCAAGTGGAGACAAGAACCTGAATTTCCTTGATCCCCAGTCCAGCACTTTAATTTCCTTATTTATTATTTATTTATTTTTCCGTTTATATCCTGCCTTTTTCCTACAAAGGGCTCAAGGCAGCTTATATCTCCTCCATCTTACCCCACAACAACAACCCTGTGAGGTAGGTTGGGCTGAGAGTCTGTGACTGGCCCAAAGTCACCCAGTTGGCTTCATGGCTGAGTGGGGACTAGAACCCAGATCGTCTGAGTCCCAGTCCCATGCTCTTAACCACTACACCACACTGGCTCTCTGGGCATTTCTCCTCACAGCTAATGAGAAGAATTTACCACCTTATACAAAAAGTAAAACTTAAACTCCATCTGTACAAACTGTTGGATATCACAAGCGATGTCTTATTAGGCTGAAGATTATGTCTACTGTTATAGTATCCCCTATTGTTGAAGCCTTACCATTTTCCTGTGGAGCAGTTTAGTATTAAATGGGTTCTTGCAGCAGTTGTACTGTTTTCCAGTGTTAAGATGTAATAATGTAATATGTGTAGAGCTGTGTTAACTCTATCTTCTCTTACAGAATATTGTCACAAATCACAACTTGGATGTAAATGTGAGATGGTTAGCTGTGCTGTACTTCAAAAATGGAATTGACCGCTATTGGAGACGTGTGGCACCACAGTAAGGAATATATTTTACAGTAGAGAGTTCTTTTTCAGCAAACATTATAAGAAAAAAACCTGATTTCTTCATTTGTATTGGTGAAAAACTGACTTGCAGGAAAGTTTTATGAAATACATACTGATTTTCACTAGTACAGAGTTAGAGAGGTGTGTATTTATTTATTTTCTGCCCCAGCCATTAGCCAGGAAGACTCTCTGGATGGCTTAGAGAAATATAAAATAACAGCATATGGAATAAAATCATAATTTCAAATCTAATATAAATGCTTACAACAAGAAACTCCCACCACAGCCACAGTTCAAATTAAGCCAAGGGCATGGTAGCAATAAAATACAATAAATACCATATAAAAATTCTCTAAAATTACTTTAACTATTAAATATTTGGCAAATAAAAAGATCTTTGCCTGGCACCAAAAGGAGTAGACAGAAGGGGCCAGGTAAATCTCTGTGGGAGCTGATTCTGGAATTGAGATGTTGCTACTGAAAAGGCCCTTCTCCTTGTAGCCACCCTCTTTGTTTCCCTCAGAGGGGGCTCTCTGAGCAGGACCTCAGATGACGATCTTAAGGTCTGGGTAGGCATGTCTGGGTAGGGGCACCCCTTTAGATAACCTGACCCCGAACTGTTCAGTGCTTTAAATATTGTTAGCACTTTGCATTAGGTCCAGAATTCATTTGGTAGCCAGTGAAGTTGATTGGGGACTGGCACTATAGGTTCATATCTGCCAGTCCTCATCAACAGCCTCGCTGCACTATTCTGGACCAGTTGGAGTTTCCAGAACATCTTCCAAGGCAGACCCATGTAGAAGTGTGTAACCCTGATGAGAGGATACCAGAGCATATATTTCCAGACAATTTGAAAACACAATTACCATGGTGATGGTCTCACTTCTTCCTTGTTCTTCCTTTAGAGATCATGCATCCCAGGGACCATAAGATGGTTCAGAATCTCCTTTCTGAGTTCAGGAGTAGTGTTCTGAACTCAGACACTAGGGCCAGATTCCCTACCCTATTGCAGTTAGCAATAGGGTGGGGAATCTGCTGCCCACCAGGATCAGAAAAACAGCCCTGGAAGGGAAGGAAAGGGGTTTCTGAGGAGCAGTGACCACAGAAGAATTTAGGTTACAAGTAACCCTAAGTCTTTTTCAGGCTCCTTCTCTCCCCCTTAAAGTCCCTTCTTAACTGTGCTAATTAGAGCAAAATTAGTGTGGGGGATGGGGTGGCAAGGGACTTTCATTAGATGTCTGAAACCTTCACATTGCTGTTTAGCATTGTATGTATCATGATGATAAGAAAAAACAACAAGCATGTCTATTCTTAATTTTTAAAGGTTAAAGGGAAACTATATGTCCACATTAAAAGTAATTAATTAGAAGTCACTTATCCCCATCGATTTATCATACAGGCCATACGTATTGGCAAATACATAAAGTTCACATATTCCAAGCGTGTTTTGACCAATCTGGACTTTGGTGGGAGAAAATATAGAGATAAATAATCATAATAGTCCTTACTAAGAAAGATTAAGATCATGCTTGAATTTATCATACCTTACATAGAACCAGTAATTAAATATACAGAAAGTAAGCATCACACCATTCACCTGGTAACAGTATCAAAAGGGGGAGGAAGCAATCTCTCCTAAAGTAAAAATGATTAATTCCTTTTCTCCCTAATAGCTGTTTACCATAACAGAAAACAACACAACTCGTGTTCAAAATAGGTGTATTTATTTATTTGGAAAACTAACAACTAATTCCTCAGGAGGGTTTAGACTTTATGTATGAAGAAATATTGCTAAACCATAAAGCTTTTTTTAATAGTGTGACTGTTCAGTGGAGAATAAAGATATCACTTCTACTATCCTGTAGATGTCAGTATTGCATCATACAAGGTGTCTCTCAAAGTTCCCACTTTTCTCATGCTTAATATCCACATAAAGCCTTATGTGTAAAATATTTTAGGAAAATTACACCTGAGTATAACTGTGAAGTTATCCTGCCCTTTTTTTTCCTGTTATGCGTTTTCGCAGTTGGCAAATCTTTCAAATGTCTCACAAGTGACAAGTCCCAGAGACTACATAGGCTTCTTCCACATATGTGCTTATAACTGTATACACAATGCAGAGGCTTTTCTTAATAGTATTTGAAGATGCTCTCTAGTGGTTCTTGAATTTGTACATTACATTGCTTTAAAAATGTGTTTCTTGGCTGCTATGTAGAGACACATAATGGGAGAGCTACATAAAGTGGATGTTTCTTTCTTAAAAGCTAATCCTTATTCTTCATGGCCATTTTATTTTAATATACATCTGAGTTTAGAGATGGGGTAGGCTACTTGCTGGGCATGGCCACTGCATATCTGACTTGTACCCTTGAATGCATGACCACATTTTATGAGCTTCCCTGCTGTTATGAGTTATTGTTAACATTTAAGCTTTTCAACCATCTCTTCCTTGCTCTTGTTTGCTGACATAAATGAACAAAGCAAGCCAAGTCTAGGCATTCATTCCTTTTGTGGTATCATTTGCTTGGATCTGAAAATGTCTTCCATGCCTAGAAATGCTGTTCTGCTTGCATTCTAGAGCAGCAAGCTTGGTTTCCTCCAAATGATTTGGATTGTTACTTCCATAATTCCTGACCATTTTGTGTCCTAGCTGGAGTTTCCTAGCTGGGGTTGTCTATCCCATACTAGAGTTTTGCATATCAAAATAAAAGTAAGACCAAGTAGAGGTACACAGGAAGCATAATAGCTTGAAGATGCCTGTAGTCTCGTATGAAATCTTCTGGGAGCTCTTGTACAAGTGATTGCAGAAAAATGTTAGGTCACAGTTCTTTGTTTCTAGGTGTAGGTTTTGGACTGTTTCATATCTTGGATAGAATTTCTTTTTGCACTTAAATTCAAGCTGTTGATCTGTTAAGCTTCATTTTTTAATGACATTGGCATGCCGTTTGCCCATGTATGTGCATTATTCTTGGCTATCAGCAAGTAAAAGAGACACACTTTATCATGTTTGTATCCCACTCATCCACCAGCTAACTCCATGTAGTGTACATGAAGCTGCCCTTTTGATCTTTCGAGCAACCCTGGTGAGAGAAAGTAACTGGCCCAAATTCATGCAGATTGGTTCATGGCTGAGTCAGTGAAGTTCAGTGATTGAATCCATGGACAGTATCCAACAGGGTGCTTATGTCCCCACTTTTCCCTTTTGCAAGTGTCAGCCACTACTCATGAAATGGAGATTCAGCACTTCTGTGAACAAAACAGTTTCTGTAACGAGGCAGGTCAGCTGAGCATGTATATTGGAGAGTAAGCACCCTGTTTGAGACCACCCAAGAAGTTCAAGCTGTAGTGTCCAACATTATCTGTTACATCATGCTGGTTCTTGAAATAGCATAATGAGTTTTCCATTTTTTCATTCATTTCTTGATAAGAAGGTAAAGCAGTTACCTGAGTTGATTGCCTGTAGCTTAAAGAAGTTGAGCATTGCTTGAAAGTATGCTTCAGCATTCCTGTATTCTTTCTGAGCAAAAAAAGCTCTTCAGTGTATCAGTTCTAAGAAATTAGAAATTACATTCTCATGTACATTACTAATGATAGCTTTAATTCTCCAATAAACAGTGCCCTTTCAGAAGACGAGAAATCTACATTGCGTGCAGGGCTTATTGCAAATTTCAATGAGCCAATAAATCAGGTTAGTGATGATAAAAAGATACATATGAACTCTTTCTAAAGGTGTGTCTTGTAATTTTAAGTTGGTTAAGTTCAGAATGGAATGGATTTAATTTTTGTTTTAAATCCATTGTATATTTGAGGAAATATTCCATGCTGGATCGCATAAGGAAATATAGTTAATAGTAGTTAATTAGCATATTAGCTTAGACAGCAACTGTGTATCCTTGTGCTTGCAGAAGATGAATCAGAAATCCATAAAGTAAGTCAATTTCAGTATTTTTCCTTTCCTTTTCTTTGTTTTCAATAGAATTTCTAGCAAAAAACCCCCTGGAAGGCTAACTAACTTATTTGGCATGATGACTTCATAGGCAACATCTTTCTCCAACCTTTCTCACCCAGGTATTCCTGAGATGTTTTGGGCTAGAACTCCTACTAGCCATGGTAGCATGATCAATGGTCAGGAATTGTTGGGGTTGTAATCCAAACATCTCAAGGGCACTGAGTTGAGGAATCTATCAGATTCATGACGTCTGAGGTAATGCTGGTTGTAGGTTGCCTGCATAAATGTGGGAAAATACAGTCATATTTGTGGATCTTTGTGAAAAGACACTTTTCACTGAATTAAATTTCACTAAATCATATAATGGAAGTTAAAATCCTGACCATTCTTACTTGAAAGTTACCTTCATCAAAATCAGTATAACTCAATTTAAAGAAAATGTAGTTAGGATGAGAGTAATCATATTGAAGGACACCGTTTTTCTTTCAGAAATCTAATGTAGGACAAATCTAATGTAGGACAGTGTGCATTTCGCCTTTTTGTGCCCCTTTTATTTATTTATTTATAGATTTATATCCTGCCTTTTTCCTACAAAGGGCTCAAGGCAGCTTACATCTCCTTCTCCATCTTATCCCCACAACAACAACCCTGTGAGGTAGGTTGGGCTGAGAGTCTGTGACTGGCCCAAAGCCACCCAGTTGGCTCCATGGCTGAGTGGGGACTAGAACCCAGGTCGTCTGAGTCCCAGTCCCATGCTCTTAACCACTACAACACACTGGCCCTCTTCAATATCTCTTTCTGGTTGTGCTGCTTTTTGTTGTATTTATATGTATGAGAGGTTCAATACACTGTTAAGCCCAAAACTAAAGAGGAAATTAAGTTGTGTGCAGTTTATCATTCCCTCTTCTTCTGAAGATCAGGGTTGAATAGCAGTCCTTGTTGTTGTTGTTAGTCGCAAAGTTGTGTCCGACCCATCGCGACCCCATGGACAACATTCCTCCAGGCCTTCCTGTCCTCTACCATCCCCGGAGTCCGCTTAAGCTCACACCAACTGCTTCAGTGACTCCATCTAGCCACCTCATCCTCTGCTGTCCCCTTCTTCTTTACATAGCCTAAAGAGTGCCCTCCATAAATAAAAGGGGAGAATTGAAGGAATCCCAAGGTTTTCAGAAGTTCCGAATGTGTTTAGAGCAAGAGATCTAATCTGAGGACCTCAAATAGAGCCCAGCATGAGCTGGTTGTGCTCAGCAGCCAGAGAAAGCTGATTGAGCGTTGAGGAGCACCACTGGGGTTGGGCACAGGAAACAGAATGGAATAGCTTGGAAAAGGGCTGACTGGCTGGAAAAGAGAACAGGAGCATTCCGAACTGCAGCATTTTATTTCACATTCTACTTAACTGTTATTTTTGCTCTTACAGCATTAATCTTGAATTGAATTAATGTATCTTCTCTGTATAACTTATTGAAATGGTGGCTGACATCAGATGTGTGAGGCTAATTAAAGTGGGAAACAGTTGTTTTACAGGCCTAGTACACTCAGATCATAATGTGCTTGCTGTCTTGACTGTGGGTTTTTCATTTGGTTGTCTTTGCAGATTGCCACACAGATTTCTGTGCTGATTGCAAAGGTTGCTAGGCTGGATTGTCCTAGACAATGGCCAGAACTTATTCCTACCCTTGTAGAATCTGTTAAAATACAAGATGATCTTCGTCAACATAGAGCTTTACTTACCTTCTATCATGTCACAAAGACTTTGGCATCTAAACGACTGGCTGCAGATAGGAAACTTTTCTATGATGTAAGTATTACTTCCAGTAATGCATTTTAGCCAGGCTAGTTCCTCCTGTTGGGCATGCTATTACATTACTTCTGATCTATGCAGTCGAAAACAGAGTTAAGTAACAACAACACCCAGCTGGGAATGTGGAAAGTGGTTTTCTCCAGGTTGAAAATATTTATGTTTAACCTTTAATGTAGTTGAGGGCAGCCTGTTGGCAAAATGTGTTCTTTTGTAATTGAGCTTGTTTACAACACCTAAGCAGTAAATGACACATATATAGATTTTTCCAATGTCTTAACCAGGATTAAAAGATCAGTAGTTTTGTCTGAACTTGGATGAGCTCAGCCTCCCCCCACCCCATAATAAACTTCTCCATTTCCTTCCCTTTGCAGCCTATGTCTGAAACTAGGTTAATACTGGCCCAAGTTAGCTTTAAACCAAAGTTGGAAATGAACTTCATATCTTCATTTCAGACTTTGGTTCAAAGGAGAACCTCTGTTACTGCTTTGATCAGTGTAGACATAACACAATGGTTAATGTGGAAGGGGTGGAGGGAAAGGCACAAGCATTTCCCATGCAATTCTTTAACAGTTGACAAAAATTATGTGGTTGGTTTTATTTTGTATATTATTATTATTATTATTATTATTATTATTATTATTATTATTATTACATTTCTATGCCACCCCTTGCCGAAACCTCGGGGCGGCTTACAACATGATAAAATACATTGAAATACAATAGTACATAAGAAGAGTATATAAGAGTATATAAGAACTCATCTTTTTCTTTGTTAGCTATTTTGTATTTTTAAAGTAGCCTGAAATATTTTCAATGAATAACTATAATTTGTAAATCTACTTTAAGCCCTAGTTGCCGAGCCTGCTTTGCAGGCAATTTTTAAACATGGTTTAGAGTTAGATGATTACTGTTACCAGCTTGAACAAACCACAGTTCCTGAGTTGATGCACGACATAGAAATGCAGTTTGTTCCAAAGCTTTCAGTTGTCTCACATTGAAAAGGGCTTACCATTGTTCAGTTCTGAACTTTACCAAATATCAAATTCAGTAGAAGTAGTCACACTTACTAATGTTCTCTTAGAATTATTATTTTATTTATTTATTTATTTATTTTCCAATTTATATCCTGCCTTTTTCCTACAAAGGGCTCAAGGCAGCTTACATCATTCTACTCCATCTTATCCCCACAACAACCCTGTGAGGTAGGTTGGGCTGAGAGTCTGTTATTGGCCCAAAGTCACCCAGTTGGCTGCATGAGTGATCGGGGACTAGAACCCAGGTTGTCTGAGCCCCAGTCCCATGCTCTTAACCACTACGCCACACTGAATTATGTTTTGGGATAACACATTTCCTACATGAGATTGGAAGTGCTTGAGTTATTTTTGCTGCATGATCTGGAATTCCATTTTTTCTTTAGACTGTTTTGGATTGAAAATGAAATGAGAATTTTCAGATGAATGTTGTGTCAGTCTCAACAATGGTCTGATACAGACCCAACACCCTCCATCTCTAATACATTTTTAAATTATAATTTATTGCTAGGGATTCTGATCATAACTATTATCTTCGGGATCTGGTTAGTTTAACTATGGTTAATGTTGTAGATATAGTCCTTAACTATGGATCAATCTAAATAGAGGATATTATTGTAAGAAGGAAGGGACTGGGGCAGGAGGATCACATGGTCCAGTGATCTTAACTTGTAATTAAAGATTAGGAGTACTGTGCCACTCTTGTATTAAAATCAGGTAAACAATATGGTGCATGAAAGCATACATAAATTACTTGAGGCTTGAAATAAAACCCCACTGGTTTTGCAGTGATTTGCTTTTTTAACATATGATTCTTGAATTATACTTTGGCCTGGTTTGCACTGCAGTCAGCTTACAAATGTTGGCTTGTTGGGTGCAACAACTTAATAACTCATTGTAAATAATCTGCAATAACCATTGAATCCAAAGAATTCTAAAGAATTCTATAGAATCCAAAAAAACCAAAAACTATAAAAGTATAGTTTAAAAGTAGTTTTATGATGTGAAAGGGCTTTTTGCTCAAACAGCAGCCCACCATTCTAAAACATCTTTGGAAGCTGAGGTGAAAGTTTTCTTGTGCAGCATGGGAGTGAGGCTCAGGTCTTCAAAGATAAAATGCCAAAATATCTACCTGGTTAGAACAAGCCTCTTGTAAGAGCTTATATTGCTTTTTGGATTCTGGCTTAGATCCAGCTAAATTTTAGTTGTAAGGCTGCAATTCAAAATACACATTTTAAGAAATAAGTGCCGATGGGCTAAAGCAAACTTATTCTGAGTGAACGTGCTTAGGATCGCACTGCAGGTCGCAGCAGGGCAACTTGGTCATTACTAACCTAAATTTCATCACTTGTATGACTCACTGTAGCTAGATTAGTGCCTTCTATTCTGTTATGAAGGATTTTGGCGATGCCTGTTTTATTTGTATCAAACTTTTTAAAATTGCAGCTAGCTTCTGGAATTTATAGCTTTACCTGTTCCTTGTGGAATCACCATACAGATACATTCCTCCAGCAGATTTATACTAGAGATGAAACGGCTATGACTAATTCATTAGAAAGAACTCTACTATCCTTGAAAGGTAAATGACAAATTGATATTTCAATATAAATGTGTACAATTGAATAGACTCTCAAATTTTCTACTAATGCAGTGAAATATTTTGGCTGTTCAGAAACTTTAATACACGTACATTCTTTTGTTTTTCTGATAACATGTTGCTGACCCAGAGAGCAGAATTAATAATTCATTTCTCCACTTAAAGCTTCTGTTCTGTTCTTAAATGAGCAATTTTGTGTAAGGTTCTGTAGGTTCCCTCTCCCCCACTTTATACACAGAGACATATAAAATAGCGTAAAAATTACCCACTCGTATTTTATACTGATAATGTGATATGCACAAGCACTCTTTGTTCCAAGCTGCTTATTATTAAACATCTTAGCATTCTTTTATTAATTCACTTGTTTGAAATTGAAGTTAAAGAACATACTTCTAATTAAAGTACATACTGCATATTTTCTTTGAGAAGGCATCGTAAAGTAGGTGAAAAGATTTCATTATCCCTTTGCACATCAACAAAAAATCTTATCTTTCCTTTATCTAGCAGCATTTTCCTAGTGCTTATAATTAAAATTTTCCTGACAGTGTTGGGGTGTTTGTGCATAACAGCAGGAAATCATAGGTTAAGTAGCTCATACTTTGCTGCAGTGCATGTACTACAGCCTTTCTGATACTCAACCTCCAGCCATTCCATTGCATCCATTACAGGCAAACCAAATCACAGCTAGTACTTTGTAGCGATATGTTGGCTATTAGATAGTAGGTACATTTTATGACAGTAGTGATATCGTAATGAGGTTGTAATGCTGTATCATTTTTCAGTACTTCGTAAATTGACCGTTCATGGTTTTGTGGAACCTCATCGGAACATAGAGGTGATGGTAAGGAAGGAACAGTCTTTATTATTCACAAATGTTATTTTATTCTGGTTAAAATACTTCCTTAGAGTGTATTAGTGCTACTAGGGAGCTAAACAGTTTTTCCTGCTGAAAAAAATACATGAAAATATTAATAGTAAACTTTGGTAGACTGACCAAACAGGATTTAGAATCAAAATGGAACATGTTTGATACCCCAGAGATTTGATAAGGTAGTGACTGCTTATCCAAAAGGAATAGGAGATTTAAGTGATAAAATTGGTAGGTACTTTTCTGTTCCTTTTTTCTTATTATTTTTATATTTAATAATCAGAAGATTGAAATTAGAGTTGGAAATTAGAGTTGGAGCACATTTTCAGCCAAAACCTGAAAAGCTACTTTTGTTTGTATCTTCTTATTTTAAATTGCAACAAATTCCATGCTGAGCTGCCTGCTCTGTTCTATAGGTCCTCGTAAAACTAGATGATATATGCAATGAATCTGTCTGTCTTTCTAGACCCAGCCATGGCTCTGTGTCCTGGCCCCGCTCTCTTTTCCTCAACAATCAATTGTTTGGCGGTTTCCCTGTGTTTGTGCCACTTTTCCCTATTCCAAACAGCTTTGCTACTGTCTTATCAGCTTCGAGCTATAATATGCAAGTATTTTTGGCACTACCCCCTTTTGTCTTTGGCCTCCACCCACCACTGGAATGCGCTCTGAGAAAATCTGTAAAATTGAATTTGGTCCTTAGGTTGAAAGAAGTTCTGCACTCCTGCTTTATATCTGTGCAGTGGTCTTGATGGAAATCTCCCCTGCACCCAGGCCAGCACCTATTAATCCTGGGTGGAAGCTTTTATTTGCCATTTCCTTGTGCGTGCTACTCAAATAACAAAACGCACATGGGTTGAATGCAGATACATATTTAGCATAAGGTCTAGTTTGGCCCTGAGGTGCCCTGCCCCACTCGTGTCCCATAGCTATTCTATTTCTACCTAGATCTCACTTACCTTCCTTTTCTATGCCTCTACTGCACTGGGCTCCCCTGTATTGCTCCTAACAGGTTAACTAAATACTTTTGTAATGCAAATGTTTCCTTAATTTTTTAAAAGGGCAAATATAGCACAGTTGGATTCATGTGTGTTGTTTTTATATTTTGTAGGGATTTCTGCATGCAGTATTTGAGCGGCTAAAGCAATTTTTAGAATGTAGTAAGTATTTAAGGGCTTGCTTTCATGTTATGCATTCTGTTTTTAATCCCAAGTAGTGTCAGTGCTGAATTAATAGTAAAATATGTAACACAGTGCAAGTACGTTCTTTTGTATTCACTGAGATTTGCTTCCTAGTCAGTGTGTTTAGGAGTGCACACCTATGAGGAAGTATGCTCCATTACACTCAAAGCATCATACGATTGATCAAATTGTTTAAGATTGCTCTCTTAGTTTCTGTTGCCAAAAGAGAAACACTTCTTAACATAAAGATTTATTACTAGAAATAGTTATCACAAAAATAAACTTTTTAAAATTTATTTTGAAGTTTAAGAGACTTACAAAAAGTATCTTTACATACTGTAATTAAAAATGCATATCACTTGAGTTTTAAAATGTCCTATTAAGGATATGATCTGGTTGTATTTCATTCACATCTGGAGATTTTGAGATCCAACATTGGTTGTTAACTTTTCAGAACACTGAATTGGGAGATCAGTCATGGCAGGTACAACTTGAGTTCTTGAATGCTGGATATTTTAAATTGCAATTAACTGCATTAGCCTTTGCAACGATCCTGTAATGGTGTTCAGTGTTATAATTCATTCATATTAAATATTAGGGCCTGAGACTGAGGAAGTGTGGCTTGTGTAAGGCCATCTGACAACTTGATTCGCACACAGCAAAATTGTTGTTAAAAACTTTGGTTGTTGGGAACAAGCCAGCATGTTAGTTCAATGCTACTTGATCATGCCTGCTTGGCTTCTCCTACCAGCCAGTGCAGCTAAACAATTCAAGGACACTTCATTTCTTGATTATTTAACATGAAGTTCAAATCTGAGCTGTAGGAGTATGTCCCCTTCAACACGAGTTTTTAAAAATCCTATGGTAGAGTTGCATGTAAATCAGGCCAGGATGTTCATGGCAGAGGGGAGATTTACAGTTAGATTTCCTAGCACAGACTCATTGCCACTGTGTTACCTATATGGGATATATAAATTGCTATTTTTCAGGGAAGAGACCGGGGCAGCCAGGGTTTGAGGTATACTGAAGCCATTGCAGCCTCTTTCCTTCCTGTGTGTAACACTGTCTCTTGATGGCCCCAAAGAGCCATCCAATGAGTGGGTAGGCAAAGATGGCCTCCACCAGTCTTCCTCCTCTGCATTGGGAGTGTGAGCTTCCATGTTCAGGGGCTTACACTTTCCTCCATAGAACTGAACTCTACATCTTATGGCATGACAGTTCTGTTAGCCTTTAAGGTGCTGGCATTTTTTATATATGTTTGCTGTTTTTTAATTCTAGAATTGTTGCTTCTATGGAATTTAAGACAACTGAAAATAATCTTTTTTTTTCATTTACCAGGTAGAAGTATAGAAGCAAATCATGTCTGCAGAGATCGACTAGAAAAGACTATAATTCTTTTCACTAAAGTGGTAAGTTATTAAACATTTTAGCTGAATAAACTCAGTTCAGAATTTTATTAATACTATGTGTGCCTGGTTTGAACAGATGAGTAGAATAAATAGTTTTCATGGTGGTAAAGGACATGGGGAGGAAGGAGGCATTTAATATCACTTAAGTCATTTTGATTATTCTCCATTGCAACTGCAAGAGAGAGGAAGCACCCCCCTTCTACTTTCTTACATTTTTCCAAAACACAGCATGACTAGTCTTCTCCTTTCCACATCCAGGTGTGACTTTGCACTTTGATCTGTTAGCTTCTCCTGGTCCTAGTGTTCAGAGACACCAGTCAGCTCTCACCTTCCACCATGGGCTCTTGCTCCAGTTGGGAAGAGGTTTATGGGATTACATTGTTCCAGCTACAACCTAATTTGCATATTGTGCAAAATTTGCTAATACATTTCCATTAATTGCATTTTTCATCTTATTATTACCAGGTTGTTTTTGGTTTGCATTTATCTTAACATCATTTTGTTTTTCTCTTAGCTTTTAGATTTCCTGGACCAGCATCCCTTTTCATTTACCTCTCTAATTCAGAGATCCTTGGAATTTGCTGTAAGCTGTGTTTTCACAGAGGCGGGCGAAGGAGTTGTGTTTGAGCGATTTATTGTTCAGTGCATGAATCTGATTAAGATGATTGTCAAAAACTATGCCTACAAGCCATCCAAAAATGTGGAAGGTAATGTTATTTATTTCACTTTTGAAATGTTATTTAAGTATTGACCTGATCATATATTACTAAAGTATTACTTAATAGAACTATTTATTACAGATAGCAGCCCTGAAACTCTTGAAGCTCATAAGATAAAGGCATCATTCTTCACATACCCAACATTAACAGAGATATGCAGGCGGTTAGTCACTCAGTATTTCCTGTTAACTGAAGAAGAGTTAATAATGTGGGAAGAGGATCCAGAAGGCTTTAGTAAGAAGCTACTAATTCTTTCAACTTAAATTTATTTGAATGTATAATATGCTAGTTTTTTGAGGTATTTAGAAATAGTGTAAAAGTTGAATATGTGTACAATGCTGCAATGTTTCCACAAACACTCTTCATTTTAAAAATTGTTTTTATTTAAAAATCATGCAGAAATCTACTCATACATTTGTGAGATATTGAACTAAAAACTACTCGATACTTGTGTAAAATTTACTTTCTTGTTTGCATGCTGCAGCTGTGGAAGAGACAGGAGGAGATTCTTGGAAATACAGTATTAGGGTAAGCATAGTACATTTAATTTAAGGAGATATATTATTATTTTGCTGAATATAGCTATTGTCTTGACCTGTAATACATGTTATGATGCAGTCCATCACAGTATTCTCCTATATTGACAAGACCCTTCCACACACTGGCAAAATCATCTATATACTGTGAATGCAGGAGGTTAAAGAGGTCAGAAATGTTAGCAGGGAGCAGTCTAGGGCTGGAGTCCTGAATCTTTCCTTTGGATCCCCAGTTCCCTGGGAAGCTCCCTGCCCCACCACCTTGCTTGACCATAGAGTCTCGGTGAAAAAGCTACAGGGGCTCTAATGATCTTTGTTATCTCTGATCTTTCTGGATTAGCTGGCTTTTTACTCACATGTGTTTGACCTCCTGTTGCCCCCCGCCTTTGATTTTTTCCCTGCCTGAAATCAAATATCCTCCTCTTCTTTTTCCATACATCCTTTTTTACAAATAGGGATATCCTTAGGACTGTGTCCACATGACAGTTCTTTTGTGATTCCGTTGTTACTGTGCACTTTCAATCAGATGTGTATGGCAGGAAATTCAGTGGCCATGGAAAAAGACTTGATGCTCACACAGCTGATTGTAGGTTATGTTAAATTCAGTGAGGGAATTTACTCAAGAACACAGACACAAGTTCATGTGTAAGTAATACCCATCTTATTTCACCAAAAATTGTTACACAAGAGCTAAGATTAGTCAGATCGCTACCCTTAGCTGATGACAAGGGCCATGAGAAGTAATATTTTTGTTTTTGGAAAGAATCATCTCAAAGCATATGTTTCATGGTTAGATCTAGAGATGCTTGTGACTCTGGTCCAAGCTTTTTTGCATTCACACATGTATATGGAGAGGATCTCCAATTTTTCCCATTCACAGTTCTGCTACATTTTTATTAACCTTTATCCAATATACCATACATTACCATGGCAAACAGAGTTCATAAAGTGTGTAGGCACTTAGCTCAAGAAGATAGAACTGTAGGAAGCTCTGTTTAAATTGGACAGGTGTAAACAGTCTGTAGTAGAGATAAAGATTTATAAGTTACAGAAATAAGCACTGCCACTGATGGGTACAATATAGCAGTTCATGTTTCAAAGCACTATTTAGTTATATTCATGGCCTCATGCTGTTTCAGGCCAATTTTGAAAATTAGCTGCTCCAGGAAGCTGACTGCATTTCTATGCTATCCTATCAGTTCTTATATTGGTTCAATATTATTAATTTACTTTATACATCTTACCATGAAAACATGAACTTTTATTCGAAAAGGTTGATTAGGTCCTGTTTTGACATTAGCTGAAGAATACTTTGCATGTTTCATGTTCTCTTTAGTAATGTTCTTAATGTTCTGTTTTTCTTTCCAGCCCTGCACAGAAGTACTCTTCATTGATATTTTTCATGAATATAATCAGACTCTCACTCCAGTTCTTCTAGAAATGGTTCATAAACTACAAGGTACTTTTGAAGTACTATATAAGATTATGTGGTTTGTAGAATGTGGAGTACTTACATTTTTACCGTGAGGTGTTAAGCTTCTATGTTTTCTAAAGATTTGTTCCATAACTAGAAGTTGGGCTCTTATAAGGACTATGTCAAAGATTACTGGAAACAGATAACTGAAATTCAATTAGCTGTCATACTTTTTACTTCTGACATGGTCACCAGCTAGTGTTTGGATAAGATTATATGAAGGAAGCGATGATCAGGTCTGTCCCGAAGAGGGCATCTCTGGACCCAGAGATGGCCTCCAACTATAGGCTGGTGGCCAATATCCTGTTTCGGGGAAAGGTGCTTGAGCGGGTGGTGGTGGGACAACTCCAGGCGCTCTTTGAGGAAACTGACCATCTAGACCCATTTCAGTCTGGCTTCAGACCCGGCTGTGGAACTGAAACTGCCTTAGTTGCCCTGTATGATGACCTGTGCAGGGAGAGAGACAGTGGGAGTGCATTCCTGTTGGTTTTCCTGGACCTCACAGTGGCTTTCGATACCATCGACCATGGAATCCTTCTGGACAGGCTGGCTGGGTTGGGAGTAGGAGGCACCAAGAAATTGTGCCCCAAGAAATTCCTTGACCCCTTACATAAGGAAAGTTTTTGTGTTAACATAAATGGTGCAAACCACGCTCTTAACTGTATGAGTCTGATGTAAAATTTCTAGTGAAACTTATATAAATAAGGGCAAATACCAGATTTTCCAAATAAGCTTAGGAATCAAATATTTTGTCTAGAGGGAGAATGTAACAGAATGAGATGTGTCTCTGACGTGATAGAGGGATGGAGCAGTCACAGATGCTTCAAATAGGCCTTATTCTGTTTTGGTGTTTGCATTGTTGTGATGCTTCAGAAGGATCTCAGTCAGTTTCACTGGCTTACATGGAAGTGTCACATTCTTTTACTTTTCCAAACCATAGCTTAGGACAGCGGTCCTCAAACTTTCAACAGGGGCCCAGTTGAAAGGCAGCAGTGGCGAGCACGGGCACAGTAAGGTGGCGGCAGGCTTGGTGAGGTGGTGGCCATGGGCCTGGCTGCTCCGGGGTTCGCATAATTAAAAACAGATTTAAAAAGTTATTTTTTGTTACCTTCAATCCTTTTCTCATCTTGGTCTTTGTCTCTCTTTCTCTTCCACCCACCTCTCTTCTGTTTCCCGCTCCGTACTCCCGTTCTGGATAAGCATGCAATGGGGGCGGGTGGGAACTGGCGCATGCGCAATTGAGCTGTTGCAATTTGGACATGTGCCGGCTCTCTCTCTGCTCAGTTTTAAAGAATGCCTGTGCCAGCTCAGAGCTTTTGGACTTGCTTGGAGATCGTTTTCTCTGGATAAATAGGCATGATGGGTCAGATGCGGCCTGCAGGCTGTAGTTTGAGGACCCATGGTTTAGGAGGTCAGGACTGAGCAGCATTTGTATATGCTACATGCCATTTCCAGTCTTCAAAATTTACTTGGTTTTCCTCCTCTTCCTTTTTTATGCATTATAGCTTTACTTGCTAATTATTTTTACATACGTATTATCTTAACTATTTTTTTTTCAATTTAATCATCTGAAATAAACCTGCATTTCTTTCAGGGCCCACTAATATGGATGATACCCAGACTCTACTAATTAAAGATGCTGGTAAATTAAATTTCTCTTACCTTACATAGGCGGATTTGTGGATGTGTGTCTTCTAATTTGTTCTAATAATTAAAATTGCAATGCTCTTAGTTGTTGAAAACAAATATCAAAGTAAACAAAGTAAACAGTTAAGCCAGAAGAGTCTAAGAATAGGGTTTTTGAGGAAAAGATTTGTAGAACATCTCATCTTTTAAGTTGCATTTCAAACAATCCTATATGTGTTTTTCTGAGAGTAATGCTGATTGAATTCAGTGGGATGTTTATAGGATTGTTCTGCAAAACTTATTTTGTACAGTTGTATGTATGGGTAGACACACAGGCACACATGCAACTAGATGCAGGAGAAATGGTAATCTCAAGCATTGTAAATGGAGATAGTCTTTTTTCTTTGTATATAGTAGGTGAAAAATAACCTTCAATTGGAGAATGGTGGTCGCTTGGTTCCAAAAGGAATAGAATTGGCAATTTTTAAATAAATGTTTAACCAAGTTACCTGAATAGATGCTTCTTGTTCAGAGATAGTGAGCTTCTGATTAACAGATGCTGGGCATACATCTAATAACCTCAGTTGCACATAATGTTAATCCATGGTTGTTATTTAACCCATTGTTAGTTGCCTTACTCAGAGTTTGACTGGTAGACAAGAGAGCAACACATAGTTTCTCTTCTCAAAGGTTGGGTTGTTTGTGCACAGTAGTACTAGAATGTAGAACGTATGGGTTTTGTGTTCTGTTTTGTTTCCACTCTTGCTTGCTTTCTCTGTAGCCTGGCAAAACAGTCCATGAACAATCCACATTTCTAGGCTCACATGTAATGACCACACATAGTTTAAACAATGCAGAGTTCATGAACAAACAATAAAACATGACTTCTCTTTCTGGAGTGTTGATTGTTAACCATGATTGCATATCACATCAATACACAATTCAGTAACCTGTAAATTTTGTAAACCATGGGTTAGTGTAAATCAGGTCATTAGAAAATTATTGTCTGCACTGTTTTCTTCATGTGAAATTCCAAGGCAAGTAATATTCGAATGCTGGGCTAGATGATCATATTGAGCAAGACAATATTTGAATTTTCTTTAGCATCCTTAAAATAGTTTTCTCAATATTCCGAATCTGTTTTTACACATATGACCAAACAGAAGTTTTAGAATGCATAGTTAAACATTTCAGCTTCTGCTTTTGCAGTTGGCTTTTAAAATACATGCTCATACCCTGTTTGTGGGCTTACCATCGACAAATCCTTGGCCACCAAAATTCTGAATTTAGATAAGCAGGGCTATTTTTAGGTTCTTGGAGCCAAGGCAACAGTTTTAAGGAGCATACCTCCCTCCTTCCCCTGCATGCACACATGCGTTGAGCGTATGTATGTAGGTGTAAATGATATTTCTTGTTGAACTAAGTAGCTTATTTAATTTAAAATACATATTTTAAGAAGATTAGTTTAAAAATGAATGACAATGACATTAAATTTTCCCCTCTCCAGTATATAATGCAGTTGGCCTGGCAGCATATGAACTATTTGACAGTGTGGATTTTGATCACTGGTTTAAAAACCAGCTACTAGCAGAATTGCAAGTCACTCACAACAGGTATATGCCCTTTTATTTGCTTTAATATAAATTCATTTATGTTTTGATATAAAAGAGATCAAAGTTGTCTTTTACAGTTCAGGATAATGGTTTTTACTATCATAATGATATGGACAGTGCTTTGCTCCACTGAAGAAATACCCATGATCCTTTATTGGTACATCTTCTTTCAGTCTAAGAGTGTCCATGTTTAGAGCTGCAAAGTGTTCAGCCCCCCTTATTCTAGGGCTTGCTTCTGAAATAAGTGCTTATACAGCAGGTTCTTTGTATGTTGCTTCCCTCTGTTCTCATTCTTTAATATACAGTGGGCTGTATGAAGCTTTGATAGGGTTTGGAAGGTAGGACACATACAATATTCAGTATTATATATATATTGACAGCTTACTGAGTAACAGAACTGGGTTGTAGTGACTTGTGCTTCCAAGACTTTTAATTTTTAAAAGAAGTCCTTTGTTTGTTTGTTAAAGAATATTAATATTGTGGGAACTATAGATTCCAATATGCTTATGCTTCCAGTGACTGCAGAAAAGAATTTATTTATTTATTTATTTATTTAGCAAGCTTCTATGCTGCCCCATTCGCCGAAGCCTCGGGATGGCTCACAACAATAAGCAATAAATAAACAGCAATAAAAAATACACAATTAAACAATATAAAACAATATAATCGAAGATGAGAAATTCACAGAAATGTCCAACAGACTTCTATTCTAGAGTGTTTGTCAGGGATTAAAAGTTCTTTAGTGCACATTTTTCCCTTATGGAAATAGTTATGGATTAATTTTGTATGTTTTGTCAGAAAAAGATCCTTTGACTATTTCTTCTGCAATATTATATAGTTGGTTATAGAATTTTGCCTTTTCCTGTGATAAATGATAAGCTAACTGGACATTAATGTTTAGCAGTTCAAGAGTTTAAAGGTATAATGTACTAGAGTTTTACTAATCCTACCCTTAAACCACAATTACTGTTATGTCTTAAGGTATAAACCAATACGTCGGAGGGTGATATGGCTAATTGGACAATGGATTTCTGTGAAATTTAAGTCTGACTTGAGACCTATGTTATATGAAGCAATTTGCAATTTGCTTCAAGACCATGACTTAGTGGTATGTATATGTTTGTGTGTGTGTGTGCGTGTTTGTGTGTATCTTGGACAAATATTTTGGATTTATCATGTATCTAATCTTTTTGAGTTTGCAGACAGAGGATTAAACTCAATCTTGTGCTAGCAAGATTGCACTGGGAACGTTTCTTCTCCTAACTGCATTCTTCGCATGCCCCTAAATCTGTTCTGGAAGATTCTCCAATCCTCAGGAGCAGATTTGTAGGGTGTGTCAGGGCTGAAGGCAAGGTGGCAATTTCATCCATTGGTGCAGTGTCAACTTTTGAGTATAACCCAGTGTGTACTTTTCATTGCATTATTTTGTTAACGAAGTACTTTTCATTGCATTACATTGTTAATGAAGTTTGTTAGTGGATTTATGTTGATATCAATAGCATAGACGTGATCAAATAAATGCATACAAAGGAAACTTAGCTCTAGATGGATTTATTTTCAAGATAAACCTAGACTTTGCTAAAGTTTAAACCTGCCCACAGTTAATCTGTCCAATTATTTATTTGCTTGAAGTATTTTTAAACTGTCTTTTATCGTCAAGGCCTCACAAGGCGGCCTCCAACATATAGAAGCACCGCATACAAAAGTGTTCAAATGTATCCATAAAATGATTAAATCAATGAGACCAGCCTTTGGAGCCTCATGTATCACTCACACTTCCATCAGCTCTGATAAGGAGAGTATTAGTGAGCACGGGAGCCAGTAGTCCCAACGCAAATACAGTCCTAACTCAGATGGAAGCTTTATAGTCCAAGATTACCCTTTCCCCCACTCTTCTGTGAGATGATGTACTTCAAAATCTCGTACATAAAATTTATTGTGGAGAAGGATCTACTGCTAGAATATACTGTGGAGAAACAGAATGGTTTCTTATTAGCAAAGGCATCAGACAAAGATATATTTTATTACCCCATCTGTTCAGTTTGAATGCTGAACATGTCATAAGGCAAGCTGGATTAGGATCAGAGGAAGAATAACTGGAAAATGGAACATCCATTGATAATTTTAGATAAGTAAATGATATAGTATTACTGGCAGAAAGCAGCAATGAATAAAACAACTCCTGATGAAAGTGAAAAAAAGCAGGACTACCACTGAACATTAAGAAAGCAAAAATCGCGACTACAGAAGAATTATGGGACTTTACTGTCAACAGTGAAGAAAATGAAATTGGGAAAGATTTTGCCCTAGCATGGTCATCAGTTCAAAGAGAGACAACAGCCAAGAAATTAGAAGACAGAATCGGAAGGACAGCAATGAAGAAATTAGAAAAGATAATAAAATGTAAGGGCATTTCACTTGGAGACCAGGACCAGGATCATTGTATCCTATTTCTGATCACTTGTCTATTGCTGTGAAAGCTGAATAGTGAGGAAAGCTGACAAGAAAAAATTGATGCATTCGAAACATGGTGCTGGAGGGGAGCTTTGTGAATACTCTGGACTGACAGAAAGACCAAGTGAATCCAGGTACATCATAACAAGGCAAGAATCAGTGGAGAGTTCTCCTCATGCCCATTAATTCTTCTTAAGTTCATACCAGGCCTCAGTAGGTTTTAACCACAAACACAGAAACTGGTAGATTAAAAAAATCCACAAAATACTTCCCAAGCAGTAAGCCAAAGGCAAAGAGCCCTTTGCCTGTTGCCGTTTGTCTTGTACCCAAGGCTCATATCTCTTGTTGAGATGTTTAGCCTAAAGATCTGGAGGGAAATAAAACAGCCTCTGTTTAGAGCCATAGGTGAATTAAGACCTTAGCATCTTTAGAAACAAACTGCTGTTTCAGTGTTAAAAATCACTCAGGTAAATATATCAAGAACATATTGATGAAATATATTACTATATTTCTAGTAATAGTGCACAATCTAGAAATATTTAAAATAGACAATTCCCCCCAGTTTTTCTAGTCTTTGGAGAGGAGATTCCAGAATTTTTTTGGGGGAAAGGAGCAATAAACTGTCCTTTGCTGTATATTTGCAGTCCTTTGTAGTATATTTCTGCCACCTGATTTTTATTGGGTATGTTTGCTCTGCTCACAGCTTGGCTAATCTGAAGAGACAGGATCTTCCTCTGCTTTAGACCATTCATTCCCTCTGCTCTTCAGTAGCACACAAACCTCATCAACTCTACCACCATCTTTTTCTCCAACAATAAGCTGCATTGTTTGCTTGCACTTGAGTTACTGGTTCTCTTTTATTTTGACGCTGAAAAATCTGTCTTTCTGCTCACACCTTATATTACAATTCCTTTATTAAGCTCTTTTCTCACCATTAAGCAAGATGGACTTTCTGCCTATAATTAACCAAAAAAAAAAAAAAGGGAAGTTTCTACTTCTCCATCCTGTCAAGATTAGTGCCCACAAGCAAGGACAGAAGTACTGATACAGACTCGCAAGGGTTGGGGAGAGATGTGGAATGCCAAGAGTACATGCACATGCTTCCAGGCACTGGCATGGTAGAGAATGACTTGTAGCAACAGCCCTTTGTCTCGCACAGCCCCTTGGTGTCCTGCATTTTAGGTCATTTCCTTTTTTCTCATCCTTCCTCTTTTCCTGCAACCAAAAAGCAAGAAACCTATGCCTCTTTCATGAGGAAAGCAACTAACTGTATCTCATGTTTTTCTGTCACTTTCTTGTACTCATACACACAGCTTTAGAGGATGCTTTCAGTCAACCCATCATAGTCCTTTCCAATAGTGTACACGAAAGGGCTTAATTGAAGCATATTGGTTTGGAACTTCAGCCTTTGTTCAGTGCTTTTAAGACTAAGTGTTATGTTACTATGTTTTTGTTTTGTTTTTTGTGTAAGACAGCTATGTCATCACTTATACCAGACTATCTAAGTAGATATTTCCAGTCACACTATCTATCTTTGATGCACTGTGTGATTGTTCTGTTTAATCACATAACACTGCCTATAATTATCCAGAATATATCAGTTAGGTAGGATTTACAATACTAGATCTTTCAATATGTCTTAGTGGGGATGTGAAACAGGAACCGCTGGCTGGTTCTGTTCTTTTACTTAAACAAAAATGAATGTGTATGGTATTCTACAGTACAATAGAACAGAGTAGGTCAAGAAGTGGTCCCCCACCAATACTACTGGCAGATCCAGAAACCATCTATTAAATAAAAAGTAATAATAAAAATGAAAATATACTATATAATAAACCCAGAACCCAGAGAAGTACGTCACATTTGATATATGGATTCCTTGGAATATTTCAGAGTCAGGTAGCATTCAAAATAACACTTGTGTAGATAAAGTTAGATTAGAGCCATTGATTGTTGTTAACGTGTGTGTGTTTTTTTAAATGATAAACCTCTGCATCTGTTTTCCTGTATATGTATTGCCTAATGTTTAGTACGAACCATTTTGTTGGCTTATCTATCGCCTATTGAGGAAAAACAGATATTTCTCTGTATACATTTCACTTGGACAAAATATCTGTTTCAAAATATATTATGGAGTTACTATTAATATGTATTTTACAAACTGTAAGTTTGCAGCTGCTGAACTGATAATTCATATAGTTCAGTAGCTCCCCAGCCCCCAAAAAAGGGCTTATAAAAGGGTAAAATTTTTAATAAAAAATGTAAAATACACTGTAAGATATATCAATCTGAAGCAAACTCATTGTTTTGAATAATTTCCATATTGAACATATTGCATAATATGATTTTTTCTATCTCATCTTAATCAGAGCATCATCATTATCAAACAGATACACTTTACCTTTTCCTCAGCTTTCCAAGTTGAGTGTCATTTTGGTTGTAAAATAAAATTATAGATATCATATCAGTATCATTCATTTCAGATAAATTAAAATGTCCATATATTTTAAAAACATGGTTTAATGAGAGCAGAGTTTAAAAGGAGGTAAAAAGGCACTTTGGGAAGATGTTTCAGGACAAAATTGATGTTAAATGCATAGGTTTTTAAATGTAAGATTTTGTAAGCTAACTTGCATTTTAATTAAATACTCATGAATTCCTTGAATTGTGTAGATGTGTTGGAATATGTAACAAGTATTTCTTTTGAAAGTATTTTACAATTATGTAGATTTGATAACATATTGGGAAACATACATTCTGATTTTCTTTCAGGTTCGTATTGAGACAGCTACAACTCTAAAACTTAATATCCTTTCATTATTTAAAGTACTGTGGTATAACCAGGCCAGTAAAATTATATTGGATTGGTGATGCTTTTTTCAAATGTTTCAAATGTTATACAAAGGAACCAGTTTTTCTTAACTGTGCTTTACCTGTGGATGACTTTGAGTTTAGGACAGAGCAATTCTTACCAGTAAGTGTTTTTATTTGTAATACTAAGTGAATAGTTCAGTTGAAGGGCATACTTTAACAATAAAATGCTGTTTAATGAAAACATTCCTTATCTGGAATTTTTTTCTTCTCAAAATCTTACCACAATTAATGTAACATGTGTTGTTTTTCAAATGCACTAGTGGGGCAGTCTTGCTGCTTGGAAGTTTTTAGACTTTGGAAACTTTTGAGATTTCTGTGCTCTTTTGGGCAGCAAGCTAGCATGGTGTGTGGAGCAATCTTTGACCTTGTCCTCTGTTCGTTGCTTTTTGCCCGTTTGGGGAAAAGCAAGGACTAGAGGATGGGCTTTTTCTCTCCTCTGGTAAGGGCACTTGGAAGGTAAGGTAAGTTGGCCAGAGGAGGCTCAGGATGAATCATATCCTAATCTCTCCAATCTCTTCCCCTCCTTACCCACTAGAATGCTCCCTTTCCCCACTCTCTCAGGTGGAGTTTCCAACCTCAGAGAGGCAGGAATCATGATTGTCTCCATGCAGACTGCAGGGAATGAGGTGGTTTGGATTTCTGACTCCCCCTTTCAAAATTGAAGCACCATCTCTGACCTCAGAGTGGAGAATCCAAACTATAGTATGGTCCCTGGACACTTGCTTGGGGACCATAGGATTGCTTACTAAATTTGAAAACAAGGCTATTGAACTGAAAAGTAATCCCTTCTTGTGGTGATGATAGAATTTAACAGTGAAATCTGAAGTTCTCATAAAATTCAGCATATTGGTTGCCATTGCCTTGAGAGTTAATTGGTTATCTGTTTTTTATTGTTTATTGACGATGTAGTACTGGAAAAAGAGTGTTATAAGTCAGTTGTAGGGATTCTAAAACACAGTTGTGTTCTACAAATAATTAACATGCTGCATGTAACATTGATGTTTGCTTAATGGTGCATCCATAGTAGACAGTCATTTGGGTTGTTCATAATTCCCTCCCTTGCCATTCTTGATAGATATCTTGATACTTCACAGCAGAAAATTATACTGTGTCAGTGGTGCATAGCCAGTAGATATAGTTCCCTTAATACGTCCTGTGATAGTTTGTTCAGAAAATTGTGTAATTTTCATTTCCATAGCAATTTCACATATTTCAAAACTGGAAAGATGGTACAGAAGGCAGAATTTGCAGGAGGAGAAGATGAAAGGCAGGATGCCAAGGACAGGAAGGATGATGAAGATGAGACAGCCTGACCTCAGTACAGGGAGGAAATGTGTGCTGTTAATAGTAGTGGCTATAGCAGAGAATGTAGTATTATAGGATCTGAGACTGCTCTGTGAGGGGCAGAGTAGCAAGAGTTAACATAATGTAGGCTGTTTAAGGTACAGGGTAATATGATTTACTATTTCAGGTAGTAAACCGACTCTAGTCAAATATTTTCGCTTACATCTAGAGTAAGCAAAGATTTGTTTCAGTGTCCCCACTAACTCAGACCCATATTGTCTTTTCCACAGTATTTGGAATCTATGTTTACCCTACTCTTTCAGCTTCTTCAAGAGGTTAGAGAATGTGACACCAAGATGCATGTCCTTCATGTTCTCTCTTGTGTAATTGAAAGAGTCAATATGCAAGTAAGTTGGTCACGTACAATATGTAATTTCTTTTGCATTACAAAATACATTGCATAAGCTATTGTATCTGAAGTAATTTTGCAATCATTATACACATATTCTGAACACACTGATATGTGTTCTGTTTTTGTATGTCTGTGCATGCACACATGCAGTCTCACAACATTTTTTAAAAATAAGGATGGGGAACAATTTTTGAATAAAACTCAAAACACAGTAAAATCAACTTACCTAGAAAAAGTTAACAAACTAGTCAAAGAAAAAAAGCAAAATTAAACTGGAGTATAAATGAGAACCACTGAGAAGACACTTCAAAAAAGTATGGAAAGAGAATTGTTTGGACCTTGCATAAAGAATAACATGCACCTTCCTAGTAGGGAGTTCCACCACTGAACTTGCAATGCCTCTTTAGATTCTGATGAAGTGGAGCAGCAGTGTTACCATATTGGTGGGACTCTGTATCTCCAGGGAGAAACACTGAGCATTTCATATGAGTGCTGAATAACATGGGAAGCAAGATGGAGCTCAAAATACTCTGATTACAAGCCTTCTTGTGAAACTGTTTACATCGTATATGTTTAATAATTCTGTCTATTGCTTTAACCCAACTTTCATGCTAACACCCTCCCTGCTACCTGAACAGCACAATATGCACAACCACATCCAAGCTGCATGCCTGACTCTTAGAGAGGAGTGTAATCCTTTCCAAAAGTGGGTGTACATAAATCCCTAATTTGTAGTGAACTGCATCTGCAAGTAACTGCAATATTTAAAATGGGTAGGAAACCTGCACCCCAAGAACCAATGTCATTCCATCCATGGACATTTTCAGCATGCTTCATTACTATTACCACCCTCTGGAAGGGCCAGTGATGAGAAAGGCCAGCTTGAATGTTCCAAGTAGGAACATTCTTAGCATATCCTTAGCACCATCCTGTATCAATATCCCTAACCCTGCTAGCTTTTTCTAAGTAAGGGACCACTGGAAAGAGCAGTTCGTTCGGCAGAAATGTTCCCTGATAGGAGCAGGTATGTGACTTCATCTGCCTCCCTCTCCAAAGATAGAGCTTTGTTCCTGGTATCAGTTGAGCCTATCTTAATCCAGTATCCAGGAGATGTCAACCCTAGCACTGTCTTACTAGGCATCATAATATTGATTATTGTTTTATTGTATTTAAAATACAAGTAAGAACCTATAGTGCAGTTAATATAATCAGTTAATGTGATTAATAATTGTGTGAGGTCTACAAATGTATGTGTGTATGCCCATTGATAGATTTAAAACAAACAAAAAAAGTAAAAATGGAGTTAAGCCAGGAATTGTGTTTTTTAAAAAAATGATGGCATGTTAGATTGTTTCTCTCATAACAGAAAAAATGAATAGCTATACATTTTGTGAACAAAATAACATATGAAATTTAAAACGTTATAACTTGAGTATTATTCAGAATAAAGATGGCTAGTTGGTGTCCATGGACCATGGATTGAGTATTCATATACCATCCCCATACCCAAGAGGAAAAAATCACCTCAAAATACCTTTATCAATATTGGAATGAACATAATCATAATTTCAGTGTAAATTCTTAAGTCCTTTGTACTCATCCGACAAAATCTTATGTGAATAGTTTTAGGCCATATTTTAGGCAGTTTTTTCTACCGTGAGAACATAAAAGAGTTTAAAAAAAGAGCCATCAGTATCCTGTTACTGAAAGTTTCACTTATTTCTTGCGGAAATTAAGAAAATATCTACATTCTTGTAAATATGCAGTCATGAAGCATCTGGGAGCCTTCATAAGCATGAACAAAGGAGCTAGCTTTTTCTTTGGTTTTATAAATATAGAACTGAATTAATCTGTTTAAATGGTATTGCTTTGATTTTAATTACAGATACGACCATATGTCGGATGCCTGGTTCAGTATTTACCTCTCCTTTGGAAACAAAGTGAGGAGCACAATATGCTGAGATGTGCTATCCTCACCACTCTGATTCATCTTGTCCAGGTAATTTTCTCTTTTCCTTGTATTGTCACTAGTCTGTGGTATCTTGGCAAGCTATCCCTTTCTTTTCTCCTGAAACATCTGTCTTTTGCAGGGAACAGAGTATTTTAATATACAGGTTATATATTATTTCTAATTTATTTATTAGATTTTTATTATCGTATTTTTATGATGCAGATAATATAAAGTGTTAGAGGCTTGAGCAGGCCAATCTCCTCTCTCCCTGGCCTTTATTTTCCTTCCACCTCTGCTATTGCTTTTCAATTAACACCTAACATATTCTGTCTCATTTAATCTGAACCAAAGACTCAGCTTGGAAATCTGCCTGTCTTTGTTTTGTTTTTGTCACATTCTGAATGGAGATTTCCATTTCTTCAATGTAATTCCTCCATGAAGAAGCTTTCCTGATTCCTTTCAATGTGTACTTGAAGTGAATAGGGGAGCCTGCCCTCTTCTCTGGCCTAAAACAGTTGATCTTTGCTATGGAGAGAAAACTTCATAATATGCATAAAGAGGATTGACCTATTTGGTTTGACTAGTCCTTGAAAAGAATGAGATGCTTATTGCTATTTAAAATGTGGAGGTGTTGGCATTGTTTTTGGTGTATCGTATGAAATAATATATTGGTAAGTTAAAAGAAATAGTATGTCGTAGTGGTTAAGAGTGTGGGACTTAAATATCAAAAGAACTGGGTTCTAGTCACCATGCAGCCGTAGAGCTTGCTGGATGACTCTGGGCTAGTTGCAGATTCTCAACCCAACATACCTCACAAGTTTTTTGTAAGAATAAAATCGAGAAGAGAAGGAAAATTATGTAAGCTTCATCGAGTTTGTCAGCAGTGTGATGCGGTGGTCAAGAGGGTGAATGCCACCCTTGGTTGCATAGCCAGAAGTGTGGCTTCTAGATCAGGAGAGGTATTACTACCACTCTATATGACTCTGGTGCACCCGCAACTGGAGTATTGTACTCAGTTTTGGGCCCCTCATTACAGGAAGGATATAGCCAGGTTAGAGTCAATGCAGCGTAGGGCCACAAGGTTGGTGGCCGGTTTGCAGGGGATGCCGTATGAGGCGAGACTGAGGGAACTGGGTCTCTTCAGCCTGGAGAAGAGGAGACTCAGAGGGGATATGTTGGTGACATACAGGTATGTGAGGAGATGTCACACAGGTATGTCACACGGAGATGGGTAGAGACCTGTTCTCCCCTGCAGGACACACTCCAACAGAGCAAAGCTCAGGGAGCCAAGGTTCCATTTAAATGCCAGGAAGCACTTCCTGACAGTTAGGACCCCGAGGGTCTGGAATAGGCTTCCACAGGAGGTGACTGAGGCCCCATCGGTGAGGGTGTTCAAAGATGGGCTGGACACGCACATGGTGGGCATGTTGTGAGCGAAGCCGGCTGGAGCCGGGGGTCAGACTAGATGGCCTAGGAGGCACCTTCTGACTCGCTCTGTTTCTGTGTTCTATGAGTTCTCTGAAAGGAAAAAAGTGAGATATAAACATCATTATTATTATTTAATTGGGTGCATTTTTAAATGTCAATTTTAGAAACCGGTTTTTCTTTAGGAACAGTCACTGACAGTCTTCTCTGCGAATGTGATAGCAAATCTCTGCACCTGCTTACAGTCATATTTATTTGTTTGTTTGTTTGTTTGCATTTGCATGCTGCCCCCATAGCCAGCAAGGCTCACTGGGCAGCTTACAATAAAGTAGCAGCCAACAATAAGACAACTAGAAAGATAAAAATCCAACAATTAAACAATTAAAAACAAATAAAAATTAAATTAAAAAACTATAAAACAATTAAAATTTATATAGAAATATGACCATCAAAAAGTCACAGAAAGGCAGCAGAAAGAACAATAAAACATGTCAAAACCAGTTAATTACCAAAGCACTTGTGGGGAAAAAAGTTTTCAGCTGGTGCCAAAAGGAGAGCAGTGATGGCACCTGGTGTGCCTCCTTGGGGAGCATGTTCCAAAGGTGGGGTGCTGCTACAGACAAGGCCCTTCTTCTAGCCATTCCCACCTCACCTCATTGTGGGGTGGTTCTCGGAGAAGGATCTCTGAAAAAGATTTCTGTCATCAGGCAGGAATATATGGAGACAGGAGTTCCCTCAGATATTCTTGTCCTAAGCCATTTATGGTTTGGTATGTTAAGGTCAGCACTTTGAACTGGGCCCAGACTGCGACACGCAGCCAGTGCAGCCTGTGAAGGACTGGCTTGGTATGTGTTCTCGAGGGCCTGTCCTTGTCAATATCCATGCTGCCCTGTTCTGAATTAGTTGCAATGTCCAGACTGTTTTCAAAGGCAGTGCCACATATAACATAGTACAGTAATCCAGGCACAAGGTTACCAGTGCATGGGAAATTGTAGCAAGGCTCCACTCATCCAAACAGGAATGTAGCTGAAAAACTAGCCCAAGCTGATAAAAAGTGCTCCTGGCTATCAGGTCCAGTTGGGAAACAAGTGATAACTTGGGATCCAGGAGCAGTCTTAAACTATGAATTATGTCCTTTGTGTCTGGGTGTGTGTGTGGGGGGGGGGGGGCGTGATCCTGTTCAGAACAAGTTGAAAATTTCCCAGTTGGGCGAATGAGAGCACCTCCATCTTGTCTTGTCCTTCAGCTTGGTGGCCTTCATCCAGTCCATTACCAAGCCCAGATACAGGTGAAGAATGGTCACTGCCTTACCTGGATTAGGTGAAAGTGAGAGGAAGAGCTGAGTGTCATTTGCAGTTTTATGACAGTACAGCCCAAATCCCCCAATGACCTCTCCCATTGGTTTCATGTAGATATTGAAAAGCATGTGGGAGAGAAAAGAGGAAAAAACCTATTTATTTCATTTTATATCTTCCAGTAGCGAAGTCTCTCTTGGATACTATCTAGGCCCAGAAAAGGGCCTTCTCTCTGGTGGCACCCCGATTGTGGAATATGCTCCCCAGAGAGGTACTCTTGGCACCGAGACTTTATTATTTTTGTCTCTGGGCCAGAACCTTTTTATTTCCCCAGTATTTTAAAGTTTAGATTGAGATTTTAAGTAGCTTTTTGTTGTGTGGGATGGATGCTGTGTTCCACTTTGTTTTATTCTAAGACGATCCCAAGATCATTTGATAGTGGATGGTATATAAAAGTTTTAGTAGTCTAGTCTCAGTCCATGAAATTACACATAGGTCCAAGAGATTAGGACACAAGTACTGATAACTAGTATGGGTAGCCCACACATTCTACACAGAATGAATAGAAAAACACTTTGTTTAAGCGCTCTGACAAAACTGTCACATTTATCTAGAAACTAGTTTTGGCAGAGCTTTGTAGAGTTAAGGCTATAATGAAGCTGCTTGGCTTATCACCAGGACTGAATTTGTATCAGTCTTGTAGGACACAGCCATGACATATGCCTTCAGTGGCAGCGTTGTACCCTAAAATATGTGATACTTCATGAAGAATAGAGAGAAATGCCTCTGGGGATATGTGAAGTCTTTGGGTTCTACAGTAGATTTTGTGGATTTTTACGAGGCCCAATACCCCTCTACCTCAGGCACTTTCAGAGACTTTAAACTCTTGGCAATTTCTGGATGGAATCTTGTTGTGTTTAGCTTAATTCTTTCTAATCCCCATTGGTGAGGGGTTATGGGGAAGTGTTCTCAGAGAAAACCTTGTTAGCTGTGGTACATTAAATGTTGCTCTTTGAGAAGTCATTCATCACTCTTTCAGTACACACCTTCTTACTGCATCTATTTGAGTAGTGCCCTAAACTGTAACAACCAAGAGCAACTGAGTAAGAGCAGTTTTGCTCTCTTGCTGATCCCCTTCAGTGAATTCTGTTTTGCATTAAAATGGATATGCTGCATTTTCATATCCAACTTTAACTGAAAGTAATTTAGCATTGTATCTAATTCTGACAGCTTGTATCCCCACTTAGCCATGTCTTATCCAAATACAGCTTATTTTCTTAGTTTGAATTATAGTCAGTTGCCTGCTTTCTTTGCCGCTTAGATAGCTATACAATTCTGGTTTGAAACACTTTTAATTGCAATATCTCTTATCACTTCAATGTGCTGAAACAGAAGCAGAAGTAGCAACAACTATTCAGATAGTCTAATCAATGTTTCATTGTTTCCGCAGGGCTTAGGAGCAGATAGCAAGAATCTTTATCCTTTCCTGCTCCCGGTTATTCAGCTAAGCACTGATGTTTCCCAGCCCCCTCATGTGTACCTTCTTGAAGATGGGTTAGAATTGTGGTATGTCTGCCTTTCTTTTGTGCAATTAATCAAAAGAAGATCAGAGTTTGCTGTACTGGGATTTGGCTGAAGCCAGACCCACTCTGCCAGTCTGGCCTATTTTGCATTGCGGAGTCTTCCTGATTCCTTTCCAGTCTGACTTTCAAAGGTTAACAGAAACTCAACAGCTGGTGAAAGAACAAGACCAGGTAGGAGTGATAAGGCCTCCAAGGAAACATCTCAGGAGGACGAAGGAGGCAATAATAATCATAAAAGGATATGATAACACTCCAGTGAATATGACTTTAAAGAAGCCAAGGTGACGCTGTAACAGAAAATAGGGACAGAAATGTCTGTGTAAAATAAGCTGCCAGCTGTCAGTGAGAGAATGGGTATAGAATCCTCCCAGAAGTTTCCTTGTGAGTTCAAAACCTTAGAATAAGAAGCCATCTAGAAAGTGAAGCCTTTAGCAGACTGTCTGACCCTGGTGATGGGGAAGGAGAATAGAAAAGGATCCTAGCCTTAAACAAAATCCAGTTAATCTGGCGAGCAGACACTAAAAAGCAGGAAGTATCAAACTTGTGTATTCAGCCCATGTGGGTAGAGTGGCAGGGACAGTAAGAGTAAGCAGGGAGGGTAGAAATCATTAAATTCTCTGAATCTGCACCTTATTATATTTGATACGATTAAAGAGCATTTGTGTTAAAGGAGCTTATCCTATATCCTAAGTTCAGATGGAGAACATAGCCAGAAGGGGAATGAATGATACAGTTGAGGCTTGTCCTTTGTATGATGCATCCTAAAATACACATACTGTTATGAATTACTGATTTGAGATCCACCTGCTCCTGTATGGGTTCTGTTGTCATGTTTAATTGTTACATAATGATCATCATCAGCTACTGTGAAACACTTTTAATCAAAACTGAAAATTGCAGTATAACAAGTTGAGAAAATTATACTTGGTTGCAAGTATAATTTTGGCTGAAATTGATGCTGTTTTGTAAAGACTATTGAATGAGTGTTGCAGTTCCAAAAATAATGCATTATTTTAACAAAAACTGCATTATCATCGTCGTCATCGTTGCATTTTTATAATGTCCCATAGCCCATTTGAATTTTCTGGGCAGTTTACAGTTTGAAAACATATAAATAACAATGCAGTTATCAAAGTTAAATAAACAAAAACACTGATATAGCAAAAGTTGAAGGCCTACAACAGTTAGAATACAATTAGGTGGCATAGTACCAGATATAATAAAAAAAGAATTAAAACAGATCTTATACATTAAAATAATAAAATGAAAAGGTCTTTACTTGGTGCTGAAAAGAAAACAAGGATGGTACCAGGCATACATCCTTGGGGAACATGTTCTAAGGTGGGGTGCAACTGCTGAGAAGGCTCTTCTCCTAGTTATCACCCCCTCCATTCATCTTTTTTTGAAACCTTACCTTCTGAACTTTTCAGTTTCCTGTTGACAAACATATTGGCTATGTTTTATACAACATGTTAAACCCTTTAGGAATTTTAATCATGCAGCTATGTGTTTAAAATTCCTCGGTACCTGACACATGATCTGGCACAGCAGGGGTTTTATACCTCCTCTGTACTCCTTCCCACCATGGTCTTCCTGCAGCATCCATGAGGACACTGCAGAAACACTAGGATGTCCCCTGAGCCATTGCAAGCTGTTCAGTGCAGGCTGTAGCTTATAGAGTGGATAACAAGTGTATCTGTGTTATCCACACTTGGGAAAGTAAGGGTAGCCCAGAACCACATGAAAAACACCCCCCCCCCCAACCCCTGGCCCCTGAGATTCATTTGCAAAGGGTGGTTTATACCTTCTACCTTTAAAAGTACATCTGGAAATTGGCTTAGACACACACTGCAATTTTATAGCCCACTGCTAATTATTTTAACTATTTCTTGTGAAAGGGTTACGGTTTCTTGGGAGTGCTTCTATGGCCTTGGGTTTCCCTTATGTATCCACATGTGGATAAGAGAGGTACAAGGGTCTTCCTGGAAACCCTGAGAATCTGCAGGGGGTGCTCGGTTGCTCTTTCAATGCTCCCTTTCCAAACTTGATGTATTGAAGATGAGGGAGAGAAGCAGTTGATGAGACACTTTTATGGGATAATTTAAGGTATAAATAATAATGCAGGGTAATTTATTAGTAAATCACTGTATAGCTATGTTATAAAACAGGCATTGTCAACCACTTTAACATTTTTCTAGCAGTTTATTTCTTTGTTGCAGAAATACCTGAAAACCTTGAAAGCTAACCCAATTGGAAAGCTTCACTTCTAACAGTTTCTGTTGATTGTAAGAAGCCATTCAATATAATGTCTTTGATTTTTTTCTTGTTTCTTAGGCTGGTGACATTAGAGAATAGTCCTTGTCTTACCCCTGAACTCCTGCGAATTTTTCAGAACATGTCTGCTCTTATTGGTGAGTCTTCATTATTTGTGAACCAATATATGACTGTGTGGATGTTTCCCATATCCAGGCAATATGTGACACTTCTTTTTGTACAAAGTGGGTTACTGTCTTTATCTTGCTCGTTGAAGCAGCTCAGAATGAACTTGGTGATAAGATCTAATAATATTTTAAAAATTGAAGCATATCTTCAGAAACTTAAATAAATTTCCTTCGATATCTGTATTGTATATTTTCCTCTCCCTAAGAGTTTCAGTCCTGGAACAGCCAAGAAGTTTTAGTTCCATTAGAACTAAAATCCATATCACTTTAAATCATGTAGTTGTAGATATAATATTAATATCTCTATTGCAACCCAAATTTTAAAATTCCACTGTATTATTTTATTACTCAATCATCAGATTTTTAAATCACCCTTTATCTAGAGACACCATTTTTTATTTCAAAGAGAGGGACAAATAGTGGCATTTATTATTTCTGTATTTTCTTTTAAAGGTAAGAGTTATTAATGGTTGCTCTAGGTATGAGAAGAACTTCAGTTCTAATAAACACCTTTGTAATAATTTCTCTTTTTTAGTGAAATATTTAGAATCATATCTTAGAGCTTGTTTTAATGGCATTACTTTGGCCTTTTGAAAACATATCATTTTAGGGTGCACCATAAAATTTTTCCTATGTGCATATCACACACCATTTTAGGGTGCCCTCTGTGCTCAGTGCACATAAATCTCCAGACTTTAAGGCTGATGTACATCCAATACACAGCATAAGATGCAGTCACTCCTCACCCTTGCATTTCATCTAAGTGTCTGTTTTCAGGAAGGATGCTGCCAAACTATTTGGATATAGAGTAAGAGGTTGGTCTTGGCCTCCTCCCCTGCCTGCCCCTGGCCTATTTTCCTGATTCCAGCTTCAGAAAGGCAGCCAGTATGATTCTTTCCACTCTAGCCATGAGGGAGTCAGGGCAAAGGCTTAGCCTTCAGGGCCGCAGCTCCAAATAATCTTATCACCCTGCCCCAGCACCAGGCGATGTGAGGAGGCCATGGGATTGCATCCTTAGTAGATGCTGCAACTCCAATGCCATAAGGCCCTTCTTCTCCCATTTCCCCTCTCTTCTCTACAAGTGCAATTGAGAAAAGTTTTCTAAAGGTCTCTGCTTAGCAGTAAGGGGATTGCATACAGAGAAACTTTCTGTTGCTTGCCACAACTTGCAGCCTGTTTGTTCCAGGCCATTTTTGAGATATTTGTCAAAACCCAGCCTTGAATAAGGTTTTTTTCACTTAGCAACTAGGCCTATGTAGGGTTTTTCTTTTCACTACGTGTTAATATCTTTTGTATTTCTTTCATAGCAGTATTCTCAATATTTTTAGAATGCTTATTAAACCCCTCTTGAAACGTTGTATACCTCAACACTGTGAAGTGGGTTTCAGGTTGTTGCTGGGAGGGCAGGATGCGTTCCTGGGTCTGGCTTCTTTTTAGTCTTGGCTGACAGGGAGTCAACATTACCTTTGCACAGAACCTTAGTAGCAAGTTGCAGAATTTTTGTGTGGAAAAACTGCACGTTTTGAAGGGTGGAAGGGTTTTGTGCAAGTAATAGAAACAGAGTGAGTCAGAAGAGGCCTCCTGGGCCATCTAGTCTGACCACGGGCTCCAGCCAGCTCCGCTCATGACATGCCTACCATGTGCATATCCATCCTATACTTAAACCCCCTCACCGTTGAGGCTTCAGCCACCTCCTGTGGAAGCCCATTCCATACCACAGGGGTCCTAACCATCAGGAAGTACTTTCAGGCCTCCACCCTAAATCTTGGTTCCCTGAGCTTTGCTCCACTGGAATGTGGCCTGCTCTCTACTGTAGGGGAAAAAAGGACATGACCCACCTCTGTGTGGCACCCCCTCACATACCTGTATGTCCCCTCTGAGTCTTCTTCTCTCAAGGCTGAAAACACCCAGTGTCTCCTCATATGGCTTACCCTGCAAACCAGCCACCATCCTAGTGGCCCTTCGCTGCACTGATTCCAACCTTGCTATATCCCTCTTGTAATGAGGGGGCCAGAATTGAACACAATACTCCAGCTGTGGGTGCATCAGAGTAATATAGAGTGGCAGTAATACCTCTCTTGATCTAGAAGCCACGCTTTTCGCTATCCATCCAAGGATGGCTTTCGCCCTCTTGGCTGCCACATCACACTGCTGACGCATGTTTAGCCTGTAGTCCACCAGCACCCCGAGATCCTTTTCATAAGTGCTGCTCTCCAGCCACTAGTCCCCTATCCTGTACTTATGACAGGTTATGTCATGAATGACTGAACAATGTGAGCTTTTTTTCTTTTTCTTATTCTGAGTAACATTATTCAAGTTTGCTTTGTTCTGAAAGGCAGTTTCCTAGGATTGCATGGTGTGGTAACTATAGTTTGAGTGCTTGGGAACTCTGTGACAACCTTTAGCACTAGTTCTTCCATGTGTTCTTTATGCAAGAATATTTGTTTCCCTTAATTTCCCATTCTTGGGCAAGGTGTTAGAGCAGGTGGTGGCAGGACAACTCCAAGCACTCTTGGATGAGACTGGCTTCAGACCCGGGTATGGTACTGAATCTGCCTTGGTCGCCCTGTATGATGACCTGTGCAGGGAGAGAGACAGGGGGAGTGCATCCCTGTTGGTTCTTCTGGACCTCTCAGTGGCTTTCGATACCATCGACCATAGTATCCTTCTGGATAGGCTAGTGGGATTGGGAGTTGGAGGCACTGCTTTGCAGTGGTTCCACTCCTATCTCAATGGTCGATTGCAGAAGGTGGTGCTGGGGGACTATGGCTCTGTGCCATGGCAGTTATGCCATGGAATTCCGCAGGGATCCATTTTGTCCCCCTTGCTATCCAACATCTACATGAAACCACTGGGAGAGGTCATTAGGTGTGAGCTGCGGAATCATCAGTACGCTGATGATACCCAGCTCTACCTCTCGTTTTCAACTAATCCAGGTGAGGCAGTGGCTGTACTAAACCGGTGCCTGGCCGAGGTAATTGGCTGGATGAGGGCCAATAAACTGAAGCTCAATCCAGACAAGACGGAGGTCCTGTTGGTAGGTGGGTCGGGCTTCAGGGTGGGGGACTTGGACCTTGTCCTGAATGGGGCTGCACTCCCTCTTAGGGACAGGGTTTGCAGCTTGGGAGTGCTCGACCCAGAGCTGTCATTAGAAGCTCAGGTGACGGTGGTGGCAAGGAGCGCTTTCCTTCAGCTTTGGGTGATCCATCAGCTGCGTCCCTACCTGGAGAACGATTGCCTGGCAACAGTGACACTTGCATTGGTAACTTCCCGATTAGACTTCTGTAATGCGTTCTACGTGGGGCTGCCCTTGAAGATGGTCCGGATACTTCAATTGCTGCAGAATAGAGCTGCCAGGTTGCTGACGGGGACTGGGCGTTGTTCTCATATAACCCCAGTCCTCTCTCAGCTTCACTGGCTTCCCATTGAAGTCCGGGCCCAATTCAGGGTGCTAGTTATCACCTATAAAGCCTTCAATGGCTTGGGACCTGGTTATCTAAAGGAGTGCTTGCGTCCATATATGCCCTCCCGCCCCCTGAGATCTGCGGCAGAGGTCCTTCTCCGGGAATCGTCCGTGAAAGATATTAGGAGGGGGAGTACCCGGAGGAGGGCCTTCTCTGCGGAATGTGCTCCCCAGAGAGGTCCGCCTGGCGCCGTCATTATTTGTTCTTCAGCGCCAGGCCAAGACCTTTTCATTTAAAAGTTATTTTAATTGTTAAATGACTATTTGTTGGGTTTTATATTGTGCCGAGATGTCTCCAAATTTTTTAAAGTTAATTGTGTGTATTGTGTCTGTTTTGTAAGCCGCCCCAAGGCTCTTTGCGAATGAGGCAGCATAGAAATGTTTTAAATAAAATAATAATAATTTTCCACAAACAGACCTGAGGTAGGAGTGTTCTGCCTTGCTCCTTGTGTTTTCTTCTCTTGAACTTTTTAGGGAGTGGCAAGGGCAGTTGCAGTATTCAGAAACCTTACAACTAGCAGACAATAGGGAAACTGGTGTACAAGCAAGGCTTATGAAGATTGTAGGTGCATATTGACTACATATGAGCTTAAAGCTAAATCATGATTTAGTGTTGTTAGATGACTCTCAGTGAGCTTTGGACTCATACATCCTTCTCTAGTTTTAGCATCTTGTCCAATCTTTAAAAACAGTTAACCTTAGCTTCAGTTAGTTATAACAAGCCAGCCTTTTGAAGTTGGCTTGTTTCCACTAAACATAGTTAAGAGTTACCTACAGTTCAGATGGCGTGTCATTCAGTAATTAATTTTAAGTGGAAACAGAAGTTTCCAGTCTCCTGTATGGCACTATTGCAGGGGAAGAGGAGGGACAGAGCACAAGCCTAAGGCTCACTGCAGCTTTTTTCTCATAACTCTAAATGTTGGCTTGGCATTATAACCTAACTGGCTTCATATGTTAGATTAGATGCCTTTTAGGTAATAGAATCCTTCCATTTCAGGTAATTTGCGAATATCTATGTGTATAGTATGAAATCCTTTTCAGTTAGCAACTGGTTTGGCATTGAAATTAGCCCAACGGTTTAGTATATCCAAGTTTTTCTTTCTTTCTTTTTGCCAAAAGAATTATCATTTTGCGTTTTTCCCTAACAATGTCTCTGGTTCATGATGAGTTGAATTCAATAATGTAAATGTGTTCTTTAGGTGGACTTAAAATTCCTCAGGAATGTTATTTCGGATTGGAATGTATTTTGGGACTATGCTTCTATTACTGATCCTTTTCAGCATTACTCTGACTTGTGATATTAAGAGATCATGGTAACTACCATAGTCTGCCCCTGTTTTTGCTTTGGCAGCAAAAATACGTTTTCTGTATCTTCTGATTACATTCTCTATTTAATTTCTGTACTGGCTGTGTGATGGTGTCCAAGTGTACAGTCATCTGATTGTTTGCCTGGAATATGTATTTACAGCAAGCAGATTGTTGGCTTCATGGAATTCTATGAGTAGGTCTACTGATTTGTTTCTGACCCCTAGGCTAAATTCTCCCACATTTGATTTTGCTTTGTTTCCTGCTTTTCTGTTCCAGTCACTTGCGATTGAAAGCATGCCTTGTTTTGATGTATTATCAGTTTCTTCTTGGGTGCTTTTATAAGAGTTTTTTTCTATCTTCAACATTTATTGGAGTATAGACCTGAATGACGATTGTATTGATAGGTTTCCCACAAATTCTGATTGATAATATTAGGTTGGACTTTGCATTATGGTCTGAAATCAAAATTGAGATATGAAAATGACCAGGAGGGATCATAATTGTACACTCTGTGCTTAAAAATATTTCTGCATTTTGTATCAACAATATCTGATTCTGGTTTTTATACATTTTCAAAAAAATTCAGCTTCTGCTGCCTGACTTCTCATCACCTAGCTTAATACTCTTCATACCCACCCACTTTGATGCACACACACTTAATGATTTTTCCAGCATTCACCTCTGTATGCTCACATTTGTCATTTCAAACAAAAAGGCATAGGCACTTTTAAAAAAGTGAAGAAATGCTTAGGTTGTTGATTTTTGCTCCCCCAGAAATAAAGAGCATATTAATGCATTGTCATCATTCCTTCTACGTTGAATGTTCAGAAGTTTACATAGCCTAAACAAGAGCATCCATGCACAGAAGGAGGTATCAGCAGATTTGGGGAAACCCTATTGCTTGCAGAAATATAACAAATCTTTAGACTGAGGGTGAGGGGTGGGGATGGTAATGTCCTTTTCAGTAAACTGGCTTATCTGGATAAAGTGAGATAGGGACCATATCTCAGTGCCAAAGCTTGCTTGCAGAAGGTCCTATGTTCAGGACCTGGCATTTTCAGCATAAAATGAATTGGGCAGCAGACTGAGATATTGCAGGTGAGAGATAGACTAAATCTGTGATTTCATATAAGGCAGTTTCCTGCGCTCTTAAAAAGTCTTCTAAAGTTTTCTTGTGGATGAAGCAAACCATTTCCCAGCAGATTGCTGTAGAAATGTATCTGCTGTCATCTGGCTGGGTAGGTCTAGAGAAAAGAATTCTGCAGCTCTGATTTCAACAAATGTTCCTAAAGAACCAAATTAGGCATTCACACTTAGGTTTGCAAATTAACTCAATTATCTGAATCTACTTGTTTAGGCTGTGTAAACATGTTAATTGGGTCACTTGAATCAGTAGTTCGTAACCACCAGGAAAAAGCTGAGTTCAGCAGCTCCCTGTAGTTGGATTTGGCTCTTTTGCTAGAATTATGAGTTTGTTGCTCCTCACCGGCAGACTCTTTCTCCCCTATGAGTAGTACAGCTTAATGTCTACTTTCCAGTAGTAGCTGATGGAAGGAGCAATTTTGTACTGATGAGAATGCTCTTTGCTCACTGCTGTTGCAAACTAAACTTGAGAGAGTAGCAGTTACCAGGAGATACATTTAGCATGAGGATATTGGTCTCTGCACATACGAACATTAAGAGGAAATAGTCTCCTTTTTGTCCTACTGAACTGTAGCACTAATGGAAATGGAGCAGGCTTTTTATTACCATTTAATTGTTACCTGGTACAGATGTAAATAAGATTTATGCACTCCCATTTCTTGGTTTTCGAAGCCTTGTTTGTTTGTTTGTTTGTTTGTTTAGAAGACATGCATGTTTTTGGGTTCCTGATAAAGTTCCTGGACTATGAATATAGGAGCTTGGGCCTGCAGATTTTTCATACAGACATAAATATTCACAAATAATTGATTTAAGAAAAGGTTGGATAATATCTAGTGGGTTAGCAACATCCTTGCCAATCCTTTTTGGCTGTGCTGGTTCCTCTGCACAAGTGGCTCCAAGCCCTTGCACAGTAATGATTTAGCTCTTCTGGGGCAACCTGAAATGAGCATTTTGGAATGGGGCAGGTTAGTGCAGTTCACATAAAAGAGGTCTGCCAATCTGTCCTGCTCCTAAAATGAGTGTTTCCTCTCATTTTGGAGCTTTTGGAGCAGTGGGTCTTGCTTATACAACAGAACCAACAGGGCTCAACATTTGAAGAAGGAAATCTGTAAAATGGAATCAATGAAGATGTACATGCTATATGGAATACTGCCCATTATAAGAAGAAAAATGATATTTTTTAAAATAAGGTGTGCCAATTTCATTAGTTATGACATCTGTTGATGTGGTTTTAGGATATGGTGAAGATACTAAAACGATCTGATGCTTATTTTTTAGAGTTAAGTTCAGAAAACCTCAGAACCTGCTTTAAGATCATCAATGGCTATATCTTTTTGTCTCCCACTGAATTCCTTCAGGTATGTATAAAGTCTGATTCGTGATTACATATTGCACAAAACTTTTGGAAGCATAGTTTTACTTTGCATTATGGGAGCTGACTGTGCAAGCCATGTTTTAGTAAATATCGAGCTGAACAGACCTTAGTTCAGTCTGTGGCCGCATTCAGACATGACATTGAGTGATGATTTGTAAAGTCAAATCATGGTTTGGTGTGATGTCTGAAGTTATATCAGCTTAAACCATGGGTCACAAAGAACTGCCAAGGGAGGATATCAAACTACAGATTGTTTAGAGGCTAAACAAGCCATCAGTTCAGCCAATAATAGACCAGTTAACTGTTAGGTTGTTTAACCCCCTAAATAGTGCATCAGTTTGGGTTTACACACCACACTGACCACCTCTGATTGTGTAGATTGTTGGTTGTTTATAGAAACCAGAAGCAGGTGCCATGTGTTCCCAAGTGCCATGTAGCTGCCGTGTGCTGCCAAGACACAAGAACGAGTTGTTGATTACACAGCAGGAGCTAGCCACCCTTGGAAGTTTTCCCATACACGTTCTTTCTTGCCTATACCTGAATTAGGGTAGTTTTGGCATGTATCTTTTTTAGTCTAAGGGTCATAATCCATTTTGGGGAAAATCTTCAAGGGCCACATTCTAGTAGGGAGCAGGCATAAACCCTGCCTTCCGTTCTTACCAGTAATAGCAGGAAGAGTATTACTCAGCAGTAAGCATGTACATTTATATACTTAGAAATCCACAGGATAATCCTTTGCATGTCTACTCAGAAGAAATTACAAGCATCATGTCAACTCATAAGAAAGCCGGGCAAATGCAGAAGAGAGCAAGACCTAATAATTAAACAATACTTTAAAATAACATTTCTACTCACATGTAAGCATGAGTATCATGCCTGCTCACAAGGAAGTAGGACTAGCTTCTGCATGAATAATCACAAGTACAGAGGAGTGAGTCACTCATTCCCTTTCTTCTATGGCTCTTTTCTGTCTGTCCTGCTGTGAGAAATTCTTATCTCTGATCAGCAGCTGACAGGAGCAAATTGCTTTGCCGTGCTAACCACTGAGGAAAATTCTTTCAGTGCTTAACAGTGCTTATCTCTGATCTGGGGCTAAGCAGAAATTAAAGTTTTTCCCTCTGAAGGCCAGGGCAAGAAGCTGCTGGGTCATATAAAGACCAGGGGTTCCCTAACCCTGGTTTAGTGTTTGGTTGAGAATACAGGTAGTGGTTTATTAACAGGTACTCTAATGCTTCTTAAACTTGCCAAGTTCTGCACCTAGGAAAAAGAAACCAAATGTATTGTTACAAGATGGGGGATATTTTGGTTTCTGATTCCAGGGAGTTTAGTAGTGTACAGCATATTGCTCTTTCTCATGTTTAGACTTCTGGTTTAACCTGTTACTTGTAATAGTTAGTTATGTTTCTTCTGTCCAGGGCCAGTTATCAATTTGAACAACTTTTGAACAAATATTTCAAAATCACTGGATTATGGCGAGGATAGGAGTTGGAGTTACTATGAGCCTAATAATATATTATGAATCTCTGAGACAATTCCAAGATGGGAATCTCGATGCGAGCCATTCTGGACATTTGCTCCATTGCAATATTTTGATGAGATTCTTGGCACCTATAGGAACATAAACTTAGCATCTTGTTCAGTAGCATTTTGTTTTTCTGTTGCATTTGTTTATTCTTGCTTTCAAAAATCATTAGGCATCATTCACTAGTGTCTTTAATGTATGCAAAATTCTAAAAAGACTGGTTGCTTCTTGGCAACAAACAGACAAATAGAAAGGAGTGAGGTGAGGGGAGTATTTACAAAACACAGGTGTTTTTCTTTGGTTGTGTGATTAAGCACAGGGTGTTAAATCTGTTCACTCTGTGTTTTGTGGATTATTGTGTGTCTTCAGTTTCATTTTCCACTTGCTGATGGAATTGGGGTTTTTGGGAAGGTACAAGGATTTTGTTTCTGTTCGCAAATGTACACTTGCACTAATGCACATTTGTACAGTTCCCTACAACTCCCAAAAGTAAACTACCAATTTGCAAGACTGTGAATAGTGTGCAACTTGGAAAAAGCTGTTGCACAGGTCAGATTCATAGAAATTTGAACTCAATTGAATCCATTGTGGAATTTCAACATCTCTAATTAAGCATCTGTGTGTTGTTTGTACAGCCAATCAAGTATTTCATTATTTTGTTGATTGCTGTGGATAATTTGCTTTAAAACAGAATCTTTGTTCCTTGGTGCCTCTGTTTCTTTTGTTGATTACTGCAACTAGACATTCTTATTATTTAGTTATGGTACTGTCTTTATTATAATAGGCATTATCTCAGAGCCAATTCAAGCATTTGAGGGGTTATGGTATGGTTCATAGTATCATATAATGCCCATTGGGTTTCTGGGCTGGAAAATCTTCCAGTTTCAGAGTCTCATTGCACATGGAAAAGCTATTGGTGAGAGATGTTTTAGTTCACATTTTCCCTTTTATGTAAGCAGGTAATGCTAATAATATGTGCTAAACTTAACATGAAAGTGTTCAGAAAGAATGCTTAAAAATGTATTTATTAATTGTAAGGTGCAGTCTACTAATGCTTCTCTTCTACAATAGTCCTGTTACTTGAAATAGGATATTTGAGACAAAAAGGCTATTACCTAAAGAACCATGTTTGTTTCAAGACTTTTCTGTCCCTTTCTTCCCAGTGTAGCCTCTTGCCCCTTCATAAAACTCTTTATGCAGCTTGCTGCCCCCTCTGTTGACAATGCACAGGATGAAATACATTTATTTATGTTATCTTAAAATTAGATTTATATTCTACATTTTTTTTTAAACAACCCAAAGTAGTATACATCATTCTCCTCCTGCTGCTCTCAATTGTATCCCCACAACTACAATTCCGGGAGGTAGGCTGGCCTGAGAGTCTATGATTGGAGCAAGGTCATCCACTTGGCTCCATGGCTGAGCAGGGACCAGAACCCAGGTTGCCTGAGTCCCAAACCTATGCTGCTCTTCACTGGCTTCTCGAACAAAGGGATGGAGTTGGGGAGACAATCAATGAAACAAGTTCTGTGTATGTGTAAAAGTGCTTTTGTTCATGCAGGGGTCTATTGGGTTTCACTTGTGATATGCATATGCCAAACACATTTAGTTTTAAATGCACAAATGATTTTCAAGAGTGAAATATAATCAGACTGAATGGAAAAGAAACACCTATAATAGGTGTTTGGTTAAAATATTTATTAATATAAATTTCAGACTTACACATTTGACTGTTATTGATTGCTTAAGCTTCAGTGAAAGTTAAAAGTATAAACAAGATTGATTGAAGAACTCTAAGTTGATTTGTGTTATTTTTAATTTTAGGTCTATGCAGCTGAGCTGTGCAACTCATTCTGTGAGGTCTTAAAGGATATAACTACTGAGGGTCAAGTTCAAGTGCTGAAGGTAAATGGTTAATCTTCCAATTTATTCTTCCCATGCTTTGAAGTGTGCACAAGAATGGCCAGGATTAAAGTCCGCATCCATTTTTTTTGTCCAGTTGTCATCTCTGGTCAAGCATCTTTTGTGAGGCTTTGAAGTAATTCAGTAATGCACATGTTCATATTCCTTGTGTCGTTGAATATTGTCCTGAGTTTTAAATTTAAAATATTGTTTTTATAGTTGCTGAGACAAACATACAGTGCTGCATATCTTATAAGTGTGTGTATACCTTCATGAGAGTTAGTGGAGACTATATGCCAATTAATGATGTGGTTTGAAAAATTAAAATGTATTGCTTTCATTGCTTTCCAAATGTGATACTTTTATTTAGATACCTTAATTTATTGGGATCTTTGTTGTGACTCGCATTATTAATAATAAATTGAATGTTACATTTTATTCAGGTAAAAGTCTGCAACCATTTTTTCAGTATGAGAAGACAAGGAGATCATTCTCCTTTGTATCATTTACTTTAAAACTTGAAGGAAAGCCTAAATTATTCCTTCATTAAAAAGATGGTGCTGCTGTAAAAATTATTGTAGTATCTTCCACACTACCTCAGCAACTTCCATTTTCTCATTTCCAGGGCTGTGAATATTTCCGTTAACCTAAACTCAAAAGACTTTGTTCAAGTTGTACCATGCAGGCCTCAAAGTAATCTAATTAGCTTCTATCACTAAAAGGCATGATCTTGGTAGTCTTCTGTTCCTAAGGTTTTCTTGGCGATATTTGATGTAGGTTCTCTTTGCTTCCCGCATAAGTCACAAAGAATGCATTTGCACTAATTGCATTCTGACAGTCCCCCAAATGATGGTTATAGGGCATCATGAACAAGTGCTGTGTTTTTGTTTTTCCTTCCCTTCACATTTGGAGCTTAATTTGTTGCCTCCTGTTTGAATCAAACCATAGTTTTCTAGTTCTTGTTTAGCTGAGAAATATGTTTTCATTAAAACCAGGCGTTTTAATGAAAGAAGCCCCCAAAGATCAGCAGTAGAGGCCCTCCTCTGGGAACCCTCTTTGAAAGAGGTCAGGAGACAGAGTACTTGGAGGAGAGCTTTCTCTGCGGTGGCACCCCAACTATGGAATGCGCCTCCTAGAGAGGTCTGCCTGGTGCCGTCATTATATGCTTTTCAGCGCCAGGTCAAGACCTTTTTATTTGACCAATATTTTAAAGTTAATTAATTTTAATTGTATATTTATTCATTTAATTTATTTTTAACCATGTCATTTTATACTCGGTTGTGGTGTAGCCAGTTTATTTTGTTTAGGATTAATAATATATTGTAAGCCATCCAGAGATGACAGTAATGGACGGCCTATAAATTTCATAAATAAATAAAGGATTCAGCCCACAAAAGAGAAGAGAGTGCTCATAGGACTTTCTCAGTGTAGTAATGGAGAAATGTGGATATGTGTAGATGGATGAGAGTATACAGTGGGTAGCTATTTGCTTTACTGTTAAGCAACCTCACCTTCCAGTAAGAAATTTGGTTATTTTAGATAGCTAGAAGGGTCAGGCAATAGAAGGTGCCAAGAAAACTGTCTGAGAATGCCCTGGTCCCCATCAATGTTGCCTACTCCTGGTTTACATCCTAAAAAGTACACTAAACTTTATATTTTCTTTTGGTTAAACTAAGAATCCTCTATTAGCATTTACTTTGATCGCTTTATAAACAGTATCTGTCTTGTGTTGTTCAGGTTGTAGAAAATGTTCTCAAAGTGAATCCATTGCTGGGCCCTGAAATGTTTCGACCTCTTTTGCCATCTGTATTCCATGGAATTATAAATGGGGAGGTAAGGGTTTCTTATCCATGTTATTTTTCTTGGTCATGGATCTTGAAATACATTAGAGTACTCGTAAAAAGAGTAGTTGTAAGCTGAATGTTTTAATATAAATGTGTCTCTCATGTCTAATCATTTGCAAACATAATATTCTGCTCTTCTTTCTTTGCCACAAATTCAGATTTGGTATTTAGGGGAGGCTGTAATGTATCTTAAGTACTCTGTATACTGAGATCATGCTAATGGAATAGTCATTTTTGTGAGTTATCCCTCCTAGAATTAAATCAAAGATTAGATGCAATTAGAAGTATTTTTTATCATTTCAATAGCACTTCTCAAGACAGTGAAAAGGTACTCATGGGTCTACTAATTAATTCTCACAACTACATTATGAGGTAGGTTAGGGTAAGAAATAGATTTTTTCTATGGCTTCACTGTGCAGTTTGAATCTGACTTGGGTGTCTCCTTTTCACATCCAGCACTTTTCCCATGGCACCACACTGACCTGTTAAGTGATGCTACAGTTACTGAAGGCATATGCGCAGCCCATAGTGAGAAACTAGCCACAGTGGGTTGTTGTGCTGTGCAAACCTCAACTGCTTCCCATATAGTAGTTTGGTTTGGAGGAAGAATCCACCCTGACAACCCAGAAAGATAGGACCTACACATATACCCTCTTTTCGTGATGCAGACTTTGGAAAAAAATAGTTTTTTGACAGATTTTTTATGCAGGCAAAACAACCTTGTTTGGCCCTCAAAAACCTTGCTTAAACAAAAACATTTCTTTTGACAGCTGTAAAGGAGTTGTAGAGCTTATCTTTGCAGAGTACCTAGAGCGTCAGCCCTCAAACTAAGGCCCACAGGCTGGATCCAGCCCACCATGCCCTTTTAATCCGCCCACCCCACAGGTTTTGCACACGCTGGGTGCGCGCACGGGGAGGTTGTTTTGGAAATGCTTGGAGAAAACGATCTCCTCGTGAGCATGTTGGCGCTTCACCATGCATGTGCCCTGCAGCAGCTTGCTCTCAGGGAGATTGTTTTGGACTCGCCCAGAGAAAATGATCTCCTTGCGAGCAAGCCGGCATCTCGCCGTGCATGTGCCTGGCGCCAGCTTGCTTGCAAGGAGGTCATTTTGGACTCTCCTGAAGAAAATGATCTCCTCGCGAGCAAGCCAGCACCTCGCTCTGCACACACCCCCGCTCTGTATGTGCGCACGCCCTGCCCCCACACTGGCATTTCCTTGGCGGCCCGCAGCCACCGTTTGCACCTGTCAACTGGCCCCCTGTTCAAAAAGTTTGAGGACCCCTGACCTAGAGGCCTGGGGAAGTATGGAAAGATGGAGGGTGCTGAAAATATTGGGGCAATGCTTAAAAACTAGAGGATCCCACTGCTAAGGGAGAGAGCTACTTTCCAACCCCTTTCATGAACAGAGAACTCTTTGTGGCCTTGCTTTTTCAGATTGCCATTTGGCAGAGTAACAAATTTACTTATTTGCAGCCTTCCTTTGACTGTTTCTGGAAATACTGCCTCATACACTTTGAGTGGAAGCGCTCACCTGGCACTCCCTTGACGAGGAAAGACTGGCAGGAGGACCAAGGAATGGGGGGACAGCTCACCATGTGCCCAGTTGTCTGCTGAAACCCATAATTGCAGAGTGGGTTGTCATGTCATGTCATGCAACATGACTACTGTCTTGGTACAAATAGGTTTTATATTATTGATAGTAGACCTCCTTCTTTCACCTGACATTATCCAAAAGTTTTGGATCACAATCCTTCAGCCTAGGCCAGCATGGCTGATGGTTAGGTGATAATACTGCAAAACATCTGGAGGATATCAAATTGGAGATAGCTGACAAGTTAATGGATGACTAGATGCAGACATTCAGTTCCAGAGTAACGTCTTTTCTTGGGTGATAGATGGAATTGATATGTGATTTCATTGGGACAGGTAGCATCTCTTGCCCTATTCCTGATCAGAATCTGAGGTGGTGGCCAAGGCTCCTCAGAGCTCCATTGCTAGTTTTTATTCTGTTTGCATTTTTTCTCCTCCAGCTTATTCCTGTTCCTGCTTTCTAAATTTCCCCTGTGGTGTTCTGAAAGAGGGAGAAGGAAAAAAGTCGGTGGCTTATCCTTGCATATAATGGGGAGCTACATAGAAATGTATGGTTCAAAAGCTAGGATGTGGATCTCATATGAATTGGCCAAATCTCTGTATTCTGGATCTCTATTTGAAGCACCATTAGAGGCAATCCTTGTGTTTGTTTTGGTCTTTTGTGTGCACAACAAGAAAAAGGACCTTACCATAAAGGAAATCTGAAAGACTGAGTGTCTTTTCAACTGCCTAAATTATCCTTCAACTCCAGAAAGGGTAAAAATTGGCAGCAACTCATACTGGCAGCACTGACATGGCAGAAATCTCTCACAGACCCCTAGGCTATGAATTGTGAGCTGGTCACTTGCCTCTTTCCTTCTCTTTATAAAATTCAAAATGAAACCTTTGAAGCACAGTTCTTTTACTGAAATTTAATGGTTACAAAAAAGTATAAACTGCCTTCTGTACTAGAGTTGTGGGAGAAGCATCACCCCATGTAAGAGCTGAATCCATACTGAAACTTCCCATCCTTTCCTCCCTTTCAGTAAAGCTTCTGACTCCACCTTCAAGGTCATTCTTGCTGCTTAAGGGCTAGATGGTGGGAAGGCCAGAGACTTCATAAGTGGTCTTCTTAAGTGGTCTACTCATTTCACCTGCCCCTAGATCACTCTAGATCATGGGTCCTCATACAACGGCCTGCAGGACAGATCCGGCCTGCCATGCCCATTTAGCCGGCTCGTGCCGCCGCCCGTCCATGCACTTGCCGCCACCTCACCACACGGGCTGGAGTTGGTGGCAGCTTGCTCACTTGGAGATGGTTTTGGACTCGTTGGGAGATCTCTGAGCAAGCCGCCGCCACGCGCGCCTGACGCCGCCTCACCGGCCCGCACACCCAGGCCCCCCTGCCTCACCGGCCTGGGCTGGTCACCGCCACCTTTCAACTGGCCCCCTGTTGAAAAAGTTTGAGGACCCCTGCTCTACATCAAGGAGCACTTCCTGCATCTGCTTCCCTTCCCACCCTGAAATGCCTGCCTTCCTTTCCAAGGCAGACAGATTCTTACATTCTGTCTGAGAAACTTTACTAGAAAACTTTGAAACTGTCAACTGTCCATCCCTGCTTGCTCCACCACCTGCTTCTTAGATTTGAACAAATCTGTCTGAGCTGACTGTGATATACAAGGGATGCCCCCCACATGAATAGTAATGGACATACTAGGAAATAAGAACTTAATTTGATAATGGAAGGCAAAGACAGACTGCAGAAGATTTAACAAACACCCGAACAAGGTATCTGTCCTTGCAAAACTTAGCACTTGTATTGTTCCTGGCATGCTGATCAGCCCTTGTGTCTGATGAAGCCACAGCGCAAATGGTTTTTATAGAAACTAAAATTTTAAGTGGTCACCATTGCCAGATAAGGTCCTACTGCACGGTGTTGTATGCTTAGGGGATTTGCAAGGCGCAATAACCTACTGGGTGACTAGGCACAGCAAGGTGTTAAGTCATGTGAACCTGGACCTCTTCCCACGGTGTGGTTAGTCTGAGAACAACAAGCCACCCTGATAATCTGTGGTTTGGTTTTGGGGTGTTTGAACCCACTGGGTTCTCATTTTGTCTAAACCCAGGCAATTGACACCATCATGGGTTGCAGGAAGAGTTAGATGAGCTGTTCAGCAAGAGCAGCAAAAGTCCCTTACTGAGCTCACCTGGCCTGCCACCAGTGATAGCCACTTCCACTTGATGCCAGAGTGGCGAGGTGGAGAGACCCATCATTGGCTCAGCATTGTGCACTGTAATTGAAATGCTTTTACTCACATCGTGGCTCTTCCCCAGTTGTACCCTTTACTCCAAGTAACAGTTTGGAGGGGGTAAAGTGTGAAAAAGGAAGGAAAGGCCCATGTAAGCTATAATGGTCTGATATTGTTGTCCTTCCCCCCACATGCGGCCCTTCCTAGCACTGGAATGAGGCCCATGAGTGTTCCTCCAAAACTGAATTTGGTCCTCTGGCTGAAAAGGTTCCCTAGCCTTGCCCTAAGTATTACAGGGTGAACCTCCCATCTTCAGCATGTGTGGGATGTTGGAGTACTGGAAAGTATTAACATCCCAAGGTGTAGCCCTAGGCTGGATTGTTGGTACTGGTGAGTGAGACTAATTTTATGGCCACCTATGAGAGAAATGCAAATCTTCCATTCTTAAAAATGGCCAGAGGGCAACCTACCCATCTGACTGAGTGTTTTGTCGTGTGCCAGGAAGAGATGTTTTTTGGATGTAAAAGTTGCCCTTCTGGCTGTCCTGAGAATAGAATCTGAAGTACAATTGTCATTTTCTTTGCAGGAACCAGTTTATTTCATGTGAGATATTTCTTAGATATTTTATATAAAAATGCCAATATCCTTATAAATATGGAACGATAAACAGTTAAAACTGGACAGGATCTAAATCATTGCTACATTGCTGCAGATACTTTAACCTGGATATCAAATCGTTACTGAAAGTCTGGCCTTCTTTTCTATTCTCCTCCTCCTTTCACTTAGAAAGCTGGCCTGCTTGCCTCTGCCCTATTCTTTCCAAGGCTGGAACATTACCCTGTGAAGCTATTAGCCCTCTCTCAGCAATTAAGGCCAAGACACACTGACCTTTAATAGCCACAGTTGTGGCACACTGCTTTATAGGGTTCTTTGTTTTTGCCGGTATGTGGCTGCAAGAGGCAGACAGAGAACAGCATTGTGGTAGCTGTACAACTGTTACTTATTTGCTTTTGAAGATGTGACTTCTGACTTAATCCAGAAAAGGTGTTGGCAAGTACTAATGTGTGAATTGATACTTTCACAGACAAAGAAACTTTGCAACTCTGCTAACTTTTCATTTTTCATTTAATTCTCTGTGTCTTCATCTTTATTATTCACCACAGTATTTATTATGAAATGTCATATTGGGCTTTTTTGCTGTTCCAGAGAAATGCTTTTGTGTCCACTACCCAGAAATATGAATCTGCTCCTGAATTTAACAAGACAATTTTCATATTGAAGGGATTATTTCCTATTTTCATCTGAATTCTTAATACAAGAGGACATTTTCCTTGTCTCTGCATTTGTACTTATATACTGTAGTGTAAATTGTACATTTTCTCATGCTGTTTGAAAGTTGTTCTTCATTCTCTAAGAAACACATGTCCTTGGAATTTTCTTAGAATTAGTAGGGCAACTGACTCTTTGTAGAATGTTAAAGTAAAGTACTCCTTGGATGAGAAGTAATATCCTTCCTAACTTTGAAACAACAGGAAATCACAGCAGTTCACATACTGTTAAAAAAAACTTGAAGCAAGAGAATGTCTTTACAGAATATTACTTTGATTTCTTGTTTGAAATTTCACATCAGGTAATTCAAACCATATTCTTGTTGTATGAGTGCATTTTTCTCCTAGTATTGGCTTTTACATGCAGCAAGTATCATACTCTCTTTCTGTTTAAACCTCTTTCTTACTTGTTATATAGGCCCCTGGTTTTTTTTTTTTTTTTTTTTTAGCATTTCTCGCTTCAAGTGCAAAATCTTCAAATAGCCAATAGTTGATAATGGGAGGTGTTAAAATAACATAATTTAACACTTTCATCTATCAATGGGTTTTCACCCATTTATGTCACTTCACTATACTGTTCTGTAAAATCTTTACACTGAAGAGTGTTACCACTGAGAATAGCAACAATGAGCTGGATTAATAGCACTTCTTTTAAAGAAAAAATATGTCCTGTTAAGATGGAGATAAAAACTGCTAGTTCTTTTGTGGATTTCTTCTGGAATTCCTAAATCACCAAAGAAAGAAAGAGAGAGAGAGAAAGAAAGAGAGAGAGAGAATAAACATCCTGGCTGTAACTGATATTCATTCAAAATTATTAATGATGGAAAATGCTTCATTTGTATGACACTTTCATATAAAGTTTCCTTGCCTTATAATTCCATGTTATCCCAGTCGTTGGTGCCATTGTATAAATATAATACACATGTGCAAACCAATATGCTGAATATTTGCTTAAACATTTCAGGTATTGCTGCTGACCATTATGAGTCATAGTCCAAAGTGTGCATAGTGCCCATATGATATAGTGCACTGAGAAGAGGGATTATTGAGATAACTCTTAAGCGATTTCTCTTGTCTGTCACTATACACATAAAGCTCTGTGTGAATGTGGGAAAACATACCAGCAACAGTCACAAGGAAATTAATCCAGAACATTTGACACTGTTCAACTGTATCCAGGCATTGTTGAAATTAGTGCACCACAAAGATAAATTAAAACCAATTTGCTTTAATATCTTGAAATAAAATACTTTTTGGCATTTATCTGGTTCTAAACAGGTGAGCAAGCTTTCTAATTTGCTAAAACTCTACTTCCAAGTTCTTTTGGGAACACTAAAAGCTTGCTTGCTACTTTGTGACATTTTAGTTGGTCCTAATAAAAATACCTGCTGCTACTTCATTTTTCTTTGGGTGCGATGCACTGAAACAACTATTTGCAGCATATTTTGATCTCATTTCATAACCTCGATTATGTGCATAGTTTAACCATTTCTAGGCAACTGGGCAATATGTTACAGAAAGTCAGTGTGCTTTGGTGATAGTGTCTTCCATCCTCCATGTTCAACATGATAGTGGGGATTACCTACCAAGTGGGTGACTGCTTTATTTCACATGGACTTCAATGACAACATTTCAAGTTACTGCTTGCACTGCTATAGCTGAAACCTGTAAATATTTGCTTAAAATAGGAAGTTGTTTTGTTATGCTAATATCTTATTTGTAGAGTTGTATTAAATTTCTAATTTACTTGAACAGATGGTATAAGTTGTAATTTTGCCGCATGCATTTATCATGCTTATATTTTCTGTCTGATAGGAAAGCGAAGATTAATTGTTTTCATTTCAGAGATACCCAGTTGTAATGTCTACTTACCTGGGAGTCATCGGTAGAGTTTTGTTGCAAAACAAAAGTTTTTTCTCACTCTTTCTGAACCAGATGGCTTCTGAGTTTGGCCAGGAGGTAAGTGCTTACATTTTAAATTAGTTCTGTATGAAGGCACCAATTGCACAACAATTATGATATTTCTTTCCCTAAACAAATTTGGGCTTGTAAGGGGAGCATGAATAACTAGAAATAATTGTCCACCCATTCTCTCCCTTTTGGAAAAGATGTAATAGCTGAGATTTACTTTCTGTTGGGAGCAGCTGGAACTTAGGCCTGTGCAGATCATCTTGTTTCCACGATCCATTCCTCCTCCTCTGTTCTCTTTGCCTTTGTTGTAGTTATGAGAACTGGGTGTGCTAGCTCATACTTTCATGGTTTGAGAAAAGTAAAGAAATTTCCTAAATATATATTGTAAGCAAGTTAAGTGCTCGAAGCTAAAAGCTTATAGCATGAATGTCTCAGTTTTAGAGCTGCTAAGTTGCACCAAGTCTCAGGAATGTCCAGTAATTGTGCCACTCCCGTGTACTCAAGTTTCTTCTGCATATGTACATGAATCTAGAGGCTTGTGTAGTCATCAGCTATCTTTCTTTTCATGGCAATTGCTTGTGCCTCATAAGGTTCTGTTCTAGATGGGCTGCATCCTTCAGGGGGCTTTGCAGAGAGGTAGGCAGCTGCTGCTGAAAGGAAAAAACTGGAAAATCCATATGCATATGTGGTATGCCTTGGTTCTCAGCCATTCCCTAGTATACTTAATGGAAATGTCAGCATAAACCCCTGAAATCTTTTCAGATAATTGGTTTTTGTTTGTTTATGCTGCAGCAGCTAACTTTCAGCTGCAAATAGACATCTGTCTTCACCTCAGTATACATATTTTAAAGATCATTGAAATTTGTTCAGTCTGTTGTACTATTCTGTCTCCCAACTGACTTAAATTAATTTAAATAACAAAAAATATTCTTTTGAAGCAAGTATTTTCATGTGATGTTCAGCCACTGAACCAACAACTAGCTTGTTAATATTTTCAGACTTTCTACCCAGGGAAATCAGCCTCACACAGCAAGGGATACCCCTTGCAGATAGATGCTTGGTGCTTCTTAGCAATCCCATTATAATCAGAAAAACAGCTCACTAGATTTTCAGTTGCTTTTGGTTTTTAGTGACTAATTGTGTTTGATAGATATGCAAAGAACATACAGTAATGAAGCCTCTGAAAAAAATGTATGTCATAAAGCCCTTGTTGGCACATGCATTTTGAGTTAATTCTATAGTGAGATACTTGAATTTAGAGCAGTCATAATGCATATTACCACGACACACATTTATACTGAAACACCTGCCTCTGCCTCCCTCTAACCATGCTAGCTGGCAAATTCAAATGTTTCGCAGCATATAGAGTTCAGGTTATAATGCAAATCAAATGTGGCTTCCCATAGCCATTCACATCAGGAGATTATGAGCATCCCATGGAGGGTGGATAGAGTGCCGATTTCAGCCGTCTGAGTCTTTTGCCCCAGAAAACAAGAATGGCTGGCTGAGGTACCACTAGGAAATCTGCATGCTGGCTGCGCCTTACTCCTCTCTTCTCTTCCTAGAACCCCGACAGAGCACTGGCTCTGCAGACTTCTGAACCTGGAGGCACAACTAGCATGGTTCTTTCTGCACTGGCTATGATGGCAAGGGGCGGGGGGGGGGGGTGCTCTGAAGGCAGAGCTCCAATTGCAGAGCTTCTTTCCAAAATTGGAAACTGTGGACTCTGACTTATACTCTGGCTGTATAGATTCTGTCTAGCAACTATAGAATTGTGCTCTTCATGTTTTGAGTTAGACCCGATAACACAATTTCTCATATTCTAAAATCTATTTAAAATAGTTAACTAACTTAATTACCAGTTTACATATGAAGAAGATTTTCACTAGTATCTTCTTTTTCCAGCCGGAGCAGCTGCTTGGTCACATGATTGAAATGTGGGTTGACCGCATGGATAACATAACTCAGCCAGAGAGAAGAAAACTTTCAGCTTTGGCATTACTTTCCCTTCTGCCGTCAGATAATAGGTGAGCAAAACTTAGAGAAATGTTGGCTGAAGACTCAAAGAGCAATCACCCATGCCATACTACGAACTACTTCTGTAATTGCTTTCAATTTAAATATTCAGGGGGTTGATATCCCCAAAACATAAGAATTAGATCCCCATTGTTATACCAAACTAGTTGCATGGTACTTTGGGTCCTGCCTCCCAACTTGTAACTGAAAGAAATACATGAATGTTTTAGCTTCATCTTTCTGTAGAATATTGGGGGGAAATCCTATTGTTGGCCAAAGAAATAAAAGGCTTGGTTAATTAATGCAATAAAATAGGATGACTTCCAGACTGCATTATAGATGCTTAAGTTAAAATCAGTGTTAATTATGCAACCTCCTTTTTATATTAAGATTTACTCTTAATTTAAGTTACATTTTTCCTCGTAGCTTTGTGTATTCAGTAGCACTTTTCTGTAAACTGCATACAATTAGAAACTGTTTCCTTTATATCCATGTTCTACTATTTGTTTTTTATATAAGGCACTGTAAGTGTCTTCTGAGGTATGTGGTCACAGTTGACACTTGGAGCTCTTTAACTTTAACCAAATGTTACTTCTGAAGTCTGAAACATATACTTTACCTTCCTGTCATTTATGTATTCTGTATGAACCATACACTTAGTTCTAGCAACAGTATAATACTTTCTAAATGCTCGTGATAATAAATACTCCTTTCCTGTGAATAATTGCTTTAATCTCATTACTATAATATTTAGCTTTGCTTAAGCATTCTTCATTATGTGCAATAATGTAAAGCAGATACAGATTATATCAGCAGTATGTGAAGACACATTTATCTAACTGAATTTTAGAGGAATAAATTGCAGAGATTTTCTTTCCAGCAGTACTTCAGAACTGGAGATAAAATGACTTCCTGTCTCTCAGTTTCCTGTATCCATGGTAACTTTGTTTTAACCAGTCATTGTAGAGGAGCCAATGGGAAGAGTAGCATTTCCTGTAGGAACGGTTGCAGAACCTGCAACAAAATGTGAGAACTGAAATGTTGTCCAGAAAGTTCTTAAAATAAAAGCTAATATATAAAGGCCCTAGCTCTGGAAGAAGAAATTTTAGCTGACAAAATGAGCATCACATTCTGGGTAAGAACAATTTTAATTTATTTTAAACTTGAAATAAAAGTGACCTTCGAAGTTTTAGAATCTACCAATGGCAGGAAATTGAAGATTTTATGTATAAATAGCATTTCTTTTTAAGTTTAATCTAGAATGAATAAATAAACATGTGTTAAATAGCTCATTTCTCTGACTGCTGTTAGCATGTAATTACTTTTACATTTTAACTGTTGAAATATTTTTAAAGCACAGTTAAAACTATTAACCGTTTATAAATGCAGTACTGTGCTTAATTATGTGTGAACGATGGTACAAGAGGAGAGTAGACAGACATCTGTAGTCCAGAAATACAAATCACATTAAATATAGCATGCATTTTATATAAGATGAACATTTTAAATAAGCAATTCTAACTTCTTTCCTGATAGCACAAGCAAAGATGACTGGGAGAATCACAGCCCGAGATATGTGTCAGCTTCACCACCTTGGGTCATTTCGACATATTCTTAATTGTCTTCTTCTGTTGCTGATCCAGAAGGATATACTTTGCTGCCCATCTGTTTGCCAGCAGTGTACAGGCAGACAAGCAGACTGCCGTAATTCAGGTCTTTCAGCCATTCCAAAGAATTTCCCACAAAATATTTTATTTTTATATTTAAGTGGGAACAATTTATCACATATACATCCAAAGGAATTGATAGAACTTCGGCAAGTTTCTGTCCTTCACTTGGATAATTCCGGCATTTTCTATGTGTACCCAAAGGCATTTGCTGAGTTTAAGAAATTGTGGTGCCTACATCTGAATACTAACCAAATAAAACACTTGGATCCTGGAACATTTGAAGGACTTTCACATCTTCATTCTTTATACCTGCAAAATAATGAAATTGCTTTCATTCCTAAAGGATTATTTAGTGATCTCACTTCAGTTCAATACCTCATGCTTCAAAGCAATCACCTTAGCATCCTTGGTAGTGGCACCTTCTTTGGAATGATTAGTCTTCGGATTCTTAACCTAGCCAACAATAAGATTTCACAGATATCACATAAAGCATTTCATCACCTTGACAACCTTACATATTTGTACCTTGAAGGTAACAATTTAACACGTGTGCCATCAAATGCTTTTGTGGCATTGGATAATCTTGAAAAACTGTCACTGTCACTTAACCCTATTGGATCAATAGCCCCCTTTGCATTTAAAGGACTTTACAAGCTTGAGTATCTATCTTTAAAAAGTGCAAACATAAAGGCTATCAGTGTGAATGGCTTTTCAGGGCTAAATAATCTTAAAAAGTTAGTTCTGAGTAATAATAAATTAGAAAACATCAGTTCCAGTACTTTTGCAGCACTAGATAATTTAGTGTTTCTACAACTTGACAGAAACAAAATAATTCACATTGCAGATAATGCGTTTCGAAAAATGGGATTCACTTTAAAGATACTGAATCTAGCATTTAATAATCTTTCATTTTTACGGCCTAAAGTACTTAAACCTTTGGTCTCTTTAACTCACTTACAGGCAAATTACAATCCTTGGAATTGTAGTTGCAGATTACTTGGACTGATTAATTGGCTAGCATATTCGTCCATCTCTTTAAAAATTCATTGCCAAAATTCTTCCAGCCTGCATGGAAAGCACTTGAGTTATACTAAATTGGATTTGTTTACAAAGTGTTTTAGCACTACCACAAAAAACAAAATATTCAAGAATATTAAACCAGCAGGCATCCATCTCAGCACCACTACTTTATTAATGGCATGGAGTCAAACTCGCACAACCAGTGCAGCTTATGAATATTTTGGTATGGATACAGACAAAGTGACTTTATGGACAGAAGTGCCTACCGCATCTGCTAGTCCAAATCTTTATGAAGATTACCCCAGTGGAAAGCTGAGGCATACAGCTTCAGTGTTAACAGTACAAATGCCCACACAGAAGATGCCTGTTAATTTGACCATGGAAGAAAACAGAGTATCTCCTCCAGAAGCGGCTTCTGTGTCTTTTAAAATACCTCTGATCTGTTCACAGCAGGTGGAAAAACTAAATCAGGCTTTTGACATTTTATTAAGCTTTTTTATTTTGGCTTGTGCTGTGATCTTGTTTTTGATTTACAAAATCATTCAATTTAGAAAGAAGCTAAAAGTGCTGAAGAACTCTGCCAGTGGAATAGAATACTATAGCTTTTATCAAGGTGGTAGCTACAGCCTAACTGATCCAATTCAACCTGTACCTCAGAATCCACTGGGAAGTTCAGAAGTGGGCCACGTTCAGCTTTCTAAACCAACAGCACTTGAAAGTCAAGCACAGGTCATCTTATTTGAACATTCAGCATTATGATTCAGCAGGATTTTTGTGGCGATATGTATAAAGACCAACAATTGCATGAGATGATTTGTAGTTCATAGTCTAGTTTGGCTATGAGGGTGTGTGGGGGTCTTGGTCTGGGAAGCAGAGAGATTTAGAATGGAGTTTCTTCAAATATCTTCATATGTGTTGTCATTTTAATAGCTCCATTTTTGTATGGGTCTAAAGTTTGTTTTAGCCATAATGCTTCCATTTTGTTCTATCTATGAAAAATTATTAATTGATATCTTTAACTTTGCAACAGTATATGTTCTGTGTTCTTTCTATATCAGCTATTAAATCCTTGCCTTAAAAAAATCACAGCCTTTCAAATATTCATTAGTATTAAATGATTCATAGAAACCATGCAAGACAATTTCTAAATAACTAAGTGAAACTGACCATTACTGGCTGTATTGTGAATCTCAATTGTTGTGGGATTAAACCTTTCTTGTGGAAAGATTATGAGGTAATAGCAGCACTGAAATGTATCATGATTTTTCAACAGAGCATGACATTCTGGAGAGATTCATATTCCTGTTGTAGTTAACTATAATAGTTTCACTTCCAGTAGAAAATTGTAATATGTGTATTTAATATCTAAGTTGCTAACGTACCAAGTGTCTACATGTTCTATCTCACTTTTTCATGTGTGGTGCTAATTAGAGTTAGAATTCGTGTAAGCTTTTAAATTTAACTTGTATACAGGCTGCCTAGAAATGGAACTGTGCTCACAGGACACTCCTGCTGGACGAAATTCCTCCTCCCTGCAGCTTCTCATTCCTCTTGAAAAGCTTCGGAGAATCAGGGGAAAGGCTAGAACAGTTGCACTAGGGGCTAAAGGGGAAAGGGAAATCACCTCCCCTTCCTTCTGTTGGAAGCTGTTGCTATACCACGAACAACTGTTTCTTCCACAACAGAAGAGGCCCTTCCATTCACAAAAGGGCAAATCCGGATCCAACCCGCTTTATTTTAAGTAATGCTACCTCTTGCACTTCCTTGTATCACAAAACAAAGCTATATCTAAAGTTTCATTTTATCAGCTGAATACCATCTTAATACTAAACTGCAACTCAGAAGTCTAACTGGAATAGTGGGTTAGGTTGGCAGCAGTCTAGCCATGCCTGTGCATTGCTGAGGAAGCCAGTGTTAACTTGAAAATCAATGTACGATGGTGTATGCTGATGGGATACCAACTGGGCACAGAGATGGCAGTGGGGTTTGCGGAAAACTCTTTCGGAAACTTGATCACTGTTGACTTTGCACCAGCTTTTAGTTTGAAACCTCTCTAATGACTGTGCTAGCATAATTTTGGAAACTTAATGAACTGGCTACAAAGGATTTTGCTTTATTTTCTGTCCTCAATGAGGTGCTTTATGCTGTGTTTGGATAGGGCACAAATCCATGTACTAGATGCTTACCTCTGCATTTCTAATGCATGCATGTTACCCATGTGTGCATTCCTGCTTCCTATGCTAATTTCCTCTAACTTTTGAGGCAGAAGAATCATGAGAATCAGGTCCGTTCATGAACAGGTCAGTGTACAACACATGAATCTTTTAGCAGAAGATGCTAAAAGGTATGAGGTACTTCTGCCCCTGCTGACTCCTACTGTCCCCACCAATTATGTTGTGCATGCAGCTCCCCATAATGATTTAGTATTTCCATGGTAATCCAGAAAAAGTGGAAATGCTAGATTCTGGAAGAAGACAGGTCAGCAAAGGTTGCATAAGGGAGTGCGGCCAGCCTGCCTCCTTGAAATTAGCATGCATTAGAAACAGACCTTATTTTCAAGCAGACTGAACACCTGGCAGTGAAAAACAACTCAGTTGTATTATATTGATAGTAATTGAGTCATGCATGCAGTTACAAAGCAATAACACACAAGTGGAAAGTTTTTCTTGATGTCATTTCAGAGGTAAGTCCTCAGTGTTTCTGAGGTTGCCTAAATTCAAAAGAAAAAGATCAGCTTTCCTACTATTAAATTGGTTTCTAAGTAACAACACACATTTTTTGAAGTTTTTACTACATTTTCTGAGCCACTGTCACTTGCCTTGATTTCTAACATAATCCTGAATGCTTAATTAACCAGTAATATGACTGGCTAATAACTGACCACATGCATTGCTCCTTCATCCTGGGTGATATGATGATGGCATTGTATTGCATTTATATCCTGGGTTTTTTCCCCTTGCAAGGAACTCAAGCTTCATGGCCAAGTGGTGACTAGAACCTGGATCTCCCAGGTCCCCTGTCCAGCACTGTAATCACAACACCACACTAGTAGGCTTTGATCAGACAACTTATAAAGTGGTCAAAGGACACAAAAATACTGTCTTCCTGCCTGAATATTTCCATAGTGCTTAACATGTTGCTGTCCCACTTAACCAGCTTAATTGGGTCCATACAAAGAATCACAGAATTAAATAGAAGAATGATCTTAAGATTATCTCCACTCCTTGGAACCTCTACATAAAAGCAACCCAATTTCTTCTTCTATCTGTGCAGTGTGTGTGTGTAATGCTCCAGTGTGCCCTAGTCAAGATGTATTCAGAGCAGAATGGGAAAGGTGATTATGGATTGTAGTCCAAAAACACCTTATGTGTTTTTGCCTACACATGCAAATATACTCAATTTTTTTAATAGTAAATATGTGCTTTCATTCAAAATACTGAAGGTTTGAAGCTTCAGCCTATCCCTCCACCCCAAAATATTGCTTCTGAGGACTGGCAATTCAGACAGCAAAAAGGAAGAACTCGTCGAAATTGGGGGCTGCCCTTTGCATGAGCCAATGGCACCTTTGCATCCTTTTTGCACAAAAGGTTATCCTGGATTTTGTAGCAGATCTAGGGGATTGCTTCAGGGCAATACACTCTTTATTCATCAGGGAGTTCTAAAAAAAATTCTGCAGGGAGATGCAATCTACTTAACTCCAGAGTTGTTGGACTAGTAGGCAACAGCCAAGGTATCAACATTTGTTCAAAAAGTTGCCCTTTGGTGTTGAGGTTTTCCATATATTTTAATGGCAATTCTTTTCATAAAATGAGTGTGATTATTAGGCTTGCCTGTAATAATAATCTGGTGCCTCACATGTAGCTTTTCTTTATTACTGCTATTGACAGTGTCAGTAATTAACAAAAGGAGGAAAGCTTTCACTCACTCTGGCTTATCAGTGATCATTTGACTCCATTCTTACATTGTTATTTATTTTATTTCTATACTGCTGCATAGCCAGAGCTGTCTTGGCAGTGATCAACAGTCAATAAAAGCAATAAAATACAACACAAAATAAAACAGCATAAAATAAACAACATAAAATTATAGTTTAAAAATGAAACCAAATAAACAATTAAAAACAGTCCGTTACTGCTAGGCTTGCTAAAAACCAAAAAATGGCAATACCTACCCCAATCCATGTGCTATGTGGAGTTGGTAAAGGTAAATGGTCTTAACTTGGCTTCAAACAGTAAAGTTGGTGCTAGGTGAGCTTTGGTGGGGGAGATCATTCCATAATTTGGGAGCTCCTAGTACGTCTTCCTACTTGTTACCAACTAAGCCTACTTGGAGGTGACATTTGGAGGTGACATTTGAAGGAAGGCTAAGATGTTGAACATAGTGTCCAGGTACATTGTGGTTGGGAAAGAGGTTCTGTCAATATTAAGAAGTCAGACCAGAAAAACTGAAAATATTGAATTTTGACATGGAAGAAGGCAGGCTTTGCAGGGGGAATGCATCCGAACTTTTCTGTACTACTAGCTAACCATTCCCTGGCTACTTCCTGGTGGTAATTTGCACAACTAAACACATCACTTTTCCCAGTCATATTGTAATCTACACTAGATGCTATAATAGTGCATTGGAAAAGAATTCTCACCAAGTACCCTGCTCGTGATTTGGGATTTGGCAATGTACTCTCCAACAGGGCAGAAGAGTACATGATAGCTAGTGCTTAACATCACACTGGGTGGGTAGCACAACACCATTCTCCAGCTGCAAAGAAGCTGGTAATATACTATTCTCCTAGCATTTCATCCCTGGCATGATTAGGTGAAATTGTGGCCAGACTATACAACCATTGTTAGTGATTTAAGACAAATTTTATTTGTTCTGTCAATGATAATTCCAAAGAATACCAGATTCCTGAAATTCTGAAAAAATACCTCTTTTTCTCAAAATGACTGCATCATTTTCTCCTTGAAATGCATTTTTATTTATATTCCACTACGTTGGTGAAACTTCTAAAGACAAAGTGCAAAAATAGAAAGTCACTTTTAAAGAAGCCACAATAGGTAGAATGACCCCTCTTTCCTGGGTTCCTGTCTTGGATCAGGGATTGAGCCAATCACATTCACTCACATTGTATCCTTCAATTTCGGACTTAACTGCAAGATTGCAAGATGTATACATTTGCACAGAAATCCCAAAGACAAGTGCATATATTTTAATGAAAATTAAGAGAGCAATTAATAGCAATATTACTCATTCAAGTTCCTACATATTAAGTAATGTGTTACAGATCGTAGGGAGTTCAGAACTTCAGACTAGAATGTTTTCTGAACATTCCGATCTTCTGGGCTAGATTCCAGGCACGTGGTACCTGGGCTTACGTTCACATTTCCTTTATTGTTGCTTTGATTTAACAATGACTGCTCTGGAGGAGGAGATTTGTGTTGTTTTAAACTTGGACTGTATCAACATAGTTCACAAGTGTGTGTTCTCTCATTTTTCCCTTTAGCTGGTTTTGCAGGCTTAAGGCAGAAAGTCTATAATGTGAGTTGATGTATGTTTTTAGGTCATTCTTAGCTGTTGGATAAGCAACTTGTCAGTGTCTTAGCTAAGCCATAAATAATATAAATAAAGCTTTAGAAGTATGCCCTTGAAAGCACCAAGTTTAGCTAGTGACTTAGATCGTTTTTCTTTTCTTTTCTAGTATTATCCAAGATAAATTTTGTGGTATCGTAAACATTTCAGTAGAAGGGTTACATGATGTCATGACTGAAGATACAGAAACAAGAACATTCAAAGAGTAAGTGGAATGCCTATCTGCATGTGCTTCTTACACTGGATCCAATGGGGAGCATGTGCCCCTCCAACGCCCCTCCCTACCAGTTGTGCAGCAGCAATTTAGCACTTCCAGAGCAACCTGAAACAAGAGGAAACACTAATTTCCATAAGGAGGCAGGAAAACAGAGTTTGCATGAGGGAGCATCAGCTGACCACTTTCTGCTGGCTTGGGGTTTTTCTCTAGGAAGTGCCAAATCTCCCTTGTTTAAGTAGAATTGGAAAAACCTACCACTTGTAGAAGGGAATTGGCAGAGACAGAGGCACCCAGTTGGATACTGCCTTTAGTCGTAACAGAGCTTGGCTCTTAAGAGAAGGAAAGGCATATTCCATTCATTTGAAAAGCTATCTTTTTAAATGTGTGGTTTGAGTTGTACAGGCAAGTGTCTTTATTTACATACACAAGATTCTGTTAGACGAGCAAGGCCATTTAGTTTTGGTAGCATGTATTAATATCATTGCTGGTAAATCCTGCTTAAAATGATTAGGTCCTTATTTGAATTGACTAAATGATCAGGCCTCAATAATTGGGACTGGAGGTAGTAGAAGGGATACACTCTTGTTTCTGCCACTTGCCATGAGACCTGGATTCACTGCCAAACTGCACCCCCTGCTTTCCAGGATTCTGTCAAGCCAAGAGGAAGAGCATCCTAGCCTTTCTATTGGCCCAGAAAAGAGTCTTTACAGGGTCTCACATCCCACCCTTTCTAGAAACAGCTCTCTACTTTACAGACAGCTTCCCTGGGACTGCAGAGGTGGAAAGCAAGAATGCTCTGGTCCCATCTATCAGCTAGACTAGAGAAACTAAAGGAACCAACATCTAGCCAAACAGGAACACCAGCAGCAGTGCAGTAGTTATTACCTTGTTCTGGCCTTGAAAACCACTGCATTGTCACCCACAGCCCACCTCATATATATTTTTTCCTGAATATGCTTTCTTATTCTTGTCTCATAAGCTTGATGGAATGGTTTGTGAGCTACTTTGGGAGGCAATTATTGTTTGAAAACCAGGATAAAATGCAGTTAAATAATACATAAAACAGCAATTAGTGAAGATTCTATGCATACATGAATCCACATTTCACTTTTATTTATTGTTCTGTTTCCTCTCAACATTCCACTAGTCCTGTTTTTTTGAGGGGTTCCTTACATTGCTGAAGATGCAGTCTTAATGGTTGTCTTGTGTGTTTGCTTCATTCGCACTTGGTTTACAGAGACAATTCATCATGCAATCACAGTCCCAGAGATGGAGTGGAACCAGAGCAAGGATCAGTGAAGCTTACTGCAGCACACTTAATGGGCCAGTTCACATATCTCATTAAGTCACCCTGAAAATAAGCTATGTGGCTTGGTTGTTCAATTTCTAACCCACATTATTTATGACAGATAATCAGATGATCTGTGGGTTACTGAAGTTTTCCCCCCACTTAGTCCTTCCACCTTCCCCTATTCCATGGATCTTCGCAACATAAATCAGCAACTTATTAACAAGTACAAAGGCACTCATTAGCAGAGTAGAGTTCATTTTGTCATTTTTCCCACTTTCAGGGAGACTTTGCACATATTTAACTTAAAGAAAACAATTTGGAGGATATTTTTTTCAGATTTCCTACTGCTGTGTGTAAGTAGCTGCTTTACTTTAGCAAATCTTTATAAATCTCTTCAAAAGTTTTTTTTAAGTTAGATTTGGGCAAATCTCCCTGGGGAAGTAAAATTCTGGAATTTGTGCAAATCTGAAGGTAGGGAAGATAAGTTTTACTCTCTAGGAAGGCTATGAAGGAGAAGAATAAATTGACAGGTGCCATATCTAAACACAAAACAGAGAGGGTAGCTTGGTAGCCCTTTCTGGCAAACAGAGCACAAGGCAGCATGCAAGGTTTCACATCATGAAGGTCCACCCTGAACAACCCAGCAACAAGCTAACGGGTTTGCATGTCACATCAGCCTCCCTAGCAATAAGCCACAGAGGGTTGATTGTTCTGAGGTCAGCACACAGTGTGCTTAACAAATGCTCAGGACTGCTGTGGATTGTCACTTTATTCATAGGTGTGCCAGGTAGCATCCCAGGGGACATTGTAACTAAAGCCACTCTCCCCACCACGTTTTGGCTTGCTGCTCTCTATTTTGACAGCCACTGACAGCCCTTCCAAAGTGCCCAAACAGCACTTTAGAGGGGTCATCAATGATTTATCACTCCTTTAAAAAAAACAAAACACCTTTTTGCTTCCCAACTGTGCACAATGAGTTTTGTTACTATACTTTAAAACCAAAATTATGCAGTTCCAGATAAAAGTTCCAAAAATGGGAAGCCTTGCCTGAATAATGTCCAGATGTGGGGGGAGTACTGGCTGTCAACATGGCCATGGACCATGAGAGGCTTTGCTATGTGATGCCTGCTGTCCGAAGGCAATCTGTCGATTCAGACAATGACACAAGTAACCTGTGCTCACAGAAAGGTGGTGAAGGGATTTATACCCCATTGGCCCTGGGATCCTCAGGGCCTTTTTGTTACTCCAAGAAGTCCCAGTGTTCTCAAACTTTTCACCCATTCTTGAGACTCTAGGTACTTGGGGAGATGGGAAAATGAAGCCCAAATCCTTTTACTGGACCACAGACATTTGATAGCTACTTCCTTTTGAATGGAATATATTTTAATTTAATTTTGAACGTGATTCCCCATATTTTTTTCCACATGGCTTAATACATTCATACCTAATGTCTAATTGAAAGTATTTGTATTTTATGGGTTTAGCTGCATGCTGATGTCTGTTACTGAGGAGCCAAAAGTGACAGAAGAAGAAGAGCCACCCACAGAGCAGGACAAAAGGAAAAAGATGGTATGTATCCAGCTCTTTCAAGTATTAATTGTTGCAATTTAGCAAGCTGTAGACTGTTTGCTGTTAAGTTCTGTTGAGTTACTGCAATCATATGCATTGTTCAGCTCCAATGCAAGCAGTAGGAAAAACAGGAAAGGCAGAATTACGATAGCTCAATTTAGCAATGTCTGGATTCTAAATAAAACGGGCACCATGTGTAGCTGCAAAGAATAATGAGCTATAGATTGGGTTTACATGGCACACTAAGTCACAGGGGTAGCGTTCTTTAGTGTGCTGGGTGTACCAGCACCCCTACTTCCCTTGAGGTGGTTTATAAACCAGCCCAAGCTGTCATAGCTCATGGTAGGATTTAGAAGACCCTTTGTGGCTTAGTGTGTTATCTGAACCTGATCAGAGCCAAGAAATTACACGTGTGCCATGAAGGAAGGGCTCGCTTGGTTTTGTTTTCACAAAAGGAAGCAGCCAAGTCAGCCCAGCCCCATATGACATGTGAAGGGCTTACTATTCAGCATTTCTGTTGGGGGCGGTGGGGGGGCAATGACCAGTTGAAATGACCTTCCTCCAGCCTAACTAAACACAAACTTTGCAAGTTAGGTTGGACTGACAGGCAACAGTTGAACAGTAGGAAGGGAGGTACAGGCTGTCTTGTGGTGGGCTTTCAAGCCCTGTAAGAGGTGTCCTGTACCCACCCCTTCCACTGCTCTATATAGATATGCTAATAAAGTGTGGAAAGAGCTATTGATCGTGATACATGTTGGGAATTGAACACTGGCTTAAGCACCATCTTTATTTATTTATTAGATTTATATCCCACCTTTTTCTTACAACAAACTCAGAGCAGCTTATATAATTCTCCTACTGCTGCTTACAACAACCACACTGTGAGGTAGGTTGGGCTGAGAGTTTATGCCTGGCCCAAAGTCACCCAGTTGGCTTCAAGGCCAAGCAGGGATTAGAACCCAGATCACCTGAGTCCCAGTCCTGTGCTCTTCAATAAAACAAAACAATTTATCTGGTTACTTTGAAAAATATGTTTTCATGTTAGCAATATCATTCTTTAGTGGTGGTATTCCTCAGTGCCTAACAAATCCAGACTTGGACTCTAAGCCAAGCTTTCTCATCCAAGCTGAGTTATGTCTAGTTGGCTTTGCAGTATAAACTAGGAATTGTCTTGAATATGAAGGCTCTGGACTTTAATAACTTACTTAAATTTATCTTTTAGGAGCTTATACATAGCTCTACAGAATGTTACTGCATATAGAAAGTAATAAATCCAAGGTGCTATTTCAGGAATCCATATTAAACACTGCTACACACCAATGAGTACATGTAGCTGATCTAGATTCTGTAATTGCCCACTGAGTCACAGATGTCAGTATTATAACAAAATATGATACAGTGATTAAAAGCGTAAATGAAAGTAGGGATGTTTATTATTCATATGATGACTCACAAGGCGTATCTTGGATTTGATCTGTTGTTGATAAGAGATTCAGCGCAGTTCTGTGGATCTTTACTCAAAAGTGTCTCATTGAATGGAGCTTACTCCTAAGTAAATGCACAGACTTTAAAATGTTTTAACATCAAATTCAAAGCTTTACAGCTTTTAGAATTTCAAAAAAGTATAGTAGACAATTTGGGAAGATAAATAAGTGGAACTTCTAATTTGAACAAATTGAGTTATTAGAAAATATAGTTATAAGCCAAGGAATAAAAGGCAATTTTTAGAGGACAAAATTAAGAGAACAGGATGATAATTTCCCCTATGAACAATAAGAAATCCAGATTAGTATCCAAGCATGTCTGTCTGTCTGTTTATGAAAGATCCTAAGGAGATTAAGGAAGCAAGGTTACTTTAAGTTAATGATTTATTTACAAGCATTTCAAATTCCATTATCACAACAGTTTTGGTCCTACTTGTCTTCAAAAACAACCCAAATACTCAGAAGTAATTTCCACCAAATTCATGTAAGCATACAGACAATTGCAACCATAAATGTGAATGTCATGTTTCTGTGGAGTTAAATATGTGGATTGGCTTTGGAGTTCAGAGCTTTCCCTGTGTGTACTTAATGACCTGGTTCACATAGCACAACAATGCATTGTAGGTAATTAGCCATGGAAGGTCTTTGTGTCATACAAACTGAGACTGTTTTCTGCAGGGTAGCTTGTTTTTGTTTGTTTTTTTCCAAACAAGCCACCTTAGGCACCCATGGGCTGTGCTAGGGATGTTTTGGGTGCAGAGTTGTCGTGTCTTCTGAACACAGGCAACCGGTCCCACTATGAATAAGGGAATATAGAAAATTGTTTGGTTAGGGATGTATCCAGCTCCCTGTTTTGACCTACCTTAATCTGTGTGTGTGTGTGTGTGTGTGTGTGTGTTTTAAAAGCCCTACTTCTGACAGCTGTCAGAAGTGAATGTGAGTGAAATAGGAGGGTGGGCACACTTTCCCAATACATTTGGCTGAGCCACCAATTTACCTACCTGGAACTCCTACCTCCTCTTCCGCCATCTGAGCTCCTACCTGGGAATGTGTTATATATGTGAGAACAAGAGACAGGCCTGGGAGGGGAGGGAAAAAGATCTACTCAATGGGCTGGGAAGGGGTAGAGTAATGGGAAAATGCATGGGAAAGCGGGGGGCACTGTGATCAATGGGGCGTAGTCAAACCCCTGAAGATCTCACTTGAAGGGGGAAGAGACCCATACCCCCTTTCACAACCAAAAATCATTTGCAGGTTTGCTTTGGCATGGCAGCTTGCCCTTTGACATCTGTCTCATCGAAGCAAAGTTTTCTTTAATCCCTATTTAGGGATCATTGTCATTGTCCAGAGTTGGTAGCTGCTGCACTTTGACAGCAGGACTCCCCCCACTTTTGGACATTGCCCAGGTGATGTTTCCTGTACTCAGACCTGCAGAAGTACATACACCTCTCCAGTTGTTCAAGTCTGACTAGGAGAAATTAAATGAAACAATACACATTTTTTCTTTTAAAAAGGAGTTGTCAGCAGTGGTAGCCCTCCATTGTGTGCTCCTTGGAAAATTTGGAGGGATAGTCAATGCCTGTCAGTTTGTTTGTGATCATTGGGGGAAGAAAAAGAAGGATTGGGCTGGAGAGGGAATACAGCCATGGCTCATGATTGGATCAAGGAATAAAGGCAAGTCTTCAGTTGCTATGTTTTTTGGGATACCAGCTGTAAGACAGAGGGAGAAAGAAGAGACCAGCTCCATTGTCTGTTGGATGCAAAAGTGAGTTATTGTGACATGTGTACCCTTCCAGCATTTTCTAGGAATTGGTTGTCTAATGACCCCCATGGCAGTCATTATGTGTCTGGTCACATTTTCCATTGAAGGCATTTTGTGGTAGTTCCCCAAATTCCAAGATGAGCCCACCAGTCCAAAAGGTTGCTGAGCCTGCAGCTAATATATGTAAGGACTTTTCCATTTACTTCAGTTTTACATACTCTGAAGAAGGAGGCTGTACCTTGCCAGATGCTTTATCTGTGTAACAGAATGTATAAAGAGTTTTAAATATGGTCCATATGGCTGTAGCCCTGTAATATGTAGACATGAATGCTTAAATTCCATTGTTATCAATATCATGTAGGTTGGAATAGAATTAGATTAAGTGCAGGAGGGTGTGAAGTGGATATCAGGAGAGAATATGGTGTTATAATTGTTAGTTCCAAGAAAAAGACTTTACTGATATGTAAACAATCATGAAAGGTATAAGCTTAAATATTGAATCTATTACACTTTTACATTTCTATTTTGATCACAGTGTAGCTATGACATATTTCTGTGAAGTTCTGCTCAGCAAGAATGCTGATAAAAATGTCAGTGTGCATTCACTCAAAATGTATAAGTGATCATGTGCCACTGCTGGCTCATACATTGTAGAGAATCCAGAACAAAAAGATCTGAGTTTGTTGAACTCAGGCTGTGGTATATTAAAGTTTGGTAAAGAATGACTCCTACTGGCTAAGTGAAGAACGGTTCCTAATCATAGGAAGAATGGAATAGTAAGAATCTCTTTCTTCTTTTCTTTTGTAAAGTAAAAGCACTTTTTATGTAATGACTACATAAGGTCAGAGTGCTCATTTCATTATTGAGAGCTTCATTTCTGAATAGTGTAAGTGACACTGTGCATGATTAGAATTCAGGTTTAATCTGATTGGCATTCATAGAAACATAGAAACAGAGCGAGTCAGGAGGGGTCTCCCAGGCAATCTAGTCTGACCCCCCGTTCCAGCCGGCTCCACTCACAACATGCCCACCATGTGCATGTCCAGCCTATCTTTGAACACCTGCACCAATGGGGCCTCAACCACCTCCCGTGGAAGCCCGTTCCACACCCTTGGGGTCCTAACTGTCAGTAGTGCTTCCTGGCATCTAAATGGAAGCTTGGTTCCCTGAGCTTTGCTCCACTGCAGCATGTCCAACGTCAAACTTCTGAGTCCATTTCAGCACCAAAATTCTAAATCATGAAAATGTGTCTTCCTCCAGACAAAACAATATATATTTTTGTTACTGTGTGTTATTTATTGTTAGCTGTGGTATTTCTGCTTCACCTCCTTTGATCTGGAGGGACATTAATATAACAAAATGTAGATAGATGCATTTTGAAATTCATGTGCCTAGTAAAGCCCCTTGCTGTTGAACCAATCCCTAAGGGCACAATCTTATCATGGTGCCTGCAAGCTTGTATCTTGGCCCCTCACCTGCCTTTTCACCAAAGCTCCCCCTTTGCCCTATCTCCAAGGTCACTTTTTTGACCTCGGAAAGCACCTGTACAATGTTTTTCTGTGCCAGTTGGAAGCAGGATGGGAGCCCGATCTCCAGTTCCTAGCAATTTCTGATCTGGAAATCTAAAGTAATGAATTTCTTCTCAGATATTGTCTGCTGCCATAGGATTGCTCCTCAAGTGGGTAAATTTAGATGACAGGGAGCCACACAGTAACCTTTTAGGAGTTTACTATGTTGCACATGCAACCAAGGAA